GGCCTGTTACATCTGTGCCATAATGTGCAGGTCACAGGTCGATGATAATGCAACTGGTCTCAATCTAGTCTCTCTCTGGTCTCTAACTAGTCCCTTCAGCCTTTTCTCGAGTCTCCCTGGTCCTGAACTTCCGCCATGACTTTACAAGACACATACTCTACTCTCCCCTGATTGGGAGTGTTTCCTCTGGGCCTGTGTAACCAGTACCAGGTCCTTCTTGGTCCTGGTTCTCTCCAGGCCGAGCTGGTACTGAGGTGTTCTGACAGTGATGGGTCAAAGTGCTGCTGCAAGGAATTTCCATGGATACTGGTTTGTTATGCGGAGGTTGTTAGGTTACGGAAAGCTGTCGTTTAGTGTAATGGAGACACAACCGAGTAGAGTAGAGTAGAGTAGAGTAGAGTAGAGTAGAGTAGGGTAGGGTAGGGTAGGGCAGGGTAGGGTGGGGTAGGGTAGAGTAGAGTAGAGTAGAGTAGAGTAAAGTAGGGTAGAGTAGAGTAGAGTAGAGTAGGGTAGGGTAGTGCAGGGCAGGGTAGGGTAGGGTAGGGTAGGGTAGGGTAGGGTAGGGTAGAGTAGAGTAGAGTAGAGTAGAGTAGAGTAGAGTAGAGTAGGGTAGGGTAGGGTAGAGCAGGGTAGGGTAGGGTAGGGTAGAGTAGAGTAGAGTAGAGTAGAGTAGGGTAGAGTAGAGTAGAGTAGAGTAGGGTAGGGTAGTGCAGGGTAGGGTAGGGTAGGGTAGGGTAGGGTAGAGTAGAGTAGAGTAGGGTAGAGTAGAGTAGGGTAGGGTAGGGTAGGGTAGGGCATGGCAGGGTAGGGTAGAGTAGAGTAGGGTAGGGTAGAGTAGGGTAGAGTAGATTAGGGTAGGGTAGGGTAGAGTAGGGTAGAGTAGGGTAGGGTAGAGTAGAGTAGGGTAGAGTAGAGTAGAGTAGAGTAGAGTAGAAATGGGGCAATAGAAAACAGACTTGTTTGAAAAGCAGAGTTTTATTGTAACTTTATAAAACACTTCACGACACAATTCACAAAACACAACAATAATTTACAAATAAACTTTTGAAAATTCATTTCACAAACGAATCCGGACACAATGGATTTACACAGATGGCACGCAGACATAAAGACCAGAGAGAGACCAGAGAGAGACCAGAGAGAGAGACCAGAGAGAGACCAGAGAGAGACCAGAGAGAGAGACCAGAGAGAGACCAGAGAGAGACCACGGAGAGAGAGACCAGAGAGAGACCAGAGAGAGACCACGGAGAGAGACCAGGGAGAGACCAGAGAGAGACCACGGAGAGAGACCAGGGAGAGACCGGAGAGAGAGACCAGAGAGAGGCCAGAGAGAGAGACCAGAGAGAGAGACCACAGAGAGAGACCGGAGAGAGAGACCAGAGAGAGGCCAGAGAGAGAGACCAGAGAGAGAGACCACAGAGAGAGACCGGAGAGAGAGACCAGAGAGAGACCAGAGAGAGAGACCAGGGAGAGACCGGAGAGAGAGACCAGAGAGAGACCAGAGAGAGAGACCAGAGAGAGACCAGAGCGAGACCAGAGAGAGAGACCAGAGAGAGACCAGAGAGAGAGACCAGAGAGAGACCAGAGAGAGAGACCAGAGAGAGACCAGAGAGAGACCAGTGAGAGACCATGAGAGAGACCATGAGAGCGGCACCAAATGCAGCTCAGTCCCTGGTGTTTGCAGACCTTAAAAGGAAAGGTTTTCTTTGGCTCTTTTTTCTCCATGTTCCAACATTGGTCGTCATAAGTGTTAGATCCATCCACTCCAATACCAGGAGACACCAGAGAGAGACAAGAGGGAGAGACCAGAGCGAGACCAGAGAGAGACCAGAGAGAGACAAGAGAGACCAGAGAGAGACCAGAGAGAGACCAGAGAGAGACAAGAGTGGGAGAAACCAGAGAAAGCCAGAGAGAGAGAGAGGTAGAGGGCAGAGACCAGAGCGTCCAAAGAGAGATCTGAGAGACCGTTTTCTACTGAACATTTTATAACTAATATTCCTAGACCAAGTCAAATACCTGCAGTTGTTTTTAGCTCTGTTCATGCCATCATGAGGATCTCGCGTCCCCCCACCCCTTCAGCCAACGCGCTCCAGTCTCAATCCTGGTTTTCTTTCTGGTTGTGAAGCTCGTCCAAATCCCGAACAAAAGTCTTATCAAATCATCGGCAAATATTTATTTTCAAAACCAACAAATCATTGAAGTGAGCGGCGCAGATGCGACGCCTTTGTCCCGAAAGCGCTCGCTCCGTGCGCCATTATCACAAACAGTTTCCAAACACGGCGCGTCATTAGTGCCGTTAGCGCCGCGCGGCCGTTAGCACGTTAACGTGGAGCCGCATTCACACAGGTGTCGCACAAAAGACACATTTACTTCACAATTATCTGCGCGGCGGGAAAATAGTGGCTAATTATGGCCTTTGTGCGCGCTGTGTGTGTGCGTGTGTGTCTCTCTGTGTTTGCATGTGTGTGTGTCTGTCTTTGTATGTGTGTGTGTGTGTGTATATGTGTGTGTGTGTGTGTGTCTTTGTATGTGTGTGTGTGTGTGTGTGTGTGTGTGTCTCTGTCTTTGTATGTGTGTGTGTGTGTGTCTGTCTGTCTTTGTATGTGTGTGTGTGTATGTGTGTCTCTCTGTGTGTTTGCATGTGTGTATGTGTGTGTGTGTGTGTGTCTCTGTGTGTGTGTGTGTCTCTTGTGTGTGTCTCTTGTGTGTGTGTCTGTGTGTGTGTCTCTTGTGTGTATCTCTGTGTGTTTGCATGTGTGTGTTTCTTGTGTGTGTCTCTGTGTGTGTGTGTCTCTGTGTGTGTGTGTGTGTCGTGTGTGTCTCTGTGTGTTTGCATGTGTGTGTGTGTGTGTGTCTCTGTGTGTCTCTCTGTGTGTTTGCATATGTGTGTGTGTGTGTGTCTCTGTGTGTCTCTCTGTGTGTTTGCATGTGTGTGTGTGTGTGTGTGTCTCTGTGTGTTTGCATGTGTGTGTGTGTGTCTCTGTGTGTGTGTGTGTGTGTGTTTCTTGTGTGTGTCTCTGTGTGTTTGCATGTGTGTGTGTGTGTGTCTCTGTGTGTCTCTCTGTGTGTTTGCATGTGTGTGTGTGTCTCTTGTGTGTGTCTCTGTGTGTTTGCATGTGTGTGTGTGTGTGTGTGTGTGTGTTTCTTGTGTGTGTCTCTGTGTGTGTGTGTCTCTGTGTGTGTCTCTGTGTGTTTGCATGTGTGTGTGTGTGTGTGTCTCTGTGTGTCTCTCTGTGTGTTTGCATGTGTGTGTGTGTGTGTGTCTCTGTGTGTCTCTCTGTGTGTTTGCATGTGTGTGTGTGTGTGTATGTCTGTCTTTGTATGTGTGTGTGTCTCTTGTGTGTCTCTCTGTGTGTTTGCATGTGTGTGTGTGTGTGTCTCTGTGTGTGTGTGTGTTTCTTGTGTGTGTCTCTGTGTGTGTGTATGTCTCTTCTGTGTGTCTCTGTGTGTTTGCATGTGTGTGTGTGTGTGTGTGTGTGTCTCTGTGTGTCGCACAAAGAGCTTTTCTGTGTGTCCTTGTAAAACCCTCGGACGTTCAGTGTTTCTGTTGTTGAACAAATGAACAGATTCTGTCGCACATTTCCACATTTCCTCTGTTTTGTCGTTAACTTGATGAACTTCAGGATTGTGCAAAGTGCTCTTTGTTCTTGGACAAAAAAGGGTTTTAAACTGGGACAGAAAAATGTTATTATTTTGACACAGTTGTAAAAATCCTTGAAAATCATCAGAAAGCGTCTGTGATTGACGCATTCGAGTTCAAACATTTTATTTATTCTGCTACAGTTTTTCACCGCTACATTTACAAGTTACTTATGAGTTCATTTGGGAACCGGAAACATGAGCGAGACCAGAGAGAGATCAGAGCGAGACCGGAGAGAGATCAGAGAGAGACCAGAGACCAGAGAGAGACCAGAGAGAGAGACCAGAGAGAGACCAGAGAGAGAGACCAGAGAGAGACCAGAGAGAGACCAGAGAGAGACCAGCGAGAGACCAGAGACCAGAAAGAGACCAGAGCGAGACCAGAGAGAGACCAGAGACCAGAGAGAGACCAGAGAGAGACCAGAGATAGACCAGAGACCAAAGAGAGACCAGAGAGAGACCAGAGAGAGACCAGAGCGAGACCGGAGAGAGACCAGAGAAGTTTCTTCAGAAGAGGGACGAGTTTGTTGTGTATGGAGATACAGTAAAATGAGAACAGTGTTGGAACATGGGACATGATACACACCAACCAGAACCACAGGAGGAATGGGAGAGAGAGGGGGAGAGAGGGTGAGAGAGGGAGAGAGAGGGGGAGAGAGGGTGAGAGAGGGAGAGAGAGGGAGAGAGAGGGAGAGAGAGGGAGAGAGAGAGAGGGAGGGAAGGAGAGGGAGAGAGAGGGAGAGAGAGAGCGGGAGGGAAGGAGAGGGAGAGAGAGGGAGGGAGAGGGTGAGAGAAAGTAGTGTGAGCCCACGTTCTCAGCTGGTCCAACAGAGCGGAGGTGAAGGGAAGAAGATCAAGCCGAGACCGAGGCGAGACCGAGATGAGACCGAGAGGACACTGGAGATGAGGGTGCAGGGGTCTCTGTGTCTTTTGTGGAAACACTGGTCACAGGTCAGGTCAGTGGAGCGGCGAGTCTTCCTGGTCACAGTTTCATGATCCCAGCAGCGCTCTGATTGGTCAAGACAAACATATAATTGCTTCCAGAACTTCCTGGTTTTCGGCGACGCTTCTGTTTCAGTCTCGTTTAAATAATGACATTGAACATAAATAATGGTCTAGATCTGAGGATCTTAGTCTCTGAGGAGAACAGGATGATGAGAACTGTTCTTGACACGTTCTGCCTCAGGCGAGGGTCTGAGTAAGACCATAGGACCATAGGACCATAGGACCCTAGGACCCTAGGACCATAGGACCATACAGTAGGACCCTTGGACCCTAGGACCATAGGACCCTAGGACCCTAGGACCATAGGACCCTAGGACCATAAGACCATAAGACCATAGGTCTGTGTCTCATCTTCCTCAGTCCTGCTTCCTTGTCTCCTCCTTTCCTTCCCTTCGAGAGTACGGCTCAAACGCAGACGCGCTGAGGTAGCGTGCTGAAAGCTCGTGCAAGTTTCCCGCCAGCGACAGAGGGGCGGAGACTCTGGAGGCCACGCCCCCAAGCAGCGAGGGGAACCCGAACAGAGAGGGTGGCGTGGCCTGAGCCGAGCCAGGCCGCGGCGGAGGACTGGAGCCTGAGGAAGAGTCCGAATGCAGCCGGAGCGCAGAGCTCATGGCATGGGGGAGCAGGGGGGGTAGTCCTGGGCCGTGCGGGGGGAGGGAGGGGGGGAGAGGGGGGAGGAGCCGGCCCTGCTCCAGCAGACGCAACACGCTGCAGGTGGCTGCGCTCTCAGACACCGAGCGCAGGTCAGAGTCCTTACCCTGGTCCTTCTTCTGCTTCGTCCTGCGATTCTGGAACCACACCTTCACCTGAGGAGAGAGGAGTGATGTCATCAGTGAGGGACAGTGATGTCATCAGTGAGGGACAGTGATGTCATCAGTGAGCGACAGTGATGTCATCAGTGAGCGACAGTGATGTCATCAGTGAGCGACAGTGATGTCATCAGTGTGAGATTGTCACAGTTGAACAGGTTCTGGTCTCTCACCTGGGTCTCGGGCCGTGTCTGGTCTCTCACCTGGGTCTCGGGCAGGTTCTGGTCTCTCACCTGGGTCTCGGGCAGGTTCTGGTCTCTCACCTGGGTCTCGGGCAGGTTCTGGTCTCTCACCTGGGTTTCGGCAGGTTCTGGTCTCTCACCTGGGTCTCGGGCAGGTTCTGGTCTCTCACCTGGGTCTCGGGCAGGTTCTGGTCTCTCACCTGGGTCTTGGGCAGGGTCTGGTCTCTCACCTGGGTTTCAGCAGGGTCTGGTCTCTCACCTGGGTCTTGGGCAGGGTCTGGTCTCTCACCTGGGTCTCAGACAGGTTGAGTTGCCTGGCCAGCTCGGTGCGCTCCCGTCCCACCACATACTGACACCTCTGGAACTCCAGCTCCAGCCGGTACAGCTGCTCGGCCGTGAAGGAGGTGCGCGTGCGTTTGGGTCGGTCCAGGTCCAGACCTTTGGGCAGGATGATCTCTCGGATGGAGCCTTTGGCGTCTGACCAGAAGGAGAGAAGGTTTAAAATCTCTGCTCTCTATTTTCCAACACTGTTTATCTTCAGAGGAAGTTCCATCCGTGCTCATATCATCTGGCACAAACATGTAACTCAGCCCCTTCTGTCTAAAGCAGAGAGAGACCAGAAAGAGAGCAGAGAGAAGCCAGGGAGAGAGACCTGAAAGAGAGCAGAGAGAAGCCAGGGAGAGAGACCAGAAAGAGAGCAGAGAGAAGCCAGGGAGAGAGACCTGAAAGAGAGCAGAGAGAAGCCAGGGAGAGAGACCAGAAAGAGAGCAGAGAGAAGCCAGGGAGAGAGACCAGAAAGAGAGCAGAGAGAAGCCAGGGAGAGAGACCAGAAAGAGAGCAGAGAGAAGCCAGGGAGAGAGACCAGAAAGAGAGCAGAGAGAAGCCAGGGAGAGAGACCTGAAAGAGAGCAAAGAGAAGCCAGGGAGAGAGACCTGAAAGAGAGCAGAGAGAAGCCAGGGAGAGAGACCTGAAAGAGAGCAAAGGGAAGCCAGGGAGAGAGACCAGAGAGAGAGCAGAGAGAAGCCAGGGAGAGAGACCTGAAAGAGAGCAGAGAGAAGCCAGGGAGAGAGACCTGAAAGAGAGCAAAGAGAAGCCAGGGAGAGAGACCAGAAAGAGAGCAGAGAGAAGCCAGGGAGAGAGACCTGAAAGAGAGCAGAGAGAAGCCAGGGAGAGAGACCTGAAAGAGAGCAGAGAGAAGCCAGGGAGAGAGACCAGAAAGAGAGCAGAGAGAAGCCAGGGAGAGAGACCTGAAAGAGAGCAGAGAGAAGCCAGGGAGAGAGACCAGAAAGAGAGCAGAGAGAAGCCAGGGAGAGAGACCAGAAAGAGAGCAGAGAGAAGCCAGGGAGAGAGACCTGAAAAAGAGCAAAGAGAAGCCAGGGAGAGAGACCTGAAAGAGAGCAGAGAGGGAGCCAGGAGAGAGAGACCTGAAAGAGAGCAGAGAGAGCCAGGGAGAGAGACCAGAAAGAGAGCAGAGAGAAGCCAGGGAGAGAGACCAGAAAGAGAGCAGAGAGAAGCCAGGGAGAGAGACCAGAAAGAGAGCAGAGAGAAGCCAGGGAGAGAGACCAGAAAGAGAGCAGAGAGAAGCCAGGGAGAGAGACCAGAAAGAGAGCAGAGAGAAGCCAGGGAGAGAGACCAGAAAGAGAGCAGAGAGAAGCCAGGGAGAGAGACCAGAAAGAGAGCGGAGAGAAGCCAGGGAGAGAGACCAGAAAGAAACTAGAGAGAACTATGAATTCATACACATACATTAGTTAGGTGAACATTCTTTACAAACACATGTCTGTGTTTGCATGTTCTCCCTGTGTCTGTGTTTGCATGTTCTCCCTGTGTCTGTGCCCCTCTGAAGCTGTTGTTTGGTCCCTTTTTCCTTTGCAGAGTTTCAAAGCGGTTCCTTGTTCATGCTTCTGGTTTTGAAGATTCCCTGAAGCAAAGGTCTTTCCGTGTTTTCGCTTCGAGGCGTCGCTTTTAAATTATGCGCATAAATCTGAGCTCATTGTCACAACACGGACGACGAGGAGACAGTGTTTTCACCAGAGACGAAGAGTGTCAAACAAACACATCGTCAAGTGACGAAGACGAGCCGGGATGAAGGCTACAGGAGAGACCAAAGATAGACCAGAGAGAGACCAGAGGGAGGCCAGAAGGAGACCAGAGACCAGAGAGAGACCAGAGGGAGGCCAGAGGGAGGCGAGAGACAGACCAGAGAGAGAGACCAGAGAGAGACCAGAGAGAGAGACCAGAGGGAGGCGAGAGACCAGAGAGAGAGACCAGAGAGAGACCATAGGGAGGCGAGAGACAGACCAGAGAGAGAGACCAGAGAGAGACCAGAGGGAGGCGAGAGACAGACCAGAGACCAGAGAGAGACCAGAGAGAGAGACCAGAGAGAGTCCAGAGAGAGACCAGAGAGAGAGACCAGAGAGAGTCCAGAGGGAGGCCAGAGACCAGAGAGAGACCAGAGAGAGTCCAGAGGAAGGCCAGAGACCAGAGAGAGACCAGAGAGAGTCCAGAGGAAGGCCAGAGACCAGAGAGAGACCAGAGGGAGGCGAGAGACCAGAGAGAGACCAGAGAGAGACCAGAGGGAGGCGAGAGACAGACCAGAGAGAGAGACCAGAGAGAGACCAGAGGGAGGCGAGAGACAGACCAGAGACCAGAGAGAGACCAGAGGGAGGCGAGAGACAGACCAGAGACCAGAGAGAGACCAGAGAGAGAGACCAGAGAGAGTCCAGAGAGAGACCAGAGAGAGAGACCAGAGAGAGTCCAGAGGGAGGCCAGAGACCAGAGAGAGACCAGAGAGAGTCCAGAGGAAGGCCAGAGACCAGAGAGAGACCAGAGAGAGTCCAGAGGAAGGCCAGAGACCAGAGAGAGACCAGAGGGAGGCGAGAGACCAGAGAGAGACCAGAGAGAGTCCAGAGGAAGGCCAGAGACAGACCAGAGGAGGATTTAATCTTATGGTGTTAAAGAGGAACACACATTACTGAGAACTGGGGGGGGGAGACTTTTGCTGAGGTCATTGTTGTTGTTGTTGTTTGTTATTTATGGCCGTATTGTGTTTAGGAAGGACAGGAGGATGGTTTTTATGTCACAACACAATATTAACACAGTCAGTTTAAAGACCGTGTTGAAACCATTTGAAACGTGTTCTTAGAAACAGTCACTGTTTTTATTATTTAAAAAGTTAAAACTGATAATAATGTGTTTCTGCTGCGACTGACCTCGCACCAGGATTCGTCTGCAGTAATCCGGGTCCACGGAGCTGCTGCTGCGGTGGTCTCCTGAGTCCAGACCCGAATCCTGAGCCCGGTCCTGGTCTAGACCCCGGTCCAGGCCCCTGTCGTGGACCCGGTCCAGGCTTGGGCTCTTCAGGCTCTTGGGCTCCTTGGACTTGAACAGACCCCGGTCCAGACCTGGGTCCAGGTCGGAGCTGAAGCGCAGGTCCATGGTCCAAATGCAAATCCAGAAACGACTTTCACAGAGAGACGTCAGAACATTTGTGTTTTAAAAACTAAATATAAAGAAAGATCCAACAAAAGTCTTTGATCTCAGGCTACAAACTAAAAATCCAAAATCTCATTTCCTCAAAAAGACAAAACACATTTGCAAAAAAAACTAGTTTAATCTTAAGGTTAGAAAATTCAGCTTTTGTGCCTAAAACGTTTCAATAATTATTGGAGATAATTGACGAGAGATTTGTCGAGAAAATGTGATTTTCAGATCTGTTCGTGGAAAATCAACAACTCTGTGGCGGCTGATTATTCGTGGTTTAAAGACGAGAAACTCACCAAATCCTCGTCTCCATGACGACAGACGCCTTTAGAATTAAATTAATTATTCTTCATTCAATAAATATTTATGGTTTCCTTTCAGAAGTGTTTTTTATCTTCTAATTTGTTGGATTTTACAAAAGAAGAGATAAAAAATTAAAACAATTGATGAAAAATTGTGTGAAATTGAATCAATGTTTTACTTTTTTATATTAATTTAAAATCTTAAATCTATAAATAAATGTAAAATGCTTTGTCGATTGTCGTCTCAAACCAACTTTATCCGAGGGTTGGTTTTCTAATCTGTTTTTAAACACTTTAAACTTCACTTTTGGATCAAGTTCATTTTGTTTGAAATAAAAATCACTGAATTCAAACCAAGTTTTTGGAAGTAATTTAGAAAAATTTGTAAAAACACGGATTATGTTAAAAATATATTTTTTGTGACAGATTTTTCAAAACTATAACTTTAAAAATAATTTAAACGTATTAATTGTTTATTCATGTTTTTCTACAGACCACGAAAAGCTCTTTATTTTGAGCCGATGTTAAAAATCTCTGCTCAAAAAACAGTTTATTTTTTTTGGTGTTAATTCTGTGTTTTTGATGAAAAACACATTTTTAACTCTGAAAAACAGTTAAATCTTAAAATATATTTAATTATGACTGTATTTCTATGAATAATCTAAAATCTTTAAACCTTGTACATTTACCTAATTTACTTTTGACTGAAAACTTTCACATTTTTTGTGTATTGTTTTGTCTTTGCCGAACAAACAGATTTTTAAATGCATAAAATGAGCAATTTCTCAAGTTTGATCAAAAATAATTAATCCTGAAAAATGTTAAACCTCGCACATTTGTCTCTCGCTTCTTCCTTTTTCAATGTTTTTCTCACGGACACAACACTTTGAACTTTCTTGTGTAAATTCTATGTTTTTGCTCAAAAATCACTGATAATTTATTTTACTGCAAAAACAATTTAATCTTGAATTCCTAAAATATCCAAGTGTTAGATCCGTCTCTGCACTGACTCACCTTTTTAACCTGGTTCTTAGAGACACAAAAGTGAGATTATGAAACAAGTTGGTTTTCAAAATACTTGATAATTATAAGAAAAGTAAAAAATCTTGCACATGTCTTTTTTGTGGTTCTGTGAAAAAACGGACTGAATCTTGAACTTCTAAAATATCCCCAGAACCCGATCCTTTGGTCCAGAACATGGAGGTGTTTGTGAATGACTTCGCTGCGGACGGACCTCACTTTCCTCTCGTTAATCCGGGCACAAAGAGGTGAACTCTGCGTTTGTCACAGTGTCTCTGCGGCGTCTCGGTTCAGCTTTCAGCCTTTTGTGTTTTTCAGGATAATTTCCGCTTGTGTGAAGTTCCTGCTCAGGTTTCCGCTCGTTTCCGCGATTTGGTGATTTTGAGGTTGAGTTTCACCTTTTCCCAAGTGCAAACACCTTCCTTTGATTTAAAAAAAAAAAAAAAAAAACATTTATTCTCCGTGGGTTTTTGGGGAACTTCTCTCGTTTGTTTTTGAGATTTAAGTGTTTTTTTTTAAAGTCAAATCTGTCTTTTCTCATCAGAAGAAAAATGAAATTAAAGAGTTAAAATAATACTGATATAATTGTCATTTTAATTCACGCTTTAAATGTATTGTTTGGGTCTATACATGTTCTTTTTAAATCCTGTAAATTTTTTTGGAGTTTACAAACAAAAAACATTAAAAAAAAAATAATTGAAAGTTTTGGGAAAAATCAATTAAAGTCTCTTCATAAAATCTGTTTCAATGTTTTTGTTAAAAACTGGACATGATTTTTGTTGAATTCTCTGCATCTCAAACACACGGCGCTGAAAGAGTCGGAGGCCGCGTCTCTAACGACGGCTTTTCCCACGCGCTGCAGCAACAAAAGACCTGCACTTTTTCACATTTTCTGCAGAAATCTCCCAAAAACAAAAAAACGGTGTAAAAACAGAATCTTCAGGAGGAAATAAGAGCCGCTTCCAAATTTCCAAGAAATTGGGTGGTCTCACTCTGGTCTCTCTCTGGTCTCACTCTGGTTTCTCTCTGGTTTCTTCTAGTTTCTCCAAATCCAGGTCTAAAACACGGTGACGGGGTGAAGACAAAATCCAGTTTCAAAGAAACAAGTGAAACATTTTCTTTCCACAAAACTCTTGTAAAAAGGCCGTTTTTCCTGGGATTTTTTTTAACTCATTTTGATGAAAGGATCGCTTCTTTGAATAAAAAAAAGACAAATTGTCCAGAAATCCTGCAAAAATCGAGGGTGAAAACGTGTAAAAGCAGAAGCCGAGTCACAGCAGGAGTTTCTGTAGTTTCTGTAGTTTTTGTGGTAGTTTCCTGACGCTGTGTCTGTGCCGCTCTGCTGCGTCTCAGATCTGACTCAGAGTGAGGGCTCTGAGGCGCGGAGCCTCCTCTTCAGCTTCACGCTCACTCTGGGTTAGAGACTCCTCTGTGCGACTCTTCTACCCCACTCTTCACTCCGACACTGACTCTTCGATTCAACGCTGACTCTTCGATTCAACGCTGACTCTTCGATTCAACACTGACTCTTCACTCCGACACTGACTCTTCACTCCTACACTGACTCTTCACTCCGACACTGACTCTTTGATTCCACACTGACTCTTCACTTCGACACTGACTCTTCTCTCTGACACTGACTCTTCGATTTAACACTGACTCTTCGATTCGACACTGACTCTTCGATTCAACACTAACTCTTCACTCCGACACTGACTCTTCGATTCAACACTGACTCTTCGCTTCGACACGGACTCTTCGATTCGACACTGACTCTTCGCTTCGTCACTGACTCTTCACTCCGACACTGACTCTTCACTCTGACACTGACCCTTCACTCCAACACTGACTCTTCGATTCAACACTGACTCTTCGATTCAACACTAACTCTTCACTCCGACACTGACTCTTCACTCCGACACTGACTCTTCACTCCGACACTGACTCTTCACTCCAACACTGACTCTTCAATTCGACACTGACTCTTCACTCCGACACTGACTCTTCACTCCGACACTGACTCTTCGAGTCCACACTGACTCTTCACTCCGACACTGACTCTTCGCTCTGACACTGACTCTTCGATTCAACACTGACTCTTCGCTTCGACACTGAATCTTCACTCCGACACTGACTCTTCACTCCGACACTGACTCTTCACTCCGACACTGAATCTTCGATTCCACACTGACTCTTCACTCCGACACTGACTCTTCGCTCCGACACTGACTCTTCGATTCAACACTGACTCTTCGCTTCGACACGGACTCTTCGATTTGACACTGACTCTTCGCTTCGACACTGACTCTTCACTCCGACACTGACTCTTCACTCTGACACTGACTCTTCACTCTGACACTGACTCTTCGATTCAACACTGACTCTTCGATTCAACACTAACTCTTCACTCCGACACTGACTCTTCACTCCGACACTGACTCTTCGCTCTGACACTGACTCTTTGATTCAACACTGACTCTTCGCTTCGACACTGACTCTTCGATTCGACACTGACTCTTTGTTTCGACACTGACTCTTCGTTTTGACACTGACTCTTCGTTTTGACACTGACTCTTTGATTCGACACTGACTCTTCAATTCGACACTGACACTTCGATTCAACACTGACTCTTCACTCCGACACTGACTCTTTGATTCCACACTGACTCCTTGATTCGATACTGACTCTTCGATTCGACACTGACTCTTCGCTTCGACACTGACTCTTTGCTTCCACACTGGCTCTTCGATTCGACACTGACTCTTCGATTCAACACTGACTCTTCGTTTCGACACTGACTCTTGATTCAACACTGACTCTTGATTCGACACTGACTCTTGATTCAATACTGACTCTTAGCTTCTACACTGATTCTTCGCTTCGACACTGACTCTTCGATTCGACACTGACTCTTCGATTCGACACTTCGCTTCGACACTGGCTCTTCGATTCGACACTGGCTCTTCGATTCGACACTGACTCTTCTATTCAACACTGACTCCTCGTTTCGACACTGACTCTTGATTCAATACTGACTCTTCGCTTCTACACTGACTCTTCGATTCGACACTGACTCTTGATTCGACACTGACTCTTCGCTTCTACACTGATTCTTCGCTTCGACACTGACTCTTCGCTTCAACACTGGCTCTTTGATTCGACACTGACTCTTCGATTCGACACTTCGCTTCGACACTGGCTCTTCGATTCGACACTGGCTCTTCGATTCGACACTGACTCTTCGATTCGACACTGACGCTTCGTTTCGACACTGACTCTTCGCTTCGACACTGAGATGTGAAGGTTCTGAACATTTCTAAAACACAGACAAAAACAGAAAACTGTTTTTCCCATTTTTTGTAGATTGTTTTTTTTTTACAGTGAACTTTCTGAGTGACTTTAACCAAAAACTCCTGTTTTTGCTGCAGGTTTAAAGAGAGGTGATGTAAATCTGTGATGCGTCTATTTCACTTTTGCATTATTTTAAAATTAGGGTTTTTTTCAACATATATATATTTTGTAATTTGTTTAATTTATTAAATTATTTTGTGCTCTTTCTTCTTTAAATTTGACTTCTCGCTGTTTTTTAACGCTGTCGTTTAAATGTTTTTCATCCTCATTTTCACTGATCTCTTCATTTGTTTGAAAAAAACATTTCTTAGAAAATGTCACTGACTGTGTTTCATTTATCAACGCGTCAATAAAAAAAACATCTGTGAAAAAAGAGGAAAAAACAAGTGAAAATTAAAACAATAAAAATCATTCTCGTTACATTTTTATTCAGACACAAAGGTTCAGAGAAAACATTTTAAAAACAGACAACAACAAAAAACACACAACACACACTTCTCCATCGCACACCGCTCCGACAGAGACGAGGAATGTTCTGAGCGCGCACAAAGAGAAGGAGACAAGGAGGTAGGAGACGAGGGAGGAGGAGATGAGGAGACGAGGATGAGACGAGGAGGAGACGAGGAGGAGACGAGGAAGAGAGGAGGAGACGAGGAAGAGGAGACCATTTCACCAATTTACATGAGGCTTATTTCCCACAGTTTTGTGCTTTTTTCCAGAACTTTATCATCTAATTTAAATGGATCGTGTCTGACACTCGCTACTCCCTGAAACCCGAACACCTGGAGGAAACCTACACAGACACAAGGAGAACAAGCAAACTCCACAAAGAAAGGCCCCGTCTGGAGATGGAGTTTCTGAAGGGAAGCAGAAGGCTAACCACTCAGCCACCGCTCTATTTTCTAAAGAAGATTCTCCGGTCTGTTCTGCGAGGCTCCTCTCTCTCGCTCTGGTCTCTCTGCTTTGGTTTCTCTCTCTGGTCTCTGGGTGGTCTCTCTCTCTCTCTCTCTCTGCACTGATTTATCTCTCGGGTCTCTCTCACTGCTCTGGTCTCTGGGTGGTCTAACCCTAACCCTGCTCTAATTTCTCTCTCGGGTCTCTCTCTCTCCCTCTGCTATGGTTTCTCTCTCTCTCTATGTGGTTTCTAGGTGGTCTCTCTTTCTGCTCTGGTCTCTGCTCTAATTTATCTCTTTGGTCTCTCTCTCTCCCTCTTCTCTGGTTTCTCTCTTTCTGTCTGGTCTCTGGGTGGTCTCTCTCTCTCTCTTCTCTGATTACTCTCAGGTCTCTCTCTCTCTCTATCTAGTTTCTAGGTAATCTCTCTTTCTGCTCTGGTCTCTCTCTCTGGTCTCTCTCTCTCCCTCTTCTCTGGTTTCTCTCTCTCTCTATCTGGTCTTTACAGTAGGTGGTCTTTCTTTTTGCTCTGGTTTCTCCCTCTCTGCTCTCTCTCTCCTGTGCGGTACAACATTGAACTTTCCTCATTATGGCGTGAATAAAGCGTTCCTTGCTCTCTCTCACGTCTCTCCTCACAAAGAGAGAGCACATGTTGAATTCCTGGGCCGTGTCTCTCTCCCGCTCCCTGAAGCGTCTCTATTGTAACACTTGTGGTTCGCTCTCTTCATTAGGTAATTGGCACGTTTAGGCCGGGTCTGGTGACAAAGGCCTGGGTCTTTGGGGTCTGCGATGGGGCCCCTGAGCCGAGGGCCCTTTGTGCTGAGGTGGCGGCGCATTCAGGCCTCAGCGCGGGTAATGGACGGATGATTGGATTAAGGTTCCAGCAATTACAGACGCACAACTACCCAGAGCAGAGACGGACAACCACCCAGAGAAAAGAGGCAGACGTACAACCAACCAGAGCAGAGACGGACAACCACCTAGAGCAGAGAGGCACAACCATCTAGAGCAGAGACGCACAACCACCCAGAGCAGAGAGAAACAACCACCCAGAGCAGAGACGGACAACCACCCAGAGAAAAGAGGCAGACGTACAACCACCCAGAGCAGAGAGAAAGAACCACCCAGAGCAGAGAGGCACAACCATCTAGAGCAGAGACGCAAAACCACCCAGAGCAGAGAGAAACAACCACCCAGAGCAGAGACGCACAACTACCCAGAGCAGAGACGGACAACCACCCAGAGAAAAGAGGCAGACGTACAACCACCCAGAGCAGAGAGAAACAACCACCCAGAGCAGCGAGGCAGACGTACAACCACCCAGAGCAGAGACGGACAACCACCCAGAGCAGAGACGCACAACCACCCAGAGCAGAGAGAAACAACCACCCAGAGCAGAGACGCACAACTACCCAGAGCAGAGAGAAACAACCACCTAGAGCAGAGAGGCACAACCACCCAGAGCAGAGAGGCAGACGTACAACCACCCAGAGCAGAGAGGCACAACCACCCAGAGCAGAGAGGAATAACCACCTAGAGCAGAGAGGCACAACCACCCAGAGCAGAGACGCACAACCACCCAGAGCAGAGAGAAACAACCACCCAGAGCAGAGAAGAACAACCACCCAGAGCAGAGAGAAACAACCACCTAGAGCAGAGAGGCACAACCACCCAGAGCAGAGAGAAACAACCACCCAGAGCAGAGAGAAACAACCACCTAGAGCAGAGAGGCAGACGTACAACCACCCAGAGCAGAGAGACACAACCACCCAGAGCAGAGACGCACAACCATCCAGAGAAAAGAGGCAGACGTACAACCACCCAGAGCAGAGAGGAACAACCACCCAGAGCAGAGACCCACAATCACCCAGAGCAGAGACGCACAACCACCCAGAGCAGAGACGCACAACCACCCAGAGCAGAGACGCACAACCACCCAGAGCAGAGAGGAACAACCACCCAGAGCAGAGAGAAACAACCACCCAGAGCAGAGAGAAACAACCACCCAGAGCAGAGAGGAACAACCACCCAGAGCAGAGAGGAACAACCACCCAGAGCAGAGAGAAACAACCACCCAGAGCAGAGAGGAACAACCACCCAGAGCAGAGAGGAACAACCACCCAGAGCAGAGACACACAACCACCCAGAGCAGAGAGAAACAACCACCCAGAGCAGAGAGAAACAACCACCTAGAGCAGAGACGCACAACCACCCAGAGCAGAGAGAAACAACCACCCAGAGCAGAGAGGCAGACGTACAACCACCCAGAGCAGAGAGAAACAACCACCCAGAGCAGAGACGCACTACCAGAAAAAGCAGAGGCAGACAACCACCCAGGGAAAAGAGGCAGACGCACAACCACCTAGAGCAGAGAGGCACAACCACAGAGAGAAAAGAGACAGACGCACAACCACCCAGAGCAGTGAGGCACAACCACCCAGAGCAGGAGGCACAACTGCAGAGAGCAAAGGCAGACACTCAACCACCCAGAGCAGAGAGGTAGACACACACAACCACCCAGAGCAGAGAGCCAGATACACAACTACCCAGAGCAGAGACGGACAACCAGAGAGAAAAGAGACAGACGCACAACCATCCAGAGCAGAGAGGCACAACCACCCAGAGCAGAGAAGCAGGCGCACAACTACCCAGAGCAGAGAGGCACAACCACCTAGAGCAGAGAGGCAGACACACAACCACCGAGAGCAGAGGCCAGAGAGAGACCAGAGCAGGACAAGAGCGACCCGTTCCAGAACCAAGACCACATGAAAAAGTATTTAACTGTAAATAGAGTTGGTTACTAAGCAACTGAAAATTAATGATTTTTTTTTATAATGTAATAGAAGTAAACTACAGATAGAAACAGATTAGTTATTTAGTTATTTGATCAATAATCACACTTTCAAAATTAAAAGCTCTCAATTGACCCTGGTCTCTCTCTGGTTTCTCTCTGGTCTCTCTGCGGTCTCTCCCTCTGGTCTCTCTCTGGTCTCTCTCTGGTCTCTCCCTCTGGTCTCTCCCTCGGGTCTCTCTCTGGTCTCTCTCTGGTCTCTCCCTCTGGTCTCTCCCTCGGGTCTCTCTCTGGTCTCTCTCTGGTCTCTCTCTGGTCTCTCTCTGGTCTCTCCCTCTGGTCTCTCTCTGGTCTCTCTCTGGTCTCTCTCTGGTCTCTCTCTGGTCTCTCCCTCTGGTCTCTCTCTGGTCCCTCTCTGGTCTCTCTCTGGTCTCTCCCTCTGGTCTCTCCCTCGGGTCTCTCTCTGGTCTCTCTCTGGTCTCTCTCTGGTCTCTCTCTGGTCTCTCTCTGGTCTCTCCCTCTGGTCTCTCTCTGGTCTCTCTCTGGTCTCTCTCTGGTCTCTCCCTCTGGTCTCTCTCTGGTCTCTCTCTGGTCTCTCTCTGGTCTCTCTGCGGTCTCTCCCTGGTCTCTCCCTCTGGTCTCTCCCTCTGGTCTCTCTCTGGTCTCTCTCTGGTCTCTCTCTGGTCTCTCTCTGGTCTCTCTCTAGTCTGAATCCAATCCAATCCATGGCACATTTCATAAACAAGCAGTTTCCAAAGTACTGTCCAACAATAAAAAATAGCAACAAATAAACAAATACAAACATATATAAAATATTAAACAAAAACACAGAGGACCTCTCGACTCACGCTGTGTTAAAAGCCAAAGACAAGTGGCTTAAAACAGGACTTAAAACTTTCCACAACTTTGGTCCAGCCACAGAGAAGGCCCTGTGCCCCCGGGTTTTAAGTCTCGTCTAAGAAGGTACCAGTGTGAAATACCAGAGTGCGTTACAGTAGTCCAGACGTGAAGAAACAAAAGCGTACATGACTCGTTCAAAAAGGTTAAAAGATTAAAAAAAAGCTTTAACTTAAAAACCGCAGATGATAAAAACTTTATTTTAAAAAGCTCTTGACCTGCTTGTCAAATTTAAAATCACTGTCTACGATGACGCCATGTTCACTCAGAGGTCCCACATCCACCTGATTGGCCCCAACATTGGCCACTTCTGTTTGTTTTCAGGTCGAGGTGTTCGGGGCCATGGGCATTTTTAGCAATGGGAAAATAGATTTGACAATTATCACCATAAAAATTATTTTAAAAAATGCCATGTATGCTTTTACCAGTGTCTCTCTGGTCTCTCCCTGGTCTCTGTCTCTGGTCCTTCCCTGGTCTCTGTCTCTGGTCTTTCCCTGGTCTCCGTCTCTGGTCTCTCTCTGGTCTTTCCCTGGTCTGTCTCTCTGGTCTCTCTCTGGTCTTTCCCTGGTCTCTCTCACTGGTCTCTCTTAGGTCTCTCTATCGTCCTTCTATGGCACTGATTATCAACTGGTGGCCTGCGGGGTGAATCCGACCCGCCAAGCCATTCGATCCGGCCCGCGGCTGTATTCCAAAATTGTGAGGATTTTTTATATTTTTGTACTTTTTTTAAATTATTAGTATTTATTATTATTATTATTTTCCAGCTGTTCCAGCTTCTTCCCTCAGGTAGATGATGTGGTTTATTGAGATGCAGGACATCTCGTTTTGCTAACAGCTTCTTCCCACAAGCTGTGATCAGTTTAAACATTGCACCTCTGTGTAGAAACTGTTTCACAGAGTCAATTGTTTTCGTCTCGTCAGTCTCTCTCTGGTCTCTCACTGGTCTCTCCCCGGTCTGTCTCTGGTCTCTCCTCAGTCTCTCTCCGGCCTTTCTCTGGTCTCCCGTCAGTCTCTCTCTGGTCTCCCGTCAGTCTCTCTCTGGTCTCCCGTCAGTCTCTCTCTGGTCTCTCGTCATTCTCTCTCTGGGCTCTCGTCAGTCTCTCTCGTCAGTCTCTCTCTGGTCTCTCGTCAGTCTCTCTCTGGTCTCTCCCCGGTCTCTCTGGTCTTTCTCTAGTAGAACATATAAAAGCGCAGCTGCTGAGTTCTTCATCAGTCTCTGGACGGTTCATCTCTCGTTGCCATGGTCACGCTCTTGTGCCGCTCTGTGGAGGCGAGCGTGGGGAGCGTCAACCAATCAGAGAGCGCGCCTGCGACCGCAGACTTGACCCGCGAAAGTGTGGAGTATTTGTGTAACCCGCGCTCTTCACCGCTGTGCACGCACATACACGCGCACGCAAACACACATACCCACAACCAATCGCACACACACATACGCGTAAATGCAACCACACACATGTGCACGCAGCGGCGCGTACGTACACCCGCGGCCCACAATGCACCGCTGCCCTCATTATCGTCGCTAAAAGACGCTCTTGGCCCCGCGCACAATGGCACCGCGCAGTGTTTGTGCGCGGATTCTGTGGGGCGCCAGGTTCAAGTGTCGTGTTTCTGTAAAAGGGAATGGGGGGAGGAGGGGCGAGGAGGGGGCAGCGCGAGCGCAGAGAAACACTGACATAATCTGCGTTTAACCGGAGATAAAGTGATCGTTTCAAGGACGTCATTCTGACGGCTTTAGCCTCCCATTGTCTGCAGCGCTGCCCTAAAGCTGGGAACCTAACTTATTACACATGTTTAAAGCTCAGGTCTGTAACTTTAGTCTTGTAAATAACACATGTTTAAAGCTCAGGTCTGTAACTTTAGTCTCATCAAGAACACATGTTTAAAGCTCAGGTCTGTAACTTTAGTCTCATCAAGAACACATGTTTAAAGCTGAGGTCTGTAACTTTAGCCTCATCAATAACACATGTTTAAAGCTCAGGTCTGTAACTTTAGCCTCATCAATAACACATGTTTGAAGCTCAGGTCTGTAACTTTAGTCTCATCAAGAACACATGTTTAAAGCTCAGGTCTGTAACTTTAGTCTCATCAATAACACATGTTTAAAGCTCAGGTCTGTAACTTTAGTCTCATCAATAACACATGTTTAAAGCTGAGGTCTGTAAACTGAACAGATTAAGTCTGTATGTCTTAATATACACTATAACAAGTTTTGCTTCGATCTAAAGCATAAATAATGATGTACGAGGTTACTTTGCCCTAATTATGACTTTCTAAAAAGAAAGAAGGAAAATACACAAAGTGCATGTGCTACTTTAGGAAAACTTCTGTTGCTTAACTTGCAAATTCTGCTTTATTTTTTCAGCGTGGCCACATTTCCATAAGAGGCCAAAATATATCTGTGAAACACCTGAATAACGAGGGGCGTATTTATAATGTAAAGAACATGCATCTCACTGTATTTGTGTTTGTTAATCACTGAACCTCGAGCTACTTTATATGTTCTGCTTCGAGGATTTATTTAATATAAGAATGTTAATGTTACTGTTTATGTTATTTTTCTTTTCGTTTTTCTGCAGTGTCTGATACAGATCAGGGTTATATTAATTTATGTCTGTTTTAAATAATATCGTTGAGAGCAGAGTTACACTGCTTTAAGTAGTAAATATAAACTGAACATAGAGATATGTGCCACCGAGTGCTAATGTGCTAATGTGCTAATGTGCTAATGTGCTAATGTAGCGTAAACAAAGATTTCCTTTTCCTCAGCCGTCCAGTCTGAAGTGTTTGTTTTGAGCCTTTCTTTATCCGTGTCCAGTGATTTGGTGCTGCTTCTTATTTGAGGACGGTGGCCCTTGTGACTTAAATTACTTCAATTGTAATGACAATATAAAAGCTGGAATCCGGATCTTTCGAATCCTGCGATTTTTCAAGTCAAGACTCTTCAAAAAAAAGTCAAAGACTGCATCGCTTCATAACGTCTTCAGCTTGTGTGTTCCAGACCTGAAAGAAAACAAAGAATGCTTTTAACGTAGAATCTATGACACAGTGTAAAGCTTTCTTTTTTATTACAGATGTTTGGTGTTCCATGGTGGGTTCCCTCCTCTGGTCTCACAGTATCTCAGGGAACACAACATCAGCCGGACTGACTCACTCTCTTCATGGACAACACTCTGACCTCAGCAGCTTTCCCTTTGGGCCGCATGCAGAGGCCGGGACTGAGCTGACTACAATCATAGACTGTAAATGTCACGCCTGTCTCCGTTCAAACTAATGTGCCAGAACTTTTGGCTTCAATGGGCTTTTCAAAATAGCTGCGGAGGAAGGAAAATGTGAAAAAACACATTTGTGCATGCATCAGCCGGCACGAGCCCCATTCATTCGACGAGTGCCTTAAAAACCCACAGCGACTTCAGGAGACCAGTCTAGGTCTGCAGTCTGACAGCCTGGGGGGGCTGTCAGACTGCAGACCTAGACTGGGCCAAATGAATCCACCCCCCTCAGCATTGACACACATGTGGAACGAAGCTTTGGGCCAAGAGCCGACTTTTGGACCATCCTGTAAAGAAGTTTTTGAGAGGTGAGAAGATGCTATATGTTAGCATTGGCTAATTCTTATTCCGGGTCCACCCCCATTGGCCCGGGGTGGTATTGCAGCATGTCAGCGCACGTCATTTTGGCCAGCGGAAAAAGTTCAACAATGTTCTTTCGGCGCATGCATCAGGTCTGCGGCTTTGCATGGAGACTGGACACACCGCATGACAGGGTCTGAACGCCGCTTATGCTCTGGTTTGATTGACAAAGTGTCCAAACATTTTACAGAGATATGACTCAAGGAAGATACGTCCACGATGGGCATGCAGCTAATGCACTCTCATCAAGTTTAGTAAATAAAGCAGTGAACCAGGGTTCAGTCCAGGCTCAGTCCTGGTTTCCCAAGTTTACCCAGAATCAGAAATAGTGACAATAAAACCCCTTCGATTATTAGACTAAATTATTATATGATTATTGAATTTGAAGTGTGAAGCGGCTGGGATGAGAATCAGCACCTCCAAATCTGAGGCCATGGTGCTCGACCGGAAAAAGGTGCCCTGCCCTCTTCAGGTGGGTGGAGAAGTCCTTCCTCAAGTGGAGGAGTTCAAGTATCTCGGGGTCTTGTTCACGAGTGAGGGAAGAATGGAGCGTGAGATTGACAGGCGGATCGGTGCAGCGTGCGCAGTGATGCGGTCGCTGTATCGGACCGTTGTGGTAAAGAGGGAGCTGAGCCGAAAGGCAAAGCTCTCGATTTACCGGTCAATCTTCGTTCCCTCCCTCACCTATGGTCATGAGCTTTGGGTAATGACCGAAAGAACGAGATCGCGGATACAAGCGGTCGAAATGAGCTTCCTCCGCAGAGTGGCTGGGCGCTCCCTTAGAGATAGGGTGAGGAGCTCAGTCACACGGGAGGAGCTCGGAGTAGAGCCGCTGCTTCTCCACGTCGAGAGGAACCAGTTGAGGTGGCTCGGGCATCTGTTCAGGATGCCTCCTGGACGCCTCCCTGGGGAGGTGTTCCGGGCACGTCCCACCGGGAGGAGGCCCCGCGGAAGACCCAGGACACGCTGGAGGGACTATGTCTCTCAGCTGGCCTGGGAACGCCTTGGGGTTTCCCCGGACGAGCTGGAGGAGGTGTGTGTGGATAGGGAAGTCTGGGCGTCTCTGCTTAGACTGCTGCCCCCGCGACCCGGCAACGGATAAAGCGGAAGAAAATGGATGGATGGATGGATGGATTATTGAATTTGAGATGTTTAAATCCTAATGAATGACTGGGGTTATGGATAATAGTACCAAAATCTCAATCAACTTCATACAATAGCATCATAAGCTATATTTAGTATGCGGACATAATATAATAACATAATTTATTCCCTCTCTAAGCTCGGGTCCTCTCCCAGAGGCCTGGGAGCCTGAGGGTTCTGTGCAGTATCTTTGCTGTTCCTGCACTGCACATTTCTGGACCGAGGGTATTCCAGGGATCCGCTGTAACCACTCCTCCAGCTTGGAGACCCCTGCTCTAGTGTCTCTCTCTGTGGTCTCTCTCTAGTCTCTCTCTATTCTCTCTCTATTCTCTCTCTATTCTCTCTCTAATCTCTGTCTTTTCTCTCACTGGTCTTTTTCTAGTTTCTGTCTGGTCTCTCTCTAGTCTCTCTCTGGTCTCTCACTAGTATCTCTTTGGTCTCTCTCTAGTCTCTCTCTGGTCTCTCTAGTCTTTCTCTGGTCTCTCTAGTCTCTCTCTGGTCTCTCTCTAGTCTCTCTCTGGTGTCTCTCTGGTCTCTCTTCGACACATGGTAATCACTGTTAATCACATGAACAAAGCTCTGTGTGGGAGGGTTCTTTGTGCTCTCGTCTCTGCGTTGTGTGAAGGTGAAAGCTCGTGACAAAACAGCCCATAATTCCAGTGATCAGAGACAAGATAACGAGTGACAGCGGCGTGTGCGACAGACAGCGGCGCCAAGACGAGTTTATGAAGCGCACAACAAATATGACCCAGAGTCGAGATTCTGAGTCTCGAACCAAACCATTAACTTGTGTTTTTATTGTACAAAATTATATATCACAGCTTTTAAAGGGAAACTATAGCTGTTGTTCTGGCTCCCTCTCTCCTCTCTCTGGTCTCTCTCTGGTCTCTCTCTGGTCTCTCTCTGGTCTCTCCCTACTCTCTCTAGTCTCCCTCTAGTCCGTCACTAGTCTCTCTCTAGTCCGTCACTAGTCTCAATCTAGTCCGTCACTAGTCTCAATCTAGTCCGTCACTAGTCTCACTCTAGTCCGTCACTAGTCTCACTCTAGTCCGTCACTAGTCTCACTCTAGTCCGTCACTAGTCTCTCTCTAGTCCATCACTAGTCTCACTCTAGTCCGTCACTAGTCTCTTTCTAGTCCGTCACTAGTCTCTCTCTACTCTCTCACTAGTCTCTCTCTGGTCTCTCTCTAGTCCATCACCAGTCTCTCACTAGTCTCAGTCTCTCTGGTCTCTCTATGGTTTCTCTGTAGTCTGTCTCTGTCTAGTCCCTCTTCGGTCTCTCTCTGGTCTCTCTCCAGTCTTACAACCACCTGAACCAAAGCCAGACCACATTCTGTACCAGCGAGACCAAGTTCTGCTCCTTGTTCCTGGTGTCTGTACCGTCTGTACTCTGACACATGGTCCTGTGCAGAGCTCCAGCTGACTCCCTCTGCGCTGCTGCCCTCTGCTGGACACTCACTGCAACAGCAACAATAGTCATGAGAGAAATCTGGAAACACTGAAATAACAACGTCAGGGATATCTGTAACTTTTAGACCAACAGAACTGTGTATTAAACCCATGTCTCTGGTTCTAGGTCTAGAACAGTTGCTTCTGAATAAATTGAATTGAAATAAATAAATAGTGGCGTAGACTTTAAAGCTGTTTGTTGCAAGTCTCTCCATGGCCTCGCACCAAAGTACATCTATCCATTCAACCATCTTCTTCCACTTAATCCATTTCTGGTTCGGGGGGATGGCAGTCAGACCTGCACCCAGTCCACAGAGCACCAGCCCCTCACTGATCCTCCTGCAGGTGCTGAGTCCACAGGAGCTGAGATCTTTCAGCGGGGGCTTCAGGCAAAGTTGGGTTAAGTGGTTCTTGTGGGGGGGCTCGAACCTACAACCGTCAGGCTCAAAGTCCAACGCTCTACCAACTGAGCCACTGTCGCCCCCATCTGTGACATGTTGGTGCCATATGACCCGGCCCGGACTCTGAGGAGCACAGGGACCGGACTCCTGCTGGTCCCAGAGTCAGGACTAAACATGGGAAAGCTGCATTTCAGATTTATGCGACTGCAAACTGAAAATGTGAGAGAGGCGTCTAACCTGACAATGTTCAAATCCCGGTTAAAGACGGTTCTGTTTGGCCGTGCACACACCTGAGGGACTCTATCTCTATGTTTAAAGAATCTGGGGTTTGTGTATGTGATGATTTGTGTTGCCCCGTGTAGGAAAAGTATTGCACAAATAAAAACGGGTGGATTTCTTTCGTAACCTGAAGGAAGTGACAAAGGCCACGGCTCCTGATGCTGTGTGATTTCACTGCTGTTTATGTTACTGCTTGATTGTTTGATAAATACGTTCTCTGAGTTTGTCCTGAAGCTGCTGCTGTAACATTTCACAGACTGACCTCAAACCCTGAACACTTTTGATACAACTTTTTTTGTTGTTGTCCAAATCACATGAACGAGTTGTTTCACATTTGAAGGTAGTTTTAAATGTTGATCATGTGCATCAGTCGGAGATCTCTTTGGAATAAGATTTCTAGTATTTTAAACTTGACTGTCCAAACATATTTATGAAACGTGTATTGATTAATCTTAGTGCCCTTTTTGTGTGTTTTATTGACGTTTCCCCAGATTGTGCATAAGGTCTTAGCGATCTGTTAGCGATGAAGGCCGAGGTTGGATGAAGGATGGGATGGCACCCGGCTCTGGATCCAGAACAAAACATGACAAACTCCATGACACCGAACAGTCCTCAGGTTAAAAAAACAACCTGCATGAGGATAACATTAATATTACTCCCTTTATAGTCACTAAACACAGAGCAGTTTTATCAGCAAGAAGGTCCTGGGTTCGAATCTTAGTCAGAGCGTGGTCTTTCTGAGTGGAGTTTGCATGTTCTCCCCTGCGTAGCTTTTGTCCTACCGCTAACAACATGCACTGTAAGTAAAATCTAAAATGTGGTCCTGACCAATCCGAGCGTCGACTTCTGGAGGTGGGTTCCCGGCGCTGTTACTACGATGTGAATCTTAGCGGCATCAGGAAGTTTCAAATGCAGAGGAAGAATAAATAAAGTGCAACACTACCTTTTACTCCCCCCTCTGGTCTCTCTCTGGTGTCTCTCTGGTCTCTCTCTGGTGTCTCTCTGGTCTCTCTCTGGTCTCTCTCTGGTGTCTCTCTGGTCTCTCTCTAGTCTCTCTCTGGTCTCTCTCTGGTCTCTCTCTGGTGTCTCTCTGGTCTCTCTCTGGTCTCTCTCTGGTCTCTCTCTGGTCTCTCACTGGTCTCTCACTAGTCTCTCTCTGGTCTCTCTCTAGTCTCTCACTGGTCTCTCTCTAGTCTCTCTCTAGTCTCTTACTGGTCTCTCTCTGGTCTCTCTTTGGTCTCTCTCTAGTCTCTCTCTAGTCTCTTTTTAGTCTCTTTCTATTCTAAGCTTTGGTCTCTCACTGGTCTCTCACTGGTCTCTCTCTGGTCTCTCTCTAGTCTCTCACTGGTCTCTCTCTAGTCTCTCTCTGGTCTCTCTCTAGTCTCTCACTGGTCTCTCTCTAGTCTCTCACTGGTCTCTCTCTGGTCTCTCTCTGGTCTCTCTCTAGTCTCTCACTGGTCTCTCTCTAGTCTCTCACTGGTCTCTCTCTAGTCTCTCTGGTCTCTCTCTGGTCTCTCTCTGGTCTCTCTCTGGTCTCTCTCTGGTCTCTCTCTGGTGTCTCTCTGGTCTCTCTCTGGTCTCTCTAGTCTCTCTCTGGTCTCTTTCTGGTCTCTCTCTGGTCTCTCTCTGGTGTCTCTCTGGTCTCTCTCTGGTCTCTCTCTGGTCTCTCTCTAGTCTCTCTCTAGTCTCTCTCTGGTCTCTCTCTGGTCTCTCTCTGGTCTCTCTCTGGTGTCTCTCTGGTCTCTCTCTGGTCTCTCTCTGGTCTCTCTCTGGTCTCTCTCTGGTCTCTCTCTGGTCTCTCTCTGGTGTCTCTCTGGTCTCTCTCTGGTCTCTCTCTGGTCTCTCTAGTCTCTCTCTAGTCTCTTTCTGGTCTCTCTCTGGTCTCTCTCTGGTCTCTCTCTAGTCTCTCTCTAGTCTCTTTCTAGTCTCTTTCTAGTCTCTCTCTGGTCTCTCGCTGGTGTCTCTCTGGTCTCTCTCTAGTCTCTCTCTGGTCTCTCTCTAGTCTCTCTTTGGTCTCTCTCTGGTCTCTCTCTAGTCTCTCTCTGATCTCTCTCTGGCCTTTCTCTAGTTTCTCTCTCTGGTCTCTCCCAAGTCTCTCTCTAGTCTCTTTCTGGTCTCTCTCTACTCTACGATCTTTCTCTGGTCTCTCTCTAGTCTTTCACTGGTTTCTCTCTGGTCTCTCTCTGGTCTCTCTCTAGTCTCTCTCTAGTCTCTCTCTAGTCTCTCTCTAGTCTCTCTCTAGTCTCTCTCTGGTCTCTCTCTAGTCTCTGTCTCGACTCTATGGTCTCTGTAGAGTCTCTGGACTGGATACCATACGAGCTGCTGTACCATAACATTGTAATGTAATACCCTTCTTAGATGTTTCTGTACATAGTTGTAATCAGTATCGAGTTCCACACTTTCTCCCATTGTTTTTTAAGAAATAATCACAATGTCAAAAGGGCATTCAGTACCAAGGCTAAACTAGCTTAGCATAGTTACGGACTCAGATCAAGAACCAAACTAACAGCTCCTTGTTTCCAGTACCTTCTCTGTAAGACCCAAAACAAGTTGTTAAATCCTATTTTAAAGGGTGGCACTTTCACAGAAGATCACATGTGTTCAAGGATGAAGAGTTTCTGTTCAAACGTCTTAACCAGGATAAACATGATCCTAGTGTAATTCCTCATCCGTGCCACAAGAGGGAGGTCGAGATCTCTCTCTCGTCTGTACACAGGTGTAATGTGAGGTCTGTACACAGGTGTAATGTGAGGTCTGTAACACAGGTGTAATGTGAGGTCTGTACACAGGTGTAATGTGAGGTCTGTAACACAGGTGTAATGTGAGGTCTGTACACAGGTGTAATGTGAGGTCTGCACACAGGTGTAATGTGAGGTCTGTGCACAGGTGTAATGTGAGGTCTGTACACAGGTGTAATGTGAGGTCTGTACACAGGTGTAATGTGAGGTCTGTGCACAGGTGTAATGTGAGGTCTGTAACACAAGTGTAATGTGAGGTCTGTACACAGGTGTAATGTGAGGTTTGTGCACAGGTGTAATGTGAGGTCTGTACACTGGTATAATGTGAGGTCTATACACAGGTGTAATTTGAGGTCTGTGCACAGGTGTAATGTGAGGTCTGTAACACAAGTGTAATGTGGGGTCTGTACACAGGTGTAATGTGGGGTCTGTACACAGGTGTAATGTGAGGTCTGTGCACAGGTGTAATGTGAAGTCTGTACACAGGTGTAATGTGAGGTCTGTGCACAGGTGTAATGTGAGGTCTGTGCACAGGTGTAATGTGAGGTCTGTAACACAGGTGTAATGTGAGGTCTGTAACACAAGTGTAATGTGAGGTCTGTAACACAGGTGTAATGTGAGGTCTGTAACACAGGTGTAATGTGAGGTCTGTACACAGGTGTAATGTGAGGTCTGTACACAAGTGTAATGTGAGGTCTGTGCACAGGTGTAATGTGAGGTCTGTGCACAGGTGTAATGTGAGGTCTGTACACAGGTGTAATGTGAGGTCTGTAACACAAGTGTAATGGTAGGTCTGTACACAGGTGTAATGTGAGGTCTGTAACACAAGTGTAATGTGAGGTCGTTGTTGAAAGCAGCTGGCATTGCATCTGTATCTCTGGAGACAAACATAAACACACATCTATGAACCTTCTCAGATCATGCCCAAATATGGTCACGCAGCCCTCCTGAGGCATAATGGGAAATGTAGTCTGTAAACAGCTGCACAGAGTAGAGACTGGAATAGTTTTGAAGACACCTTCTCTGAGGCCCGGGTCTGCTCCCGAGGAATGTGGAGGAGTATGTTCTAGAAGAGAGAGACCAGAGAGAGACTAGAGGAAGAGCAGAGAGAGAGAGACCAGAGTTGGTCAAATAAAATTCTGTTTAAATTGTGAGAATGATTTGTTCAGATAATTTAAAAAATGTGTATCTATCTCTTTGGTTTATCTCCCTGGTCTCTCTTTCTGGTCTCTCTCTCTGGTTTCTCTCCCTGGTCTCTCTCTGGTTTATCTCCCTGGTCTCTCTCTCTGGTTTCTCTCTCTGGTTTCGCTCCCTGATATCCCTCTCTGGTCTCTCTTTATGGTTCAAACGTGGGGCAGAATCCTCCATAGTCCCCCAGAGAAGACCCAGGACTCTCAGGGGTCTGTTTCTGTTCGCTGGCCGTGGACCCCCCACATTCTTTTCTAAAATTACATCATCACCTGTCGCTCTGAAACAAACAGGATTAAAACATGCGACCAACGAGGAGGGGGCTCGTCTCTTTAACATGTCACTGCATCAATATCGACCAACAAGTACACATCTACCATCAGAGAGCCCAGAGGGAGAGACCAGAGAGGCCAGAGGGAGACCAGAGAGAGACCTGAGAGAGAGACCAGAGAGACCAGAGAGAGACCTGAGAGAGACCAGAGAGAGACCAGAGAGAGACCAGAGAGAGACCTGAGAGAGACCAGAGAGACCAGGAAGAGACCTGAGAGAGACCAGAGAGACCAGGAAGAGACCTGAGAGAGACCAGAGAGACCAGGAAGAGACCTGAGAGAGACCAGAGAGACCAGGAAGAGACCTGAGAGAGACCAGAGAGAGAGACCAGAGAGAGAGACCAGAAAGGCCAGAGGGAGACCAGAGAGAGACCAGAGAGAGACCTGAGAGAGACCAGAGAGAGACCAGAGAGAGACCAGAGAGAGACCAGAGAGAGACCTGAGAGAGACCAGAGAGAGACCAGGAAGAGACCTGAGAGAGACCAGAGAGACCAGGAAGAGACCTGAGAGAGACCAGAGAGACCAGGAAGAGACCTGAGAGAGACCAGAGAGACCAGGAAGAGACCTGAGAGAGACCAGAGAGAGAGACCAGAGAGAGACCTGAGAGACCAGAGAGAGACCAGAGAGAGACCTGAGAGAGACCAGAGAGACACCAGAGAGAGACCAGAGAGAGAGACCAGAGAGAGACCTGAGAGACCAGAGAGAGACCAGAGAGGGACCAGAAAGAGACCTGAGAGAGACCTGAGAGAGACCAGAGAGAGACCAGAGAGAGACCAGAGAGAGACCAGAGAGAGACCTGAGAGAGACCAGAGAGAGACCTGAGAGAGAGACCAGAGAGACCAGAGAGAGACCTGAGAGAGACCAGAGAGAGACCAGAGAGAGACCAGAGAGAGAGACCAGAAAGAGACCTGAGAGAGAGCAGAGACCAGAGAGAGACCAGAGAGACCAGAGAGAGACCAGAGAGAGACCAGAGAGAGACCAGAGAGAGACCTGAGAGAGACCAGAGAGACCAGAGAGACCAGAGAGAGACCAGAGAGAGACCAGAGAGAGACCAGAGAGAGACCAGAGAGAGACCAGAGAGAGACCAGAGAGAGACCAAAGAGAGACCCGTGCGAGACTGGAGAGAGACAAGAGAGAGATCAGACAGAGAGACCAGAGAGAGACCAGAGAGATATAGTGAACTAGGTTTGAGACAGAGGCATTCAGACAGAAGGGACGGGGGATGTGAGAGCGTGGCCTTACTTTATGTCTTAATAGACTCAGGTCTCCAGAGACATAGACCAAGGGGAAGAGAGAGGTGAGAGAAAGGAGAGAGGGGGAGAGAGAAGGGGAGGGAGAGAGGAGAGTGAGAAGGGAGAAAGAGAGGGAGAGAGAGGAGAGAGAAAGAGGAGGGACCAGAGCTGAGACCAGAGCTGAGACCAGAGAAAGACCAGAGACCAAATGGACCTATAAGGATTTGAAAAGGAGAGACTCGTGTGGATTATCACAGTGGAAGGTTTTAGTTTCTATTTTTTGAGCAAACACAAAATGTATCGAAGAGTGATGAGGACAGATTCAGTCCTGCTTTAGACTCGGTCCAGACCCGGTTCAGACCCGAGTCCTGGTCCAGCCTCAGTCCTGGTCCAGCCTCAGTCCTGGTCCAGCCGCAGTCCTGGTCCAGCCTCAGTCCTGGTCCTGCCTCAGTCCTGGTCCAGCCTCAGTCCTGGTCCTGGTCCTGCCTCAGTCCTGGTCCTGCCTCAGTCCTGGTCCAGCCTCAGCCCTGGTCCTGCCGCAGTTCTTGTCCAGCCTCAGTCCTGGTCCAGCCTCACGAGTCCTGGTCCTGCTTCAGTCCTGGTCCAGCCTCAGCCCTGGTCCTGCCGCAGTCCTTGTCCAGCCTCAGTCCTGGTCCAGCCTCACCAGTCCTTGTCCAGCCTCAGTCCTGGTCCAGCCTCACCAGTCCTGGTCCAGCCTCAGTCCTGGTCTAGCTGTTTTGTTCTGATGTCGTCTCCTCTTCCCACTGGCCACTCCCCGGGGCCTGAGTCCCAGTCCAGACCTGGGATTTGCTGTGGTCTGAGAGCCGGTCTTTCAGTGGTCCGGTCTCGGAGGGTCTGGAGGGTTGTCCCACACCTGGTCCTGATCCTGACTCTGGTCTCGTACGCAGCTTTAGGAGCTCTGCTTTTCTGGTACATCGAAGGAGGAGCCGAGTCCAACCCCACGGAAAAGGACTACAAGAAGTTCCTCCAAGACATAGTCCAGACCGTGCAGAACCAATCAGGTCTGTGTGAGAGACCAGAAAGAGACAAGAGAGAGACCAGAGACCAGATAGACAAGAGAGAGACAGAGAGACCGGAGAAAGATCAGAGGGAGATCAGAGGGAGACCAGAGAGAGACCAGAGAGACCAGAGAGAGACCAGAGAGAGACCAGAGAGAGACCAGAGAGAGACCAGAGAAAGACATAGAAAGAGAGCAGAGGGAGACCAGAGATACCAGAGAGGGACCAAATAGAGAAAGAGAAACCAGAGAGTGACTAGAGAGAGACCAACGAGCAAGACCAGATAGAGACCAGTTGTTAAAGAGTCAAAGAGTAAATAAGACCCTTTTGGAAATGAACGACATTCATTCAACACGTGACATAGTCCCCTGGTGTCTGCACACAACTCCTCTCTTCAGTCTCTGGTCTCTCACTCCTGTCTTGTTGTTGTTTTGTTGTTGTGTTATTGTTGTGTCCCAGACAACACCTCTCTCCAGTTTCTGGTCTCTGAGCTGCAGATGAAGATGGAGAATGATTTTCAGTCCATTTGGCTCCAGAGCCCAAAGAGATGGAACTACAGCAGCTCGATCTTCTTCTGCTGCACTGTCTTCACCACCGTGGGTACGACGACAGACACACCCACACACAAACGCAGAGACACACAGGCGCACACAGGAAGACAGGATCGGTTTAAAGTTACAGATCCCAGCTTTAAAACACAAACTCTAAAACAACTCCACTGGTGCAGAGGGAGCAGGGCAGGCGGTTGTGGCTTTGGTAAAGTGTGTAAAGTGCTTCCTCACTTCCTGGATCTGCCATTAGCCTTCGTCCTCGTTAGCCTCGTCTTCATCACAGACAATAAAAAGTTCTAATGCGCCGCACTCTCAGGAAGCACAGGGGAATGGCCACGAGAGGAAGACGAGTTTCACTTTAGATCAGAGCGAAGATGGAACGAAAACCACATAATGAAGGGGAGAGAGAGGAGAGAGAGAAGAGGGGAGAGTGGAGAGGAAAGAGAGGAGAGATGGGGGAGATGAGAGGATAGGAAAGAGATCTCCCTTTTCTACCCCTCCACTCATCTCTCTCTCCCTCTTATTCCCCATACTGGTCTCTCTCTCTGGTCTCTTTCTCTGGTCTCTCTCTCTGGTCTCTTTCTCTGGTCTCACTCTGGTCTCTCTCTCTGGTCTCTTTCTCTGGTCTCTCTCTCTGGTCTCTTTCTCTGGTCTCTCTCTCTGGTCTCTCTCTGGTCTCTTTCTCTGGTCTCTTTCTCTAGTCTCTCTCTCTAGTCTCTCTCTCTGGTCTCTTTCTCTAGTCTCTCTCTGGTCTCTTTCTCTGGTCTCTTTCTCTAGTCTCTCTCTCTAGTCTCTCTCTCTGGTCTCTTTCTCTAGTCTCTCTCTGGTCTCTCTCTTTGGTCTCTCTCTGGTCTCTCTCTCTGGTCCCTCTCTTTGGTCTCTCTCTGGTCTCTCTCTGGTCTCTCTCTTTGGTTTCTCTCTGGTCCCTCTCTCTGGTCCCTCTCTTTGGTCTCTTTATCTGGTCTCTCTATTTGGTCTCTCTCTATGGTCTCTCTCTATGGTCTCTCTCTCTGATCTCTCTCTCTGGTCTCTCTCTCTGGTCTCTCTCTCTGGTCTCTCTCTGGTCTCACTCTCTGGTCTCTCTCTCTGGTCTCTCTCTCTGGTCTCTCTCTCTGGTCTCTCTCTCTGGTCTCTCTCTGGTCTCACTCTCTGGTCTCTCTCTCTGGTCTCTCTCTCTGGTCTCTCTCTCTGGTCTCTCTCTCTTTGGTCTCTTTCTCTGGTCTCTCTCTCTTTGGTCTCTCTCTGGTCTCTCTCTCTGGTCTCTCTCTATTTAGTCTCTTTCTCTGGTCTCTCTCTATTTAGTCTCTTTCTCTGGTCTCTCTCTTTCTGGTCTCTCTCTCTGGTCTCTCTCTATTTAGTCTCTTTCTCTGGTCTCTCTCGCTTTGGTCTCTCTCTCTGGTCTCTCTCTCTCTTTGGTCTCTTTCTCTGGTCTCTCTCTCTTTGGTCTCTCTCTCTGGTCTCTCTCTCTTTGGTCTCTTTCTCTGATCTCTCTCTCTTTGGTCTCTCTCTGGTCTCTCTCTCTTTGGTCTCTTTCTCTGATCTCTCTCTCTTTGGTCTCTCTCTCTTTGGTCTCTTTCTCTGGTCTCTCTCTCTTTGGTCTCTCTCTGGTCTCTCTCTCCAGTTTGATTGGATAAAAACTACATGATCTCCAACACCAGCAGAGGAAAACTATGAACAAAAAAGTAAAGACTTTGGGGATAATTGAAAATATATAAATATATAAAACCTTGAGGCGGCAGAGAAGGCCCTGAGTCTGTGTCGTCTCTACCGGTCGGTGTTTCCAGGTTATGGGGAGCTGTATCCGGTGACGTGGTGGGGGAAGCTGATGTGTGTGCTGTATGCGATGGTGGGCGTGCCGCTGATGCTGCTGGTCATCCTGGACGTGGGGGACTTCCTGGCGCTGTTGATGACGCGCGCGTACAGACACCTGTACCGACTCCTGCGCCTGCTCAAGAAACGCATCCACACGTTGTTGAGGCGGCGGCGGCGCTGGGACCTGGCCACAACCCGCACCCTGGAGGACGGGACTCTGGTGCTTGGAAAGAGAAACATGGTCATAGAGAGGCCCCTGGACATCAGACAGGTGTCGCTCTCTCTCTGCTTTCTCTCGTTTCTCTCTCTCTCTCTCTCCCTCTCCACGTTCAAATGTGCGATCCATACATGGATCTATCCATGAGACGCTAGCTCTGTAAACAACAGTGGGTGAGGGGTAGTGGGGGGACAGCTTCGTGGGTGCGGGGAGGGGAGGAAAAAGAGCGAGGCCAGTGAAACCGCTGCTTCAAAATCCCAAAGTCAGTTAGTGCAGCTTTAACTTTATAAAAGCATATCGACAGCACAATCAAAGAGCACTGCTGTATCCCACAATGCACTGCATCCTCACAGGTTAATTCCTGTCTGAGCATCATTTAGGAAACTCGTGTAAACATCTGCTGAACTCCAGTGAAACTCAAGCCGATCCCCGCGCCCCGGAAGTCAAGTGTTGTTTTAACTAAAACTCGGTAGTGGTGCGTGCATAAAGCCCATTGGCTCTGGACTAGGGATGTAAAAAACTATGAATTTTCATGACCGACCACCAAGCCTCATTAACCAGTTGAAACCGGTTAACAGCGTAGTTAAAAATATTCCACGTTCTTAGAAATAACCATTTCGAGCCGCGTACTTTTCATAAGTGCAGCTCTGCGTTCTACAGGATCAGAGCCAAGACAGCGGCGCCAAAACCCACAAAAGCTTCGGCACCTTTGCGCACAAAGAACTGCTTTTTTAATCTTTCCATTCTTCTGTGCAGCGGGTTAAAGCATTTTAGCAGAAAACAACGGCTCGTCCACATGATCAGAGCAGCGAGTGACGAGCCGCATCTCGCAGATCTCCGCTAAAGTTTAAAAGTGATGTGTGTGGAACTGATGACAAGGACCAGCAACACACACATGGTCCATGTGGTTGGACTGACGCCGCGTATTTGGATACTTTGGGCTGCGTGACACAGAGGAGCATGACAGACCGGTGTGTGTGTGTGTGTGTGTGTGTGTGTGTGTGTGTGTGTGTGTGTGTGTGTGTGTGTGTGCACTTGTTTTCAACTCCTGGTGGGTTCCATAACCTGAGATTCCACTCACGTCATGGGGACTGGTTTTACGTGGTGGGGCCCGAACACCGGACCCCACTGGTCCAAGCTTAATAATCAATGGGTAATGCTTTTCTAACGGTCCTTATGCAGTCTCTGTAAAAATATGGAAAGGACCCCTGGAGGTTTACTTTCCTGAAAAAAGTGTGTTATGTGTCGGAACCCTGGTGGTGGGTTGCGGGATATCAAGGAGGGGCACACTGGGGCAATTTCAGTCCAGCAGGCTGGAGCCAATCATGGAGCAGCACAACAGAGGAAATCAGGTGTCAGGCTAGAAAAAGGTGCAAGTGTGTGGTTCATTAGGCTGCAAGAAATCATGGAGGAGCACACTGAAGCGCACGCTTACAAACCACTGGTAAGTGCTGACTACAAGTCATGACTTCAAATTGTTATATAGAATGATTACAAATTATTTGTTGTTTGTGCAGCTTAGTCAAGAGTCCCTAATTGATGAAGTCGACTCAGATTCTGACGATTTAACTGTCAAGAAGAAACCTGTAAAAAAGTATGGAAAAAGAAAAATCAAAAACACTTTTCTTCAAGACTCGGAAAGTGACGAACCAAAGGCAAATAAGATTGTTATCATGCAGCTGCAAAAGAAGAAAAATGGGGGGCGAGTTTACAGCAAGAGACACTTCTGCCTCTACTGTTCAATGTCCTGCCACAAAATGTCCCGTCATTTGACTAGAAAACATGGAAATGAAAGTGACGTAGCCAGAGCATTGGCTCTACCTGTGAAATCTAAAGCACGTAAACTTCAGTTTGATTTGATCAGGAATAGTGGAAACCGTGAGCACAATTTTGAGGTTTTAAAGGCCGGCATTGGAACTTTAGTCCCAGCTAAACAGCCAAATTCCCCAGTTAAATCCAGTGAGTTTTTGCACTGTATAGACTGTGGGGCATTGCTTAAGCGAAAGTCGCTGTGCAGGCATGTGGCCAGGTGCCGGCTTTCACAGAAAGATGCCCAGGCTAAACCAGGTAGAAGTAGGGTCCAGTCCCTCTGCTCCCTAGCCCAGCCTGTACCGGAGGGCATCAGCAAAAAGCTGTGGTCTTTAATTTCGGCAATGCATCAGGATGAGGTCACGGGTGTTGTCAAAGCAGAAAAGGGGATTCTGAGACTCGGAGAGCACCTGTACTTAAAACACGGGCATGATAAGACTAAGCATGATTACATTAGGCAGAAAATGAGAGAAGTCGGTAGGTTAATTAACGAAGCAAAAACCGCAGGGAAACTGAAAACAATTAAGGATTTCTTTATTCCTTCCAACTTTAACCATGTGATTGATGCAGTCAGGTCTGTGGCTGGATATGATGAGGAAACAAATCAATACAAGACTCCATCCTTGGCCCTCAAACTCGGCCATAGCCTCAGAAAGCTAGCAGATATTCTTGAATGTGACTCAAAAATGGAGCATTGTGTTGATGAACTATTTATTAAAAACCTCCAACGAAGCCGGCTGCTTTTTGAGAAGAGGTGGGACGTCTGTGTTTCTTCTGCTGCCCTACAGACCCTCCGGCAAGCCAAGTGGAACACTCCGGACCTGCTCCCTCTGACTGAGGACGTTAGAGCCATGCATGCACATATTGAGGTATGTCGACCTGAATATGCGCAAACCCTAATAAGTGAACCAACGTCTAAGCATTGGTCTAAACTGGCAGTTTTGACTCTTTGTGAGGTCATCATTTTCAATCGAAGAAGGGAAGGTGAGGTTTCAAAGATGCCACTGACAGCCTTTACCTTAAGAAGTAAGACTGGGATCCATTCTGACATTGCTCTGGGACTGTCCCAACTTGAGAAAAAGCTGTGTCAGCATTTTCAACGCATTGAAATTAAAGGGAAAAGAAGTCGGAAAGTGCCGGTTCTTTTGACTCCTGAAATGATTGCTTCGATGGAGGTGCTGGTGGAGAACAGAAGGGCCTGTTCCATCTCTGACCATAACCCATACTTCTTTTCCCGCCCGGGCGCAGACACCCACATCAGGGGATCAGACTCCCTACGCCAGGTAGCCAAAGAATGTGGTGCGGTGCATCCAGAGATGCTATCCTCAACCAAACTTAGAAAGCACATAGCTACTATGTCTACAGTTCTCAATATGAAAGAGAATGAGATGGACATACTTGCCAACTTCCTCGGCCATGACATTCGCATCCACAGGCAATATTACAGACTACCAGAGGGGACACTGGAGCTGGCCAAAATCAGCAAAGTGTTGATGGCCATGGAGCAGGGAAGAGTGACGGAATTCGAAGGAAAGAGCCTCGACCAGATACAAATTGAGCCTGAAGGTAATTCTTGATATTATTAAAATATGTATGATTTTTTTCCCCTAAAGGCCACTTGTATTTTTATTTTCTGTGCGACAGGGAGAGCAGTAGAGATCCTCTCACAAACGGACGGGCTAAAAGAAACTTCAAGCGGAGAACCTTCAACCATTCATCCAGATGCACCCCATGGTAGTGGCAGTGCCCCTTCTGGTAAGTGTACCAGGTGGGGGATTACAGCCAGGCTGCTTGGTCCTAACCCTGGGAGTGTATATTGCTAATATATTTTTATTTCTCTTCCTAGAACGTGTAAGAAAGCCATGGTCTGCATCTGAGGTGAAGGCTGTGGAGAAGACCATGACACCTTTCATACAGACTGGAAAGGTCCCTGGGAAGTCTCACTGCCTGGCCTGCATTAATGCCTCACCAGATGACCTTAGACATCGGACATGGAGTGGCATTAAATTCTATGTCAAAAATAGAATCACTGCAATTCGAAAACAAAATCTAAAATAAAATTCCTTTAAAATAGTTGTTTGGTTTCTATTGACTGTTTTGTATTACTTAAAGTCTTGGTAAAAAAAGATTATGTCTATGGGTCCCATTCTGAACGGCCCTGTCAAAGGGACCCACCAGGTAACAAAAACGTGTGTGTGTGTGTGTGTGTGTGTGTGTGTGTGTGTGTGTGTGTGTGTGTGTGTGTGTGTGTGTGTGTGTGTGTGTGTGTGTGTGTGTGTGTGTGTGTGTGTGTGTGTGTGTGTGTGTGTCATGAGAGTCAGCCCGGAGTTTACTGATACATTGGCGCACACAGCTAGATTCGGACCCTTTCGTCACACTGTGTAAATAGGGCTTAAAATAGCGTTATTAAGAGACCTCCTCCTCCCTCTTTTCTTTTTTTAACCGACAGCTCTGACCGGTTAACGCTGCGACGGTCAACCACCGGTTAAACGGTCACCGATTTACATCCCTTCTCTGGAGTACTGTGTGACGTTGCTTTATAAAGTCTGACCCAGGTCTTTCTGCATCCAAGTCTCACACGCCCTATAGCGAGAGTATTCTAGCGACATCTAGTGGATTAAAATTGAAGTACATCAATTGACCGCCACTACTGCTGAGATAATTCTGTGGTTTAGGTTCAGGTGTGTAAACAACAGAGAATTCTGATGTGTAAACTATTGCTTTAAGCAGCAAGGACAACTGACCATTTTTTTATGTGGGCTGGGATTGACAAGCGAGCTGTCAATCACAGCCCAAACCCTCTTGGGTCTACCTCTCTGGTCTCTCTCTTTGGTCTCTCTCTCAGGTCTCCCTCTCTGGTCTCCCTCCCTGGTCTCCCGCCCTGGTCTCTCTCTCGGGTCTCCCTCTCTGGTCTCCCTCCCTGGTCTCTCTCTCGGGTCTCTCTCTCGGGTCTCTCTCTCGGGTCTCCCTCTCTGGACTCTCTCAGTGGTCTAACAATGGTCTTTCTCTGGTTTCTCTCTGCTCTCCCCCAGGTGATGCGGTCCCAGGTCGGAGTGAGGCAGAAGTCGATCCACCTGCAGAACAATAAGGAGATCTTTGAGAAGATATTGTTGCGTGAGCAGCTGCTGCGCCCTGGCGCACTCAGCCGCAGTGTGTCGTGCCCTGAGCTGGACCGTCTGCCGCGCTCCAAGAAGCCCTTTGTCTTGTGGGACTTCAGCGGTCTCGGCGAGGACATGGACAACTTGGACGTCCCCTTCCTGCTCATTCTACCGGTAGTGTTTGGCTACGTGCTGCTGATGGCGCTGGTGCTGCCTTGCTGGGAGACCGAGCTGTCGCTGTTCGACGCTTTCTACTTCTGCTTCATCACCATCACCACCATCGGTTTCGGGGACATTGTCCCCAAACACCCCAACTTCTTCATGCTCACCTCCGTCATCATCATCTGCGGCATGGCCATTGTGTCCATGGCCTTCAAGCTCAGCCAGAGCAAGATCGTCAGCGTCTACAGGGGGTGCATCCAGTATGTCAACCCCCGCAAGGAGAAGGCACACAGGGATAAGGCGCACAGGGACGAGACGCACAGGGACGAGACACACAGGGACAAGGCTCGTCCTCTGAAGGCCTGAAGCTGCCTCCGGTTCACAGCCTCCGATGTCTGAAACCAGTCCTGAGAGGCAGGTGTGGCTGCAGGTCTCACTCACTTTAAGGACCAAGTGGACAGCCCTGGTTCACATGGTTCTGTGTCATTCTCCTGACCACCAGTGCATAGTACGGAATGTTCCCTTTACAAAAGAGTATAAATAACAAGAGGCAAAACTCTGTTGCCATTTAACGCAATATGGCCTTTTTTCACACAAAAAGACATAAATAATGACCTCTCAGGGTCTGCCTCGACTTTCAGACCAAAATATCAAGTGGAAAATCACTGACTTCTGCATGAGGCTTAAAGACCTGCTAAGCAGACAGGGCCTTGATCTTTGGAGTTTGCATGTTCTCTCTGTGTCTGCTCTGGTTTCCCCTCCTCTCTCCGGGGCCAGAGCTCATCTGAGAGTGAATTATCATTATTATTTATCTGCCTGATCCATCGAACTGACCATACCCAGAGACACATTGGTAACTCAGCAGAACGAGCTTCTTCACGCTTTGTCTTATCAAAAGAACCTTCTAAAGCTACTTGTGCCGCTGGCCTTTGAACGCAGCGTCCATGCGAACTGGACACACATTCTCTAGATTTCAGCCGCGTGAGTTTAGAAAATATGAATCTGAAGTACAGCCCTGCGGTGGGAAAAAACGCAGGGCTGTACTTCAGATTTTCTAAACTCACGCGGCTGAAATCTAGAGAATGTGTGTCCAGTGGATTAAGCTAGCGGCTTTTTGTGTGTTCTTCTGTCCGAGACCTTCCATAGACTTCATATAACAGCAGTATGTGTTCACGGAGCTGTGCCATTAGATTAACTTGTTATTAACTAGAACTTCCACATCGGCGAAGACGCAAGCAGCAACAATTGTTTACAGTCACGGGAGAATGAGAACTCAGGCTGGAAGCATATGTTCACAAGCACAGTGTCCCCCTTTGTCAGTCCTTGGTTTAATCCTAGTTTAGCTTTTTCTTTCGCTCTGACTGCCAGTGTCCCTGTGTCCAGTTTGCGGGACTCATTGCTGCACATGTGACCAGCGGAAAAAGTTGAACAATGTTAATTTCCTGCTTTCGCCGCATGCTTTGAGTTCACGTACTCTCTTGCCGCTGCATCTGCAGTGCAGGACAAATCTGCGTTGCACGACTCACATGCAATTCCTTCCATTCCACAAACGGACGTCACCAAAGACTTTGCATTGAATGCCCATGGCACATGGTATTATATTCACGTGGGCTACCCAGAAAAATGTCCCATAGAACTCAATGTAAACTAAAACAGCTCGACCTCAGCTGACAGAGAACCTACAGCTTTCATAAAGATCAGATTTTGTGGGGATTTTAGTGTTCCTTGTTGTCTTGAACTTTTTTTCTTCATAAAATCCTTTCGTTTTCTTTAAATCCACTCTTTAATACAACAAACTCTGCCTTTTTTCTTCCCAATCTAGCTGCGCTCTGATTGGTCGGAGTGCGGCCGAGCCTCTCTGTGCATGTGTGTAAGAGCCACGGCAGCCTTTGGCGTAAAGCATCATGGGAGCTCGTCCAATGCGCAGACGATGCCCAAATATGGCCGAGTTCCGCTAATCTCTCGGTCCCTGTGTATGTCCCAATCGCTACTGAGGACTGTCACTCCCGTATTCGTCCCGGAAACCGGATTCGTCCGGAAGTTCAGTTTGATCCAATGAGCAAACGCAGCAGTAGATCACGTCACGGAATCTGGACGGAAGCGGAAGTAAATAAAACAAACTACCTATTCATGCCTAAACTTAACCAGCCATTCCCATAAAATAACCCCAACCCAGCCTTAACCCTAAACTTAACCATCTTACTCAGACGCCTAAACTTAACCAGTCACCACATAAGGACTTATTACACTTTTTGACATGCGCAAACTGAACTTCCGGACAAATCCGGTTTCCGGGACAAATACGGGAGTGACAAGGACATCGATGTGATAGGGTGCCATCTTGGATCGCCAGGGCTTTGTTGACAAGCATTGAAACACTCACAGGAAGTGACATGGTGAAACCGGAAGTACTTCAAAATTAAACAGCAGAAATACACAAATACAAATACAACATCCATGGTACAACTTTGAGCTCCAGTTCAGAGAATCATAGTTTCTCTTTATTTTGAAATTCAACAGTTTTTTGTCATTAATTAAAGGACAACTAAACACCAAATGTGGCATCCTCTCTACATTTTTGGTGTCACCAAATTTGGTACCCGACCTCTCCATGGGCTACATGCACGAGGTGTCATTTCCTTTAAACAAAGAACAGCTTGTTTACTTCCTGTCTATGCTCTCGTTGTGGCTGTGGTGAGTTGTACTGATGTTTTTAATAATTGGATTGATACATTCAGCTGAGACTGACCCAAAAGTGTGGACGTGCTTTCTCTCTGAGGAATAGCTTTGACTGTGGCCACTCAGAAAGATTAGTTAAAGCTGCACTAACCAACTTTATTTTTGTATCCATCACGAAAATGCAACCCATATACATGCAGTGCATTGGGATATACGTCCTTTTGAAGAAAAAGTTGCGCAGATTTGTGCTGACGTGTCATTTGATTTTAGATTTGAGTTTTTGAGCAACAAGGAAGAGAATTTGTTTCCGGTCCTGATTGTGACCAATCACAGTGGACCACTGGCCCCCGCTTTCTTGAGTAAAGCTACAGGTCTCTGGTTAGCACAGACAGCTGAGGTAAACAAGTGGCGGAGGCTAACCTGAAGATTCCCGTGTCTTTGTTATCGGTTACTGCTTACTCAGTCCTCTCCGTGCTTCCTGGTTCTGTCATTCTATGGTCACGCCATCCACGTTCAAATGTGCGATCCATACATGGATCTATCCATGAGACGCTAGCTCTGTAAACAACAGTGGGTGAGGGGTAGTGGGGGTCGACAGCTTCGTGGGTGCGGGGAGGGGAGGAAAAAGAGCGAGGCCAGTGAAACCGCTGCTTCAAAATCCCAAAGTCAGTTAGTGCAGCTTTAACTTTATAAAAGCATAACGACAGCACAATCAAAGAGCACTGCTGTATCCCACAATGCACTGCATCCTCACAGGTTAATTCCTGTCTGAGCATTATTTAGGAAACTCGTGTAAACATCTGCTGAACTCCAGTGAAATTGCAGACTAAATTCACGTGGGCTACACAGAAATTTTCCCCATAGAACTCAATGTAAACTAAAACAGCTGACAGATTTTGTGGTGATTTTGGTTTCCCTTGTCATCCTGAACTTTTCTTCTTCTTAAATCCTTTGGTTCTCTTTAAATCTACACTTTAGTGCCACAAACTCTGCTGGTTTGCTTGTGTGTAGGTAATAACCAGCTACAACAGCACCATCTGCTGGTGTACTGCTAGAACAACCACATTACACTTACGAATCTTTTTGACACACGCTTGGCGGTAGCCTGGTCGTACCACACCATAGTACAAATTAAATTTCATTCTAAGGTGTGGATTTGCTCCATTGAGCTCCGTGAACAGGTGGGAGGGGTTAACTCCTTTTGCAGATTGAAACGATTGGATCTGAGTTTACCGTGACGTATGTAGTGCGCCCGAGTGTGTTGTTAGCATTTAGCATTTAGCCTAGCCATCTCCTTTGCTGCTAACGGAGCCCGTGGGGAGTAGCGCCACAATCTTGACCAGCGATTACATTTGCTAAACATTCCTCTTGCTCCGGCTTCAATTTCTTGATAGAACCAGACCGGATTACTTTACTATTGCATTCTTCGCCAAATAATGGTCTTTCCAAACTACAACCTGCCCGTTCGGCGCAAACTCTTGACGTCACCGGCACCGACCTACAACACCCGCCTTCCGCGCTCTCTGAGTAGCCGGTCGAAATACGACCGATTGTATTCGCTAACACAGGGACCAGACCCAGACGCTACATGCAGTGACATGATGATTGAACGGAGTATACGGATGGCTATGGCCAGGCTAGGCTGGCGGCAGATGTGTGTCAAAAAGAGATTTGTGTAAAACAGAGCCTGTGTGTAGCACTTAGGCTTTTTTCCGTTCTTCTCTTCGTACAACGTGGTTACTAACACACAGATTGTTCTGTTACAGATACAAATGTCAAATTACACACACACAAATCTGTCTGGCACGCACACAGTCCAAGTTCCGTCCGTCCGTCCGTTTTCCTCCGCTTCATCCGTTGCCGGGTCGCGGGGGCAGCAGTCTAAGCAGAGACGCCCAGACTTCCCTATCCAAACACACTTCCTCCAGCTCGTCCGGGGGGACCCCAAGGCGTTCCCAGGCCAGCTGAGAGACATAGTCCCTTCAGCGTGTCCTGGGTCTTCCCCGGGGCCTCCTCCCAGTGGGACGTGCCCGCAACACCTCCTCAGGGAGGCGTCCAGGAGGCATCCGGAACAGAGGCCCGAGCCACCTCAACTGGTTCCTCTCGACGTGGAGTAGCAGCGGCTCTACTCTGAGCTCCTCCCGTGTGACCGAGCTCCTCACCCTATCTCTAAGGGAGCGCCCAGCCACTCTGCGGAGGAAGCTCATTTCGACCGCTTGTATCCACGATCTCGTTCTTTCGGTCACTACCCAAAGCTCATGACCAGAGGTGAGGGAGGGAACGAAGATTGACCGGTAAATCGAGAGCTTTGCCTTTCGGCTCAGCTCCCTCTTTACCACAACGGTCCGATACAGAGACCGCATCACTGCGCACGCTGCACCGATCCGCCTGTCAATCTCACGCTCCATCCTTCCCTCACTCGTGAACAAGACCCCGAGATACTTGAACTCCTCCACTTGAGGAAGGACCTCTCCACCCACCTGTAGAGGGCAAGGCACCTTTTTCCGGTCGAGCACCATGGCCTCAGATTTGGAGGTGCTGATTCTCATCCCAGCCGCTTCACACTCGGCTGCAAACCGTCCCAGTGCATGCTGCAGGTCCTGGTTTGTTGGAGCCAACAGGACAACATCGTCCGCAAACAGCAGAGATGAAATCCTGTGGTCCCCGAACCGGACCCCCTCCTGCCCCTGGCTGCGCCTAGAAATTCTGTCCATAAATACAGTGAACAGAACCGGTGACAAAGGGCAGCCCTGGCGGAGGCCAACATGCACCGGGAACAGGTCTGACTTATTGCCGGCAATGCAAACACAGCTCTGGCTCCGGTCATACAGGGACCGGACGGCCCTCAGCAGAGGACCTCCGACCCCGTACTCCCGGAGAACCCCCCAAAGAACACCCCGGGGAACACGGTCGAACGCCTTCTCCAAATCCACAAAGCACATGTGGACAGGTTGGGCGAACTCCTATGAACCCTCGAGTATCCGATGGAGAGTGTAGAGCTGGTCCAGTGTTCCGCGGCCGGGACGAAAACCACACTGCTCCTCCTGAATCCGAGATTCGACCATCGGCCGTAGCCTCCTCTCTAGTACCTTGGAGTAAACCTTCCCAGGGAGGTTGAGGAGTGTGATCCCACGATAATTGGAACACAGAGTAGAGAGGGACCACCACCCCGGTCTGCCACTCCATTGGCACCGCCCCTGATCGCCACGCGATGTTGCAGAGACGTGTCAGCCAAGACGGTCCCACAACATCCAGAGACTTTAGATAGTCGGGGCGGATCTCATCCACTCCCGGCGCCTTGCCACCATGGAGGCTGCCAACCACCTTGGTGACCTCTGTCAGGGAGCTGGAAGTATCCGCCCCAACATCCTCAGCCTCTGCCTCCGGGGCGGAGGACGCAACGGGGGAGTTGAGGAGAACCTCGAAGTATTCCTTCCACCGCCCGACAATATCCCCAGTCGAGGTCAGCAGCTCTCCACCCCCACAATAACGGTGTTGGCAAAGCACTGCTTCCCCCTCCTGAGGCGCCGGACGGTTTGCCAGAATCTCTTCGAGGCCGACCGATAGTCATGCTCCATGGACTCTCCGAACTCCTCCCAGACCCGGGTTTTTGCCTCTGCAACAGCCCGGGCCGCAGCACGCTTGGCCTGCCGGTACTGGACAGCTGCCTCAGGAGTCCCGCGAACCATCATGGCTCGATAGGACTCCTTCTTCAGCCTGACAGCATCCCTTACTGCCGGTGTCCACCACCGGGTTCGGGGGTTGCCGCCGGGACCAGCACCAGAGACCTTGCGACCACAGCTACGAGCCGCTGCATTGGCGATAGAGGAAGAGAACATGGTCCACTCAGACTCAATATCCCCCTCCTCCGCCGGGACCTGGGAGAAGCTCTCCCAGAGGTGCGAGTTGAAAATCCGTCTGACAGGGGGCTCAGCGAGACGTTCCCAGCAGACCCTCACTACACGCTTGGGTCTGCCAGGTCTGACCGGCTTCTTCCCCTGCCAGCGGATCCAACTCACGACCAGGTGATGATCGGTTGACAGCTCCGCCCCTCTCTTTACCCGAGTGTCCGAGACACGCGGTCGAAGGTCAGATGATACGACAACAAAGTCGATCATCGACCTCCGGCCTAGGGTGTCCTGGTGCCACGTGCACTGGTGGACACCCTTGTGCTCGAACATGGTGTTCGTGATGGACAAACTGTGACTGGCACAGAAGTCCAACAACTGAACACCGCTCGGGTTCAGATCAGGGGGGCCGTTCTTCCCGATCACCCCTCTCCAAGTGTCACTGGCATTTCCCACATGGGCGTTGAAGTCCCCCAGGAGAATAACGGAGTCCCCGGTTGGTGCACCGTCCAGTACCCCTCCCAAGGACTCCAAGAAGGCCGGGTACTCTGCACTACCATTAGGCCCGTAGGCCGTCACAACAGTGAGAGACTTGTCCCCCACCCGAAGGCGGAGGGACGCGACCCTCTCATTCACCGGGGAGAACTCCAGCACGTGGCGGCTGAGATGGGGGGCAATTTTTATTTTTTATTTTTATTTTTTTATTTATTAAAGGGACAGTGCATATTAAAATACATTATGCATGTAAATAAGCCAGAATTAGCCAAAAGGCTATTTTTCATCTGTAGTCCCTGGACAGTTGTTAAGTGTCCTCCTGAAGGGAATAAAATTAAACATATCACAAACAGATAAAACATGACACAGTAAAATATATACAAGCAATACCCTCAATAACACAAATCAAACATATAGACATGAACACACAACTGTTACACACTCAACAAAAAATGAAGACAAGTCAGACTCACAGACAAAGAACAAGAGGCCAACAGGGGGCAGCGGTGAGGAGTCAGTGCTGACAGCTTTGATTATGAATGAGCCATTTTTTTACCTGTATTTTGAATGTTTCATATGTATTGGTGTTCCTAATTGTTGTGGGGGTGAGATTCCATTCATGGGCGGCTTTGACAGAATATGTTGATTGACCAAAGAGACTTTTTCTCAGAGGGATGATGCAGTCGCCCCTTGCTGCTGCTCTGGTTCTCCTGAGTTCTGCTGTATTGATGTGAATGAACTGTGTGAGTGGGGGTGATGACAAACCATGAATTATTTTATAGGTGAGGCAGAGATGTGAGTATTTGACCATGTTTTCCCAACTGAGTAAATTATGCTTTTGTAATATTGGACAGTGATGATGTGAGAGTGGTTTGCGGTCCAGAGTTTTTATGGTGCGTTTGTAGAGGGACAGGATGGGTTTGAGAATTAGTATGGCCATCCCAGCTCGCCGCCTCTCCCCGCGAGAAACACCAGAAAAGTGGAGCGTCCAACCCCTCTCAAGGAGTTGGGTTCAGAGCCCAAGCTGTGTGTGGAGGTGAGGCCGACTATCTCTAGTCGGTATCGCTCGACCTCCCCCACGAGCTCGGGCTCCTTCCCCCCAGTGAGGTGACGTTCCACGTCCCAAGAGCCAGATGTTGTGTGTGTGGACTGGGTCGCCGAGGTCTCCGCCTTCGACTGCCGCCCAGTCCTCTTAGCACCGCGCCACCACGGACCTCTCTGCAGGTGGTGGGCCCACAGGAGGGACTGCCCACGTCGTCCCTTCGGGCTGAGCCCGGCCGGGCCCCGTGGGCTAAGGCCCGGCCACCAGCTTTGTAAAGTCTGACCCAGGTCTTTCTGCATCCAAGTCTCACACGCCCTATAGCGAGAGTATTCTAGCGACATCTAGTGGATTAAAATTGAAGTACATCAATTGACCGCCACTACTGCTGAGATAATTCTGTGGTTTAGGTTCAGGTGTGTAAACAACAGAGAATTCTGATGTGTAAACTATTGCTTTAAGCAGCAAGGACAACTGTCTGATTTTTTTATGTGGGCTGTGCTTGACAAGCGAGCTGTCAATCACAGCCCAAACCATGCCCAGCTCTAAGCCCTTCTTGTCCTCCGGCCCTTCTTGTCCTCTGGCCCTTCAGGCAACGCCCTTTTTAGAGAAAATGTTCAAATGTTCATGTGGGCGGAGTCCGTTTTCCTTTAAACAGCAGCAGTTAAACCTGAGCTTCTGCAGAGCTCTGGTGTCATCACAGAGCGAGAGAGAGAAGAGGAGTCTGTGACTTTTAATAAAGCTGGGGTCTCAAAAAGTTCAGGATGACAAGGGCAGTAATACTAAGTGAGTAACACTCTATCCAGTTATTATTATAGATCCATGGACAGATCCCTGTAAATCACTCACTGCCTCTTGGGTCTGAGAGCTGATTGGCTGAGAGAGGGTGGTCCTCTCTTTGGCTTAATACAGAGGTTTATTTGTCTGAAGGTTACAGACCCCAGCCTTAAACATATGATCATGCTTTTAATGTGAGCAGACAAATTGAACAGTTCTTTTTTTTTCCAATGGATTTATTGACTATTTGTAATGAGGTGGTATCTGTCTTCTCTGTGAACAGATTACACCTGGTCTTAATCCAGATTTCACTGCATGGATTAAAAACAGCATCGGAACTGCAACATAAATAAAAATATGAAAACTAAGGTGCTTCATTTCAGAATGTTCTGACATCTACATCTTTAAAACATGCTTTTAACCAGAGAGACCAGAGAGAGAGACCAGAGAGAGAGACCAGAGAGAGAGACCAGAGAGAGAGAGACCAGAGAGAGAGACCAGAGAGAGAGACCAGAGAGAGACCAGAGAGAGACCAGAGAGAGAGACCAGAGAGAGACCAGAGAGAGAGACCAGAGAGAGAGACCAGAGAGAGAGAGACCAGAGAGAGAGACCAGAGAGAGAGACCAGAGAGAGACCAGAGAGAGACCAGAGAGAGAGACCAGAGAGAGAGAGACCAGAGAGAGAGAGACCAGAGAGAGAGACCAGAGAGAGACCAGAGAGAGAGACCAGAGAGAGATACCAGAGAGAGATACCAGAGAGAGACCAGAGAGAGACCAGAGAGAGAGACCAGAGAGAGAGACCAGAGAGAGAGAGACCAGAGAGAGACCAGAGAGAGAGAGACCAGAGAGAGAGACCAGAGAGAGACCAGAGAGAGGGACCAGAGAGAGACCAGAGAGAGGGACCAGAGAGAGACCAGAGAGAGGGACCAGAGGGAGACCAGAGAGAGACCAGAGAGACTGACTTAGGGAGAGCCCTGTTTGCGCGTCATAACAGTGGAGAGAGCAGACAGAATGGTGTCTTTGCTGTGCAGGACGTTGTAGGTGGTGAGGTCGATGAGAGCGTCGTAGTCCTCCTCAGAGTAGGTCATGTTTTTGGTCTTATACGGCGAATTGGGCGAGCTAACGTCCACACGGCCCGCGGCTAGCTCCTCCTGCGAGCGCACAATTCCTGAAAGACACACACATAGTACCACCTGAGCCAGCGGGTTAGCATAGTCGCATGTTGTGTTAGCATTGTCCATCTGCATCATATACTGTAAATAATAACAGACGTAATCACGATAATGTAAAAAACGCATTTACGCATGCGTCATTCATTTTATTAGTGCCTCCTGAAGTCCACAGCAACTAAACTAGACCGGTCCAGATAAATACACTCCCCTCAGCTTTGGCACATCTGGAACGTAGCTTTGGGCCAAGAGCGACTTTTGGACCATCCTGTAAAACCGTTTGGGAGGTGAGATGCTGCATTGGCTAATTCTTATTCCGGGTCCACCACCACCGTCAGCGAACGTCATTTTGGACATTTTTGACCCGGGATCCGCCCCCACTGATCTAGTCTGTGTTAGCAGGTTAGCATTGTCCATCTGTTTACAAATGTAAGGTCTTGTAAACAATATTTTTTTCTATAATTTTTAAATAGAAATCTTCAGATTCAGAATCAGAGTCGTACTAATATACTATTAATAAAGTCTCTTTCTGTTTGAGTCTCTGCAGACACAGACACACCTTGTTTCTGGCACTCCTGGTAGCTCTCACCTGGTCTCTTAAACTCCTGGTAGGACATATTGACCAGTGGCAGGAACAGGACCATGGGGGCTGTGGGTTTCTCCTGGTCTTCAAACACGTAGACTTCTCTGAGTGGCTGCTTCCTGAGCTCCTCGTAGTCTGGACACGGGAACGGGATGTTCCGGTCCTTACAGTACTCCTGAGTCTTCTCCAAGACCTGGACACACATGGTATCAGGACCAGGACAAGGACCAGTTTCAGAACACAGGACCATATGCCACCACTTTCTCTGGGCTGTTTCAAAATGGCCGCGAGGGCTGGAAAAAATGAATAAATGCATTTGCACATTCGTCAGCTGCACAAGCCTTATTCATTTGACAAGTGCCTTCAACATTTTGAATAAGCATTGAATAATTCTTATTCCGGGTACACCCCCACTGGCCCGGGGTGGTATTGCAAATATGTCAGCACATGTCATTTTGGACATTATTGAGCCAGGACTGCCCCCACTGTTTCAGACCCGGGAGCTAGAGGTTTTGCAGCTCCCCCCTGTGGCCACCAGAGGGAGCTCAAACCAAACATACGTGGGATTATACAGAACCTCAGTTCACTTTGAAACTCATTAATGGGCAAAACCTTTATTTTAACGACTTTTAAAAACTGCTCTGATTGTGGTATGGGGTCTCTCTCTGGTCTCCCTCTGGTCTCTCACCTTGAACACGTTGCTGGGGTCCCAGGAGTAGCTGAGGACTATGATGAGGTCGGTGTGTCGTTCTGGTCTGAGGATGGGGGGACAGCCCAGGTTAATGTGGTGTCCAGAGTCGATGAGGTGTAGAGTGTTGTCCGAGGGGGTCATCTGGTTCGGGAAGGCATCAGGGTGAGAATCTGTGAGGAGAGAGGGCTCTAATGAGAGCTCCATAGAGACCAGGGACCAGAGAGAGTCCAGCCTCACAAAGACATTAGATCATCAATCTGAATGAATGATCTTGGCCCCGGGATGACATTTGGTTAGTATCAGAAGCAGCCGCACAGAGCAATAAGAAAACATTGGATTATTTATGTTCAGGACATGTGTTTTCTCTTTGAGGGAAGATTGTTTTTGTCAGAACCATACAAAAATATTGTATTATTCATGTGATCATCAAATAAAACATGGTCCACTGTGTCAGGCTGTGGTTCAACAGGTCATGGAATCATTTTAATGAATAAACTTTGTACCAGTCCGGAACTCGGCTGTATGTGGACGGATGTATTTAACTTTGACATCACTGCACTTGCTCCTGATAGTCCCTGATGGTCCACAAGGTCCTGGTGCTCCCTGTGCTCCCCTCTCCTGTGCTCCCTGTGCTCCCCTTTCCCAGAGGTCCCTGTGCTCCCCACTCCTGGTGGTACCTGTGCTCCCCTCTCCTGGTGGGTCCCTGTGGTCCCTGTGATCCCCTCTCCTTGTGGTGGTCCCTGTGCTCCCCTTTGTGGTCCCTGTGCTCCCCTTTCCCAGTAGTCCCTATGCTCCTCACTCCTGGTGGTCCCTGTGCTCCCCTCTCCTGTGGTCCCTGTGCTCCCCTCTCCTGTGGTCTCTGTGCTCCCCTCTCCTGGTGGTCCCTGTGCTCACCTCTCCTGGTGGTACCTGTGCTCCCCTCTCCTGGTGGGTCCTTGTGCTCCCCTCTCCTGGTGGGTCCCTGTGCTCCCCTCTCCTGGTGGGTCCCTGTGCTCCCCTCTCCTGTGGTCCCTGTGCTCCCCTCTCCTGGTGGTTCCTGTGCTCCCCTCTCCTTGTGGTGGTCCCTGTGCTCCCCTCTCCTGTGGTCCCTGTGCTCCCCTCTCCTTGTGGTGATCCCTGTGCTCCCCTCTCCTGGTGGTCCCTGTGCTCACCTCTCCTGTGCTCCCCTCTCCTGTGGTCCCTGTGCCCCCACTCTCCTGTAGTCCCTGTGCTCCCCTCTCCTGTGGTCCCTGTGCCCCCACTCTCCTGTAGTCCCTGTGCTCCCCTCTCCTGTGGTCCCTGTGCTCCTCTCTCCTGTAGTCCCTGTGCTCCCCTCTCCTGTGGTCCCTGTGCTCCCCTCTCCTGTGGTCCCTGTGCTCACCTCTCCTTGTGGTGGTCCCTGTGCTCCCCTCTCCTGTGGTCCCTGTGCTCACCTCTCCAGGACAGGAAGTAGCTGCTCCTGCTGTAGTGCTGGTGCAGGGACAGTCCTCTGGTGAAGTTGAACGTCTCGTTGATGATTGGTCGGTTTTTGAAGAATCCGCTGAACGAGGATCCGAGTCCGGACTCTGGACTGAGGAGCAGAGTGTCCAGGGTCGAAGGGTCCAGGTCCTTCTCTGAGAGCACAGGGACAAAGCACAGGGACAAAGCACAGGGACAAAGCTCAAGGACGTTATTTTAGTCCCAAATAACATGTAGTTTGAACAGATCGAGTTTTGAAGTAAAATGTTGTGAACAAATCTGGAAAAGTTGATCTAAAGCGTGACAGAAACCAGAGAGACCAGAGAGACCAGAGAGAGACCAGAGAGAGACCAGAGAGAGACCAGAGAGAGACCCGAGAGAGACCCGAGAGAGACCCGAGAGAGACCCGAGAGAGACCAGAGAGAGACTAGAGCGAGACTAGAGCGAGACCAGAGAGAGACCAAAGAGAGACCAAAGAGAGACCAAAGAGAGACCAACGAGAGACCAGAGAGAGACCAGAGAGAGACCAGAGAGAGACCAGAGAGAGACCAGAGAGAGACCAGGAACCAGTGATAGACAGTGTGTGTGTTGTCACCGATGTTGGCCACGTTGGTGTGATCTGGTGTCCACTCGGGGGCACTTCCAGTCATTGCCTTCCACAGAGAGGAGAGGTTCAGGGAGAACACACTGCTCCAGATACCTACACACACACACACACACACACACAAACATACACACACAGACACACACACACACACACACACATAGACAAACAGACACACACATACACACACACAGACACATACAGACGCACACACAGGTCTGATCACACAGGTGTCTGTCTGTGCGTGTCTGTGTGTGCGTGTGCGTGTGTGTGTGTCTGTCTGTGCGTGTGTCTGTGTGTGTGTGTGCGTGTGTGTGTGTGCGTATGTGTGTGTGTGTGTGCGTATGTGTGTGTGTGTGTGTGTATGTGTGTGTGTCTGTATGTGTGTGTGCCTGTATGTGTGTGTGCACTTGTTTTCAACTCCTGGTGGGTTCCATAACCTGAGATTCCACTCACGTCATGGGGACTGGTTTTACGTGGTGGGGCCCGAACACCGGACCCCACTGGTCCAAGCTTAATAATCAATGGGTAATGCTTTTCTAACGGTCCTTATGCAGTCTCTGTAAAAATATGGAAAGGACCCCTGGAGGTTTACTTGAAAACCTGAAAAAAGTGTGGTATGTGTCGGAACCCTGGTGGTGGGTTGCGGGATATCAGGGAGGGGCACACTGGGGCAATTTCAGTCCAGCAGGCTGGAGCCAATCATGGAGCAGCACAACAGAGGAAATCAGGTGTCAGGCTAGAAAAAGGTGCAAGTGTGTGGTTCATTAGGCTGCAAGAAATCATGGAGGAGCACACTGAAGCGCACGCTTACAAACCGCTGGTAAGTGCTGACTACAAGTCATGACTTCAAATTGTTATATAGAATGATTACAAATTATTTGTTGTTTGTGCAGCTTAGTCAAGAGTCCCTAATTGATGAAGTCGACTCAGATTCTGACGATTTAACTGTCAAGACGAAACCTGTAAAAAAGTATGGAAAAAGAAAAATCAAAAACACTTTTCTTCAAGACTCGGAAAGTGACGAACCAAAGGCAAATAAGATTGTTATCATGCAGCTGCAAAAGAAGAAAAATGGGGGCAGAGTTTACAGCAAGAGACACTTCTGCCTCTACTGTTCAATGTCCTGCCACAAAATGTCCCGTCATTTGACTAGAAAACATGGAAATGAAAGTGACGTAGCCAGAGCATTGGCTCTACCTGTGAAATCTAAAGCACGTAAACTTCAGTTTGATTTGATCAGGAATAGTGGAAACCGTGAGCACAATTTTGAGGTTTTAAAGGCCGGCATTGGAACTTTAGTCCCAGCTAAACAGCCAAATTCCCCAGTTAAATCCAGTGAGTTTTTGCACTGTATAGACTGTGGGGCATTGCTTAAGCGAAAGTCGCTGTGGAGGCATGTGGCCAGGTGCCGGCTTTCACAGAAAGATGCCCAGGCTAAACCAGGCTAAACCAGGTAGAAGTAGGGTCCAGTCCCTCTGCTCCCTAGCCCAGCCTGTACCGTAGGGCATCAGCAAAAAGCTGTGGTCTTTAATTTGGGCAATGCATCAGGATGAGGTCACGGGTGTTGTCAAAGCAGAAAAGGGGATTCTGAGACTCGGAGAGCACCTGTACTTAAAACACGGGCATGATAAGACTAAGCATGATTACATTAGGCAGAAAATGAGAGAAGTCGGTAGGTTAATTAACGAAGCAAAAACTGCAGGGAAACTGAAAACAATGAAGGATTTCTTTATTCCTTCCAACTTTAACCATGTGATTGATGCAGTCAGGTCTGTGGCTGGATATGATGAGGAAACAAATCAATACAAGACTCCATCCTTGGCCCTCAAACTCGGCCATAGCCTCGGAAAGCTAGCAGATATTCTTGAATGTGACTCAAAAATGGAGCATTGTGTTGATGAACTATTTATTAAAAACACAATAAAGGGGATCAGACTCCCTACGGCAGGTAGCCAAAGAATGTGGTGCGGTGCATCCAGAGATGCTATCCTCAACCAAACTTAGAAAGCACATAGCTACTATGTCTACAGTTCTCAATATGAAAGAGAATGAGATGGACATACTTGCCAACTTCCTCGGCCATGACATTCGCATCCACAGGCAATATTACAGACTACCAGAGGGGACACTGGAGCTGGCCAAAATCAGCAAAGTGTTGATGGCCATGGAGCAGGGAAGAGTGACGGAATTCGAAGGAAAGAGCCTCGACCAGATACAAATTGAGCCTGAAGGTAATTCTTGATATTATTAAAATATGTATGATTTTTTTTCCCCTAAAGGCCACTTGTATTTTTATTTTCTGTGCGACAGGGAGAGCAGTAGAGATCCTCTCACAAACGGACGGGCTAAAAGAAACTTCAAGCGGAGAACCTTCAACCATTCATCCAGATGCACCCCATGGTAGTGGCAGTGCCCCTTCTGGTAAGTGTACCAGGTGGGGGATTACAGCCAGGCTGCTTGGTCCTCACCCTGGGAGTGTATATTGCTAATATATTTTTATTTCTCTCCCTAGAACGTGTAAGAAAGCCATGGTCTGCATCTGAGGTGAAGGCTGTGGAGAAGACCATGACACCTTTCATACAGACTGGAAAGGTCCCTGGGAAGTCTCACTGCCTGGCCTGCATTAATGCCTCACCAGATGACCTTAGACATCGGACATGGAGTGGCATTAAATTCTATGTCAAAAATAGAATCACTGCAATTCGAAAACAAAATCTAAAATAAAATTCCTTTAAAATAGTTGTTTGGTTTCTATTGACTGTTTTGTATTACTTAAAGTCTTGGTAAAAAAAGATTATGTCTATGGGTCCCATTCTGAACGGCCCTGTCAAAGGGACCCACCAGGTAACAAAAACGTGTATGTGTGTGTATGTGTGTGTGTCGGTGTGTGTGTGTGTATGTGTGTGTCTGTGTCTGTGTGTATGTGTGTGTGTGTGTTAATGTGTGTTTCTGTGTGTGTATGTGTGTGTCTGTGTGTGTGTCTGTGTGTGTGTCTGTGTGTACAGTATGTGTGTCTGTGTGTGTATGTGTGTGTCTGTGTGTATGTGTGTGTGTCGGTGTGTGTATGTGTGTGTCTGTGTGTATGTGTGTGTGTCTGTGTGTATGTGTGTGTGTGTGTTAATGTGTGTGTATGTGTGTGTCTGTGTGTGTATGTGTGTGTGTCTGTGTGTGTGTCTGTGTGTACAGTATGTGTGTTTCTGTGTGTGTATGTGTGTGTCTGTGTGTTTATGTGTGTGTGTCTGTGTGTGTGTCTGTGTGTACAGTATGTGTGTTTCTGTGTGTGTATGTGTGTGTCTGTGTGTTTATGTGTGTGTGTCTGTGTGTGTGTCTGTGTGTACAGTATGTGTGTTTCTGTGTGTGTATGTGTGTGTCTGTGTGTGTATGTGTGTGTCTGTGTGTGTAGGTGTGTGTATGTCTGTGTGTGTGTGTCTGTGTGTGTATGTGTGTGTGTCTGTGTTTGTATGTGTGTTTCTGTGTGTGTGTCTGTGTGTGTCTGTGTCTGTGTGTGTCTGTGTGTGTCTGTGTGTCTGTGTGTGTCTGTGTGTGTGTCTGTGTGTGTCTGTGTATTACCCATAAGGAACGGGAGGGGAATCTCCTGAAGCTTCTTGATCAAATGTCCCAAAAAAAACTCGGATCCAAAGTTTTCTGCTTTGATGAAAGCTCCGTATTTATACAGACCAACTTCAAAGGGAGAGAACTCCACCCACTCTGAGGAGGAGGCGCACAGTCAGAAGGAGGCGCACAGTCAGAAGGAGGTGCACAGTCAGAAGGAGGCGCAGTCAGGTGGAATAGTGAGGAGGAGACGCACAGTGAGGAGGAGGCAGACAGTGAGGAGGAGACGCACAGTGAGGAGGAGGCAGACAGTGAGGAGGAGACGCACAGTGAGGAGGAGGCAGACAGTGAGGAGGAGACGCACAGTGAGGAGGAGGCAGACAGTGAGGAGGAGACGCACAGTGAGGAGGAGGCAGACAGTGAGGAGGAGACGCACAGTGAGGAGGAGACGCACAGTGAGGGAGAGAGACGCACAGTCAGGAGGAGACGCACAGTCAGGAGGAGGCAGACAGTGAGGAGGAGGCAGACAGTGAGGAGGAGACGCACAGTGAGGAGGAGGCAGACAGTGAGGAGGAGACGCACAGTGAGGAGGAGGCAGACAGTGAGGAGGAGACGCACAGTGAGGAGGAGGCAGACAGTGAGGAGGAGACGCACAGTGAGGAGGAGGCAGACAGTGAGGAGGAGACGCACAGTGAGGAGGAGACGCACAGTGAGGAGGAGACGCACAGTCAGGAGGAGACGCACAGTCAGGAGGAGGCAGACAGTGAGGAGGAGGCAGACAGTGAGGAGGAGACGCACAGTGAGGAGGAGGCAGACAGTGAGGAGGAGACGCACAGTGAGGAGGAGGCAGACAGTGAGGAGGAGACGCACAGTGAGGAGGAGGCAGACAGTGAGGAGGAGACGCACAGTGAGGAGAGGAGACGCACAGTGAGGAGGAGGCAGACAGTGAGGAGGAGACGCACAGTGAGGAGGAGACGCACAGTGAGGAGGAGGCAGACAGTGAGGAGGAGGCAGACAGTGAGGAGGAGGAGACGCACAGGGAGGAGGAGGCAGACAGTGAGGAGGAGGCAGACAGTGAGGAGGAGACGCACAGTGAGGAGGAGACGCACAGTGAGGAGGAGGCAGACAGTGAGGAGGAGACGCACAGTGAGGAGGAGGACAGACAGTGAGGAGGAGACGCACAGTGAGGAGGAGACGCACAGTGAGGAGGAGGCAGACAGTGAGGAGGAGACGCACAGTGAGGAGGAGACGCACAGTGAGGAGGAGGCAGACAGTGAGGAGGAGGCAGACAGTGAGGAGGAGGAGTACGCACAGTGAGGAGGAGGCAGACAGTGAGGAGGAGGCAGACAGTGAGGAGGAGACGCACAGTGAGGAGGAGACGCACAGTGAGGAGGAGACGCACAGTGAGGAGGAGACGCACAGTGAGGAGGAGACGCACAGTGAGGAGGAGACGCACAGTGAGGAGGAGACGCACAGTCAGGAGGAGACGCACTGTGAGGAGGAGACGCACAGTGAGGAGGAGGCAGACAGTGAGGAGGAGACGCACAGTGAGGAGGAGACAGACAGTGAGGAGGAGACGCACAGTGAGGAGGAGACGCACAGTGAGGAGGAGGCAGACAGTGAGGAGGAGACGCACAGTGAGGAGGAGACGCACAGTGAGGAGGAGACGCACAGTGAGGAGGAGACAGACAGTGAGGAGGAGACGCACAGTGAGGAGGAGACGCACAGTGAGGAGGAGGCAGACAGTGAGGAGGAGACGCACAGTGAGGAGGAGACGCACAGTGAGGAGGAGACAGACAGTGAGGAGGAGGCAGACAGTGAGGAGGAGACACACAGTGAGGAGCAGGCAGACAGTGAGGAGGAGGCAGACAGTGAGGAGGAGACGCACAGTGAGGAGGAGACAGACAGTGAGGAGGAGACGCACAGTGAGGAGGAGGCAGACAGTGAGGAGGAGGCAGACAGTGAGGAGGAGACAGACAGTGAGGAGGAGTTGCACAGTGAGGAGGAGGCGCACAGTGAGGAGTAGCTTTGTATAAGATCTTCTGGTGATCACTGAGACCAGGACCAGGACCAGGACCAAGACCAGGACCAGGACCAAGACTCACCGTTCTCAGGGAGGTGCCCGTCGATGGCCTCCTTCACGTTGACCGCGGTGTAGATCGGAAGAGGGTTCTGACCCCTGCTCACCGTCTTCTGCTGCTCCGACAGAGTGGAGGAGTTCATCTGAGGAGAGGAGGAGTTAGTCTGAGGAGAGGAGGAGTTAGTCTGAGGAGGAGGAGGAGGAGTTAGTCTGAGGAGAGGAGGAGTTAGTCTGAGGAGGAGGAGGAGGAGGAGGAGTTAGTCTGAGGAGAGGAGGAGTTAGTCTGAGGAGGAGGAGGAGGAGTTAGTCTGAGGAGAGGAGGAGTTAGTCTGAGGAGGAGAGAGGAGGAGTTAGTCTGAGGAGAGAGGAGGAGCAACTGAGAGGAGTTAGTCTGAGGAGGAGAGAGGAGGAGTTAGTCTGAGGAGGAGAGAGGAGGAGCAACTGAGAGGAGCTAGTCTGAGGAGAGAGGAGGAGTTAGTCTGAGGAGGAGAGAGGAGGAGCAACTGAGAGGAGTTAGTCTGAGGAGAGCGGAGGAGTTAGTCTGAGGAGGAGAGAGGAGGAGCAACTGAGAGGAGTTAGTCTGAGGAGGAGAGAGGAGGAGTTAGTCTGAGGAGAGGAGGAGTTAGTCTGAGGAGGAGGAGGAGGAGTTAGTCTGAGGAGGAGGAGGAGGAGTTAGTCTGAGGAGAGGAGGAGTTAGTCTGAGGAGGAGGAGGAGGAGTTAGTCTGAGGAGAGAGGAGGAGTAAGTCTGAGGAGGAGAGAGGAGGAGCAACTGAGAGGAGTTAGTCTGAGGAGGAGGAGGAGGAGTTAGTCTGAGGAGAGGAGGAGTTAGTCTGAGGAGGAGAGAGGAGGAGCAACTGAGAGGAGTTAGTCTGAGGAGAGGAGGAGTAAGTCTGAGGAGGAGAGAGGAGGAGCAACTGAGAGGAGTTAGTCTGAGGAGAGGAGGAGTTAGTCTGAGGAGGAGAGAGGAGGAGCGAGGTCTGAGGAGAGGAGAGTTAGTCTGAGGAGGGAGAGGAGGAGCAACTGAGAGGAGTTAGTCTGAGGAGAGAGGAGGAGTTAGTCTGAGGAGGAGAGAGGAGGAGCAACTGAGAGGGAGTGTCTGAGGAGAGCTGAGGAGTTAGTCTGAGGAGAGGAGGAGTTAGTCTGAGGAGGAGAGAGGAGGAGCAACTGAGAGGAGTTAGTCTGAGGAGAGGAGGAGTTAGTCTGAGGAGGAGAGAGGAGGAGCAACTGAGAGGAGTTAGTCTGAGGAGGAGGAGGAGTTAGTCTGAGGAGAGGAGAGGAGGAGTTAGTCTGAGGAGGAGAGAGGAGGAGCAACTGAGAGGAGTTAGTCTGAGGAGGAGAGAGGAGGAGTTAGTCTTAGGAGGAGAGAGGAGGAGGTGGTGAGAGGAGAAGAGAGAAGCAGAGAGGAGGAGAGAAGAGGAGGAAATAGGTGAGAGAAGAACAGAGGGGAGGTGAAAGAAGGAGGTGTCGGAGGAGACCTCTCCGAAGACCAGGTGTTCCAGGATGAGTCCTGCCATATCGATGTATGACACCAGGTGGCCCTGTTTCTCCTTCTGCTCCATCCGGTCCCAGTAGTAGCTCATCTGGTCCAGGCTGAAGGCGCCCATGGTGCTCTTGGTCATCTGCACTCTGGTTTTGGATATGAGGGTTTCCAACCTGTGGGACCAGTCCTCGTCCTGACACAGAGACGACAGAGCCCTGAGGACAGAGGTCAGAGGTCGCAAAGAGAACACTAACATGAGGTGTTTGTGTGGACCGCACAGGGGCCTTCCTCACCCGCTAATGCTAACATGCTAACTCACGAGGGGACAGAAGGACAATGCTAACTCACCAGCTCAATGCTACAATAAACTGTATACACACCAGAGACCAGAGAGAGACCAGAGAGAGACCAGAGAGAGACCAGAGAGAGACCAGTGAGAGACCAGAGAGAGACCAGAGAGAGACCAGAGAGAGACCAGAGAGAAGCCAGAGAGAGACCAGAGAGAGACCAGAGAGAGACCAGAGAGAGACCAGTGAGAGACCAGAGAGAAGCCAGAGAGAGACCAGAGAGAGACCAGTGAGAGACCAGAGAGAGACCAGTGAGAGACCAGAGAGAGACCAGAGAGAAGCCAGAGAGAGACCAGAGAGAGACCAGTGAGAGACCAGTGAGAGACCAGACGGAGACCAGACGGAGACCAGAGAGAGACCAGAGAGAGACCAGAGAGAGACCAGAGAGAGACCAGAGAGAGACCAGAGAGAGACCAGTGAGAGACCAGAGAGAGACCAGAGAGAGACCAGAGAGAGACCAGAGAGAGACCAGTGAGAGACCAGAGAGATTCCAGAGAGAGACCAGAGAGAGACCAGAGAGAGACCAGAGAGAGACCAGTGAGAGACCAGAGAGAACCAGAGAGAGACCAGAGAGAGACCAGAGAGAGACCAGAGAGAGACCAGAGAGAGACCAGAGAGAGACCAGAGAGAGACCAGAGAGAAGCCAGAGAGAGACCAGAGAGAGACCAGTGAGAGACCAGAGAGAGACCAGAGAGGAGACCAGAGAGAGACCAGAGAGAGACCAGAGAGAGACCAGAGAGAGACCAGAGAGAGACCAGAGAGAGACCAGAGAGAGACCAGAGAGAGACCAGAGAGAGACCAGAGAGAGACCAGAGAGAGACAGAGAGAGACCAGAGAGAGACCAGAGAGAGACCAGAGAGAGACCAGAGAGAGAGACCAGAGAGAGACCAGAGAGAGACCAGAGAGAGACAGACCAGAGAGAGACCAGAGAGAAGAGAGAGACCAGAGAGAGACCAGAGAGAGACCAGAGAGAGACCAGAGAGAGACCAGAGAGAGACCAGAGAGAGACCAGAGAGACAGAGAGCCAGAGAGAGACCAGAGAGAGACCAGAGAGAGACCAGTGAGAGACCAGAGAGAGAGCCAGAGAGAGACCAGAGAGAGACCAGAGAGAAGCCAGAGAGAGACCAGAGAGAGACCAGTGAGAGACCAGTGAGAGACCAGACGGAGACCAGACGGAGACCAGAGAGAGACCAGAGAGAGACCAGAGAGAGACCAGAGAGAGACCAGAGAGAGACCAGAGAGAGACCAGAGAGAGACCAGAGAGAGACCAGAGAGAGACCAGAGAGAAGCCAGAGAGAGACCAGAGAGAGACCAGTGAGAGACCAGAGAGAGACCAGTGAGAGACCAGACGGAGACCAGACGGAGACCAGAGAGAGACCAGAGAGAGACCAGAGAGAGACCAGAGAGAGACCAGAGAGAGACCAGAGAGAGACCAGTGAGAGACCAGAGAGAGACCAGAGAGAGACCAGAGAGAGACCAGAGAGAAGCCAGTGAGAGACCAGTGAGAGACCAGAGAGAGACCAGAGAGAGACCAGAGAGAAGCCAGAGAGAGACCAGAGGAGACCAGAGAGAGACCAGAGAGAGACCAGAGAGAGAGACCAGAGAGAGACCAGAGAGAGACCAGAGAGAGAGACCAGAGAGAGACCAGAGAGAGGCCAGCAGAGAGACCAGAGAGAGACCAGAGAGAGACCAGACGGAGACCAGAGAGAGACCAGAGAGACCAGAGAGAGAGACCAGAGAGAGACCAGAGAGAGACCAGAGATGCTAGTCTGTATCTTCAGAACCAGGATCCAGCAATAGTCATCTGGGCCGTCCCATTGTCTCATGAGACCCCTGGACCAGGCCTCCTTAACCTACAGCCTCAGACCTGGACTCTTCATGTGGACCCTGAGACCCCGGTGATGTAGGAGACCATGTGGACTCACCATGTGGACCCTGAGACCCCGGTGATGTAGGAGACCATGTGGACTCACCATGTGGACCCTGAGACCCCGGTGATGTAGGAGACCATGTGGACTCACCATGTGGACCCTGAGACCCCGGTGATGTAGGAGACCAGGTCCAGGACTCCAATCTCTTTCAGACCCTTCAGAGAGCCCAGGGTCCCAACGCAGGCTCTGGCCCCGCCCCCAGAGGCCACCACCGCCACCGTGGGGACCTGAAGAAACACATGTGAGACCAGAGGATGACACCTGGTCCTGGACTACACCTAGTCCTGGACTCACCTGGTTCAGTGAGGGCTTAGTCTTCAGACCCAGCACAGACTGGAGCTGTCGAGCCACAGTCGCCCTCCTCTTCAGCAGGAAGTCCTTCTCCTGAGAACAGAGGTCCAGAGACAGACGCACTTCCAGGTCCTGCTTAGACCTGAGGAGACCAGGACCAGGCCAGACCATCAAGACCAGAGAAAGACCAGGACCAGACCAGACCATCAAGACCAGAGAAAGACCAGGACCAGACCAGACCATCAAGACCAGAGAAAGACCAGGACCAGACCATCAAGATCAGAGAGAGACCGACCAGGACCAGACCATGAAGACCAGAGACACCAGGAACAGACCTTCACATTATATATTATATAGTTCTATAATTCTATCTAAGATTAGACTTTTTATATATAAAAAAATCTAATCTTAGATAGAATTGGGTTCACAAAAGTTACGTCCCCCAGCTTTAAATATGTTTTGATAATGAGACAAAAGTCAAAGACCTGAGCTTTAACTGTGCTGATGACTCATACCTCTCAAAAGACTCCAGACGCAGATCCACTGAGTTCTGATGAAGAACACATTATTATTTATTATTATTATTATTATTAATTTGTTTTCTACAGCTCAGGACAGAGCTGTAAAAAACAAACTCTGAGTTTCTTCACAGCATCTTTCACTATAAACACAGCAGTGCTACTGCACTGTAGCCACAGCTGCCCTGGGGCATACTGACAGAAACGAGGCAATCGGTCTGTGCCGTCAGATCGATTCTTCAGACCGACCTGAAGAAACTTGTCTTTTGCCCCCCGCCTCAGGTCTGGGTCTACAGCCTCAGTCCTGGGTCTACAGCCTCAGGTCTGGGTCTACAGCCTCAGTCCTGGGTCTACAGCCTCAGTCCTGGGTCTACAGCCTCAGGTCTGGGTCTGCAGCCTCAGGTCTGGGTCTACAGCCTCAGGTCTGGGTCTACAGCCTCAGGTCTGGGTCTACAGCCTCAGGTCTGGGTCTACAGCCTCAGTCCTGGGTCTACAGCCTCAGGTCTGGGTCTGCAGCCTCAGGTCTGGGTCTACAGCCTCAGGTCTGGGTCTACAGCCTCAGTCCTGGGTCTACAGCCTCAGGTCTGGGTCTACAGCCTCAGGTCTGGGTCTACAGCCTCAGGTCTGGGTCTACAGCCTCAGGTCTGGGTCTACAGCCTCAGGTCTGGGTCTACAGCCTCAGGTCTGGGTCTACAGCCTCAGCCTCAGTCCCATGGTCTATAATAATAACTGGATAGAGTATTACTAGCTTAGAGCTGTCCCACCCACGGGCACAGGGGGCGCTGTGGTACTGCAGACCAAATTCCCACGGACTACCCAGAAAAAAGTCCTAACTCGAACCTCCGCTGACAGAGAACCTGACAGAGAACCTGACAGAGAACCTACAGCTTTCATAAAGGTTTGATTTTGTGGGGATTTTAGTGTCTCTTCTCATCCTGAACTTTAAATCCACACTTCAATGCAGCAAACTCTGCTCGTTTCCTTCCTGCTCTGATCAGCTCTGATTGGTCAGACCGTGACCGAGCCCCTCTGTGCACGTGCATGAGAGCCACACACGCATATTTTGTGCAAAGCATCATGGGAGCTCGTCCACTGCACAGAACCGGTAGAACCAGACGCCGGGCGAGTTCCTCTGTTCTTTCGGCCCCCGTGCAGGTCCCATGTGCTCCTGCGCACAAACCATTCATTTGAAGAGAACGCCATCTTGGATCACTGGGGCTTGCTCTGTCCTGGATCAGCCAGAGCCCCCTCCCCTCGGGGTCCCTACTGGCCCCTCCCCCTCTGTGATGAGCGAGTACTGATCTCGTACCTGATCCAGAGTGAGCGAGATGCTTCCTGAGCGGCGGTGGGGGACGGGCTTCAGAGGAACTGACGAATGCAGCACTTCCTGTTTGTCGGTGTCCGCTGCTGCTTCCACCTCTTTAGTCTCCTGTAACCAGAGACACCAGAGACCATGAGGGACCAGAGAGAGACCAGAGAGAGACCAGAGACCATGAGGGACCAGAGAGAGACCAGAGCGAGACCAGAGACCATGAGGGACCAGAGAGAGACCAGAGAGAGACCAGAGCGAGACCAGAGCGAGACCAGAGACCATGAGGGACCAGAGAGAGACCAGAGAGAGACCAGAGCGAGACCAGAGCGAGACCAGAGACCATGAGGGACCAGAGAGAGACCAGAGAGAGACCAGAGCGAGACCAGAGCGAGACCAGAGACCATGAGTAAGTAAGTAAGTAAGTTTTTATTTATATACCGCCTTTTCACTGCAGATCTGAGTCTCAAAGCGGTTTACAATTGTTAATTGGAGGGACCCATGAGGGACCAGAGAGAGACCAGAGAGAGACCAGAGCGAGACCAGAGACCATGAGGGACCAGAGAGAGACCTGAGAGAGACCAGAGACTATGAGGGACCAGAGAGAGACCAGAGCGAGACCAGAGACCATGAGGGACCAGAGAGAGACCAGAGACCATGAGGGACCAGAGAGACCAGAGCGAGACCAGAGCGAGACCAGAGCGAGACCAGAGCGAGACCAGAGACCATGAGGGACCGAGACCTGAGAGAGACCAGAGACTATGAGGGACCAGAGAGAGACCAGAGCGAGACCAGAGACCATGAGGGACCAGAGAGAGACCAGAGACCATGAGGGACCAGAGAGACCAGAGCGAGACCAGAGCGAGACCAGAGCGAGACCAGAGCGAGACCAGAGACCATGAGGGACCAGAGAGAGACCTGAGAGAGACCAGAGACCATGAGGGACCAGAGAGAGACCAGAGCGAGACCAGAGACCATGAGGGACCAGAGAGAGACCAGAGACCATGAGGGACCAGAGAGAGACCAGAGCGAGACCAGAGACCATGAGGGACCAGAGAGAGACCAGAGAGAGACAAGAGACCATGAGGGACCAGAGAGAGACCAGAGCGAGACCAGAGACCATGAGGGACCAGAGAGAGACCTGAGAGAGACCAGAGACCATGAGGGACCAGAGAGAGACCAGAGCGAGACCAGAGACCATGAGGGACCAGAGAGAGACCAGAGACCATGAGGGACCAGAGAGAGACCAGAGCGAGACCAGAGACCATGAGGGACCAGAGAGAGACCTGAGAGAGACCAGAGAGAGACCAGAGCGAGACCAGAGACCATGAGGGACCAGAGAGAGACCTGAGAGAGACCAGAGACCATGAGGGACCAGAGAGAGACCAGAGCGAGACCAGAGACCATGAGGGACCAGAGAGAGACCAGAGACCATGAGGGACCAGAGAGACCAGAGCGAGACCAGAGACCATGAGGGACCAGAGAGAGACCTGAGAGAGACCAGAGACCATGAGGGACCAGAGAGAGACCAGAGCGAGACCAGAGACCATGAGGGACCATAGAGAGACCAGAGAGAGACCAGAGCGAGACCAGAGACCATGAGGGACCAGAGAGAGACCTGAGAGAGACCAGAGACCATGAGGGACCAGAGAGAGACCAGAGCGAGACCAGAGACCATGAGGGACCAGAGAGAGACCAGAGAGAGACCAGAGAGAGAGACCAGAGAGAGACCAGAGGGAGACCAGAGAGAGACCAGAGAGAGACCAGAGAGAGACCAGAGAGAGACCAGAGAGAGACCAGAGGGAGACCAGAGGGAGACCAGAGAGAGACCAGAGAGAGACCAGAGGGAGACCAGAGAGAGACCAGAGAGAGACCAGAGGGAGACCAGAGAGAGACCAGAGACCATGAGGGACCAGAGAGAGACCAGAGAGAGACCAGAGAGAGACCAGAGGGAGACCAGAGGGAAACCAGAGGGAGACCAGAGAGAGACCAGAGAGAGACCAGAGAGAGACCAGAGAGAGACCAGAGAGAGACCAGAGAGAGACCAGAGAGAGACCAGAGAGAGACCAGAGGGAGACCAGAGAGAGACCAGAGAGAGACCAGAGAGAGACCAGAGAGAGACCAGAGAGAGACCAGAGAGAGACCAGAGAGAGACCAGAGAGGGACCAGAGAGAGACCAGAGAGACCAGAGAAAGAGACCAGAGAGAGACCAGAGAGAGACCAGAGAGAGACCAGAGAGGGACCAGAGAGAGACCAGAGAGACCAGAGAAAGAGACCAGAGAGAGACCAGAGAGAGACCAGAGAGAGACCAGAGAGAGACCAGAGAGAGACCAGAGAGACCAGAGAGAGACCAGAGAGAGACCAGAGAGAGACCAGAGAGAGACCAGAGCGAGACCAGAGACCATGAGGGACCATAGAGAGACCAGAGAGAGACCAGAGCGAGACCAGAGACCATGAGGGACCAGAGAGAGACCTGAGAGAGACCAGAGACCATGAGGGACCAGAGAGAGACCAGAGCGAGACCAGAGACCATGAGGGACCAGAGAGAGACCAGAGAGAGACCAGAGAGAGAGACCAGAGAGAGACCAGAGGGAGACCAGAGAGAGACCAGAGAGAGACCAGAGAGAGACCAGAGGGAGACCAGAGAGAGACCAGAGAGAGACCAGAGAGAGACCAGAGGGAGACCAGAGAGAGACCAGAGACCATGAGGGACCAGAGAGAGACCAGAGAGAGACCAGAGAGAGACCAGAGGGAGACCAGAGGGAAACCAGAGGGGAGACCAGAGAGAGACCAGAGAGAGACCAGAGAGAGACCAGAGAGAGACCAGAGAGAGACCAGAGAGAGACCAGAGAGAGACCAGAGAGAGACCAGAGGGAGACCAGAGAGAGACCAGAGAGAGACCAGAGAGAGACCAGAGAGAGACCAGAGAGAGACCAGAGAGAGACCAGAGAGGGACCAGAGAGAGACCAGAGAGACCAGAGAAAGAGACCAGAGAGAGACCAGAGAGAGACCAGAGAGAGACCAGAGAGGGACCAGAGAGAGACCAGAGAGACCAGAGAAAGAGACCAGAGACCATGAGGGACCATAGAGAGACCAGAGAGAGACCAGAGCGAGACCAGAGACCATGAGGGACCAGAGAGAGACCAGAGAGAGACCAGAGACCATGAGGGACCAGAGAGAGACCAGAGCGAGACCAGAGACCATGAGGGACCAGAGAGAGACCAGAGAGAGACCAGAGAGAGAGACCAGAGAGAGACCAGAGGGAGACCAGAGAGAGATCAGAGAGAGACCAGAGAGAGACCAGAGGGAGACCAGAGAGAGACCAGAGAGAGACCAGAGAGAGACCAGAGAGAGACCAGAGGGAGACCAGAGAGAGACCAGAGACCATGAGGGACCAGAGAGAGACCAGAGAGAGACCAGAGAGAGACCAGAGAGAGACCAGAGAGAGACCAGAGGGAGACCAGAGGGAAACCAGAGGGAGACCAGAGAGAGACCAGAGAGAGACCAGAGAGAGACCAGAGAGAGACCAGAGAGAGACCAGAGAGAGACCAGAGAGAGACCAGAGAGAGACCAGAGGGAGACCAGAGAGACCAGAGAGAGACCAGAGAGAGACCAGAGAGAGACCAGAGAGAGACCAGAGAGAGGGACCTTTGAAAGAGTGACCAAGAACCAGGACCAGGAACTATTTACATGGATTTCATGACAGAGTTTGTTGTTGTTTGAATGTTACGTACTGAAGCTTTAGGTCGACTACTTCTCCTCTTTTCTCGGCTGCTTCACCTCCCTCCCCCTCCCTCCCCCTCCTCACCTCCTCCTCCCCCCTCCTCACCTCCTCCTCCCCCCTCCCTCACATTCCTGTACTGGTCTGTACAGGCCTCGGTGCAGATCTTACGCAGACGCTGAAGTTTAGAATGTAGTGTGTTCTAAAGGTCAGACACTCAGAGTTGTGTAGTGACTTTTGAGACATAATCCATGATGTGTTACTTTTACAAACTCTAAATAATGAAGCACAGTTGCTGGGTAGTTGGTTCGAATCCCCCCCGATCCCCCTCACCGCCAGCCCCAGTTCGGCCTCCAGCTCTGGGTTCATGTGGAAGTGCAGTCTCTCCGTCAGAGCGTTCAGGACCTGTGTTCCTTCATACGCTCCACTGAGGTTCAACATTGGACACGAACTTAGGTCTGAAACAGGAACAACATGAGAGAGACCTCAGACCAGAGAGACCAGAGACCAGAGAGAGACCCCAGACCAGAGAGAGTCCAGAGAGAGAGACCAGAGAGAGATCACAGACCAGAGAGAGTCCAGAGAGAGAGACCAGAGAGAGATCACAGACCAGCGAGAGACCAGAGACCAGAGAGACCAGAGAAAGTCCAGAGAGAGACCAGAGAGAGTCCAGAGAGAGACCAGAGAGAGACCAGAGAGAGACCACAGAGAGACCACAGACCAGAGAGAGACCAGAGACCAGAGAGACCACAGACCAGAGAGACCAGAGACCAGAGAGACCACAGACCAGAGAGACCAGAGACCAGAGCGAGACCAGAGAGACCACAGACCAGAGAGACCACAGACCAGAGCGAGACCACAGACCAGAGAGAGACCAGAGAGAGACCACAGACCAGAGAGACCAGAGACCAGAGAGAGACCACAGACCAGAGAGAGACCACAGACCAGAGCGAGACCACAGACCAGAGAGAGACCAGAGAGAGACCACAGACCAGAGAGAGACCACAGACCAGAGAGACCAGAGACCACAGACCAGAGACGAGACCACAGACCAGAGAGAGACCACAGACCAGAGAGACCACAGACCAGAGAGACCACAGACCAGAGAGACCACAGACCAGAGAGAGACCAGAGACCAGAGAGAGAGACCAGAGAGAGACCAGAGACCAGAGAGAGACCAGAGAGAGACCAGAGAGACACCACAGACCAGAAAGAGACCAGAGAGAGACCAGAGAGGGACCAGAGAGAGACCAGAGAGAGTAAGTAGTAAGAAAGAAAGTAATGTTTATCTATTTAGCAATTTTTTACAGACCAAGGTCATCCAAAGTATTTATGCATTAGTTAATTTGGAAGGTACAGAACAAAGAACAATGTCTCATTCTAACTGATGCCATGTCTACAGGAGACCTGGTCTCTAACACCTAATGTAACACCAGCACTGTACAATGTTCAGAGTTCAGATATTGTTTCAGATTCAGATCAGATTCATTTATTTGCCATTTGCAGTAAAACCACATTGGAAAAACTTTGCAAGACTACCCCAGTGTGCACCGGACAGAGAGGACGGCACACACCAGAGCTCTTGCCTCTTCATTGTTTAATTTACATTTAAGCCTCGGAGAGAACAGAGAGAGAGAGACCTGAGAGAGACCAGAGAACAGAGAGAGACCAGAGAGAGACCAGAGAGAGAACAGAGAGAGACCAGAGAACAGAGAGAGACCAGAGAGAGACCAGAGAACAGAGACCAGAGAACAGAGAGAGACCAGAGAGAGACCAGAGAGAGAACAGAGAGAGAACAGAGAGAGACCAGAGAGAGACCAGAGAGAGACCAGAGAACAGAGAGAGACCAGAGAGAGAACAGAGAGAGAAAGACCAGAGAGAGACCAGAGAGAGACCAGAGAGAGACCAGAGAGACACCACAGACCAGAAAGAGACCAGAGAGAGACCAGAGAGGGACCAGAGAGAGACCAGAGAGAGTAAGTAGTAAGAAAGAAAGTAATGTTTATCTATTTAGCAATTTTTTACAGACCAAGGTCATCCAAAGTATTTATGCATTAGTTAATTTGGAAGGTACAGAACAAAGAACAATGTCTCATTCTAACTGATGCCATGTCTACAGGAGACCTGGTCTCTAACACCTAATGTAACACCAGCACTGTACAATGTTCAGAGTTCAGATATTGTTTCAGATTCAGATCAGATTCATTTATTTGCCATTTGCAGTAAAACCACATTGGAAAAACTTTGCAAGACTACCCCAGTGTGCACCGGACAGAGAGGACGGCACACACCAGAGCTCTTGCCTCTTCATTGTTTAATTTACATTTAAGCCTCGGAGAGAACAGAGAGAGAGAGACCTGAGAGAGACCAGAGAACAGAGAGAGACCAGAGAGAGACCAGAGAGAGAACAGAGAGAGACCAGAGAACAGAGAGAGACCAGAGAGAGACCAGAGAGACACCACAGACCAGAAAGAGACCAGAGAGAGACCAGAGAGGGACCAGAGAGAGACCAGAGAGAGTAAGTAGTAAGAAAGAAAGTAATGTTTATCTATTTAGCAATTTTTTACAGACCAAGGTCATCCAAAGTATTTATGCATTAGTTAATTTGGAAGGTACAGAACAAAGAACAATGTCTCATTCTAACTGATGCCATGTCTACAGGAGACCTGGTCTCTAACACCTAATGTAACACCAGCACTGTACAATGTTCAGAGTTCAGATATTGTTTCAGATTCAGATCAGATTCATTTATTTGCCATTTGCAGTAAAACCACATTGGAAAAACTTTGCAAGACTACCCCAGTGTGCACCGGACAGAGAGGACGGCACACACCAGAGCTCTTGCCTCTTCATTGTTTAATTTACATTTAAGCCTCGGAGAGAACAGAGAGAGAGAGACCTGAGAGAGACCAGAGAACAGAGAGAGACCAGAGAGAGACCAGAGAGAGAACAGAGAGAGACCAGAGAACAGAGAGAGACCAGAGAGAGACCAGAGAACAGAGACCAGAGAACAGAGAGAGACCAGAGAGAGACCAGAGAGAGAACAGAGAGAGAACAGAGAGAGACCAGAGAGAGACCAGAGAGAGACCAGAGAACAGAGAGAGACCAGAGAGAGAACAGAGAGAGAAAGACCAGAGAGAGACCAGAGAGAGACCAGAGAGAGACCAGAGAGACACCACAGACCAGAAAGAGACCAGAGAGAGACCAGAGAGGGACCAGAGAGAGACCAGAGAGAGTAAGTAGTAAGAAAGAAAGTAATGTTTATCTATTTAGCAATTTTTTACAGACCAAGGTCATCCAAAGTATTTATGCATTAGTTAATTTGGAAGGTACAGAACAAAGAACAATGTCTCATTCTAACTGATGCCATGTCTACAGGAGACCTGGTCTCTAACACCTAATGTAACACCAGCACTGTACAATGTTCAGAGTTCAGATATTGTTTCAGATTCAGATCAGATTCATTTATTTGCCATTTGCAGTAAAACCACATTGGAAAAACTTTGCAAGACTACCCCAGTGTGCACCGGACAGAGAGGACGGCACACACCAGAGCTCTTGCCTCTTCATTGTTTAATTTACATTTAAGCCTCGGAGAGAACAGAGAGAGAGAGACCTGAGAGAGACCAGAGAACAGAGAGAGACCAGAGAGAGACCAGAGAGAGAACAGAGAGAGACCAGAGAACAGAGAGAGACCAGAGAGAGACCAGAGAACAGAGACCAGAGAACAGAGAGAGACCAGAGAGAGACCAGAGAGAGAACAGAGAGAGAACAGAGAGAGACCAGAGAGAGACCAGAGAGAGACCAGAGAACAGAGAGAGACCAGAGAGAGACCAGAGAGAGAAAGACCAGAGAGAGACCAGAGAGAGAACAGAGAGAGACCAGAGAGAGACCAGAGAGAGACCAGAGAGAGACCAGAGAGAGACCAGAGAGAGACCAGAGAGAGACCAGAGAGACCAGAGAGAGACCAGAGAGAGACCAGAGAGAGATCAGAGATAGAACAGAGAGAGAGAGACCAGAGAGAGACCAGTAAAAGACCAGAGAGAGTCTAGGAACTGGGCGAGGGGGTAGAGGGACAGGTCAGTCTTAATGAAAAGGTGACCTTTAAAGGTGACAAACAGAAGCCAGGTGCAGGAGAGGAGGTCCAGAAGAGAAGGGGCAGAAGAGGAGGGGCAGAAGAGGAGGTCCAGAAGAGGAGGGGCAGAAGAGGAGGTCCAGAAGAGGAGGTCCAGAAGAGGAGGGACAGTAGAGGTCCAGAAGAGGAGGTCCAGAAGAGGAGGTCCAGAAGAGGAGGGGCAGAAGAGGAGGGGCAGAGGAGAGAACTTTCTGAAACTGAAGTGTACTTCTTACAGTGTGCAGGCTGCATCTTCTTCACTTCAACACTCAGGACTGACAGAGGAGCAGCCTGAGGAACAAACATGGTTTTAAGACCAGAGGTAGACCAGAGAGAGAGGCCAGAGGTAGACCAGAGAGAGAGACCAGAGGTAGACCAGAGAGAGAGACCAGAGGTAGACCAGAGAGAGAGACCAGAGGTAGACCAGAGAGAGAGGCCAGAGGTAGACCAGAGAGAGAGACCAGAGGTAGACCAGAGAGAGAGACCAGAGGTAGACCAGAGAGAGAGACCAGAGGTAGACCAGAGAGAGAGGCCAGAGGTAGACCAGAGAGAGAGGCCAGAGAGAGAGACGGTGCTGGTACACAACCAGAACTTGGTCCAGACCCTGGTCCAGGCTCAGAGGGGCTCACCATGAGGATCCCGTTGGACATGTACTCCCGCGTGGCCTCCTCACTGCTGGAGACACAGATGTTTGAGCAGAAACAACACAAACACATTGTTCAGGTTCAGGTCTCACCTTTGGCTCAGCTCAAACTCCAGCTCCACCACGTCCTCCGTCTGCAACCAGGAGAAACATCTAAATCTCTCCTCTCTCCCTTCTCTCTCGTCTAAGCCTGGCTTTTCCCTGTGCTCTTAAATGTTGTTGTGGTGACAGTACCTCAGGGCTCAGGCTGAAGGTTCTTCTGATGTTTGAGTCCATCTCCAGTCCAGGTGTCCAGGTCCAACAGCACCATGGACACCAGGTCATCTCTGGACAACAGGTCCTCATCCAGGACTCGGATCTCCAAGATGTTCTACAGTAGAAGAACCAGGTCTAAAGCAGGTCTGAAGCAGGTCTGAACCAGGTCTAAAGCAGGTCTGAAGCAGGTCTGAAGCAGGTCTGAAGCAGGTCTGAAGCAGGTCTAAGGCAGGTCTGAAGCAGGTCTGAAGCAGGTCTAAGGCAGGTCTGAAGCAGGTCTAAAGCAGGTCTGAAGCAGGTCTGAAGCAGGTCTGAAGCAGGTCTGAAGCAGGTCTGAAGCAGGTCTGAAGCAGGTCTAAGGCAGGTCTGAAGCAGGTCTCTCCCCGGTCTCACCTTGGTCTGGGTCGGGAATCTGAAGTTGAAGCCCTCGTTCCACTCTGGCTGGTTGTTGTGGTTGATGGTTCGAGTTCTTCGTGATGTGGAGGTCGCCGTCGGCAACGTCAGAGACACATAGAGGTCCGACTGAGACCCTGAGGAAAGACCACAATCAGGACTACGACCAGGATCTGGACCAGAACCAGGTCTGTACTCACAGTAGTCCTGGCTCGTGTGGGTCTTCGCTCGCAGAACTGTGACGTTCAGAGTCAAATATGAGACAAACTCCACCTGAAAATCAAGTTTTTCTTCTGTTAAAGACCAGAGAGACCAGAGAGAGACCAGAGAGAGACCAGAGAGAGACCAGAGAGAGACCAGAGAGAGACCAGAGAGAGACCTGAGAGAGACCAGAGAGAGACCAGAGAGAGACGCGCATGTACGTATAATGACTGTGATAAACTAATCAATGTCACTAGTTTAAGGCTCTAAAAAGAGTTTGGTTCTTGTGGTCTGAAAGTGACGTACCCCAGCTTTAATGTGGTCTGGGTCTCTCTCTCTGATCTCTCCCTTTCTGGTCTCTCTCTCTGGTCTCTCTCTGGTCTCTCTCTCTCTGGACTCTCTCAATCTGGTCAATCTGGACTCTCTCTCTGGACTCTCTCTCTCTGGACTCTCTCTCTCTCTGGACTCTCTTTCTCTCTGGACTCTCTTTCTCTCTGGACTCTCTCTCTCTGGGACTCTCTCACTCTGGACTCTCACTCTGGACTCTCTCTCTGGTCTCTCTCTCTGGACTCTCTCTCTCTGGACTCTCTCTCTCTGGACTCTCTCTCTCTGGACTCTCTCTCTGGCCTCTCTCTGGACTCTCTCTCTGGACTCTCTCTCTGGACTCTCTCTCTGGACTCTCTCTCTCTGGACTCTCTCTCTCTGGACTCTCTCTCTGGTCTCTCTCTCTGGTCTCTCTCTCTGGACTCTCTCTCTCTCTGGACTCTCTCTCTCTGGACTCTCTGTCTCTCTGGACTCTCTTTCTCTCTGGACTCTCTTTCTCTCTGGACTCTCTCTCTCTGGACTCTCTCACTCTGGACTCTCACTCTGGACTCTCTCTCTGGTCTCTCTCTCTGGACTCTCTCTCTCTGGACTCTCTCTCTGGCCTCTCTCTGGACTCTCTCTCTGGACTCTCTCTCTGGACTCTCTCTCTGGACTCTCTCTCTCTGGACTCTCTCTCTCTGGACTCTCTCTCTGGTCTCTCTCTCTGGTCTCTCTCTCTGGACTCTCTCTCTCTCTGGACTCTCTCTCTCTGGACTCTCTCTCTCTCTGGACTCTCTTTCTCTCTGGACTCTCTTTCTCTCTGGACTCTCTCTCTCTGGACTCTCTCACTCTGGACTCTCACTCTGGACTCTCTCTCTGGTCTCTCTCTCTGGACTCTCTCTCTCTGGACTCTCTCTCTCTGGACTCTCTCTCTCTGGACTCTCTCTCTGGCCTCTCTCTGGACTCTCTCTCTGGACTCTCTCTCTGGACTCTCTCTCTGGACTCTCTCTCTGGCCTCTCTCTGGACTCTCTCTCTCTGGCCTCTCTCTCTCTGGTCTCTCTCTCTGGACTCTCTCTCTCTGGACTCTCTCTCTCTGGACTCTCTCTCTGGCCTCTCTCTGGACTCTCTCTCTGGACTCTCTCTCCGGTCCCTCACATTGCGTCTGCTCTGGACACTTGCATCTCGTCTATTTGAATTCTTGAAACTCTGTTCAAGTCTGTAATAAATCTGGTGTGGGTCTGAACCAGGTCTGGGTCTCTCTCTCTCTCTCTCTCTCTCTCTCTTTCTCTGGTCTCTCTCTCTGATCTCTCTCTCTCTCTCTGGTCTCTCTCTGGACTCTCTGTCCAACTCTGTCCAAGTCTTTAATAAATGTTTTTTTGATGAGACTCACGTGACCTGGCGGATCTTGGTCCCTGAGGAGAAGAAGAGGAGGCAGTCAGACTAATGCAGGTCTACGGACAGGACGGTTTTAGAGAGAGATGAGAGATCGTGCACTCACCGGGGAAGCAGCGAGAAAGCCATGTCGCTGTGGATCACAACAAGAGACTATCAACAACAACAAACTGCTCTGAGAAGACTGGAGCCAGCGGACGGGGGAATGAGGAAACCGGTTATTGAGTTTAGGGGAGGGGGGAGGGGGCTGGTCCCAACACCCGGTCTGTCTGGTCTATGTCAGGTCTATTTGATAGAGGAGGTCGTCAGCAGTCAGAATCCTGGTTTCGTTGGAATCCTGGTCTGTGCGTGTGTAATGTATTTTTAAGCCCTTTTAAGCTTCACTTTCAGATCATGTACATGGAGCGGAGAAAGTTACAATTTACACATTTCTAGTCTTTAAGCCCTGTCCCAATCCTCACCCTAGCCCTTAATTTTTACCCTTGTCCTAGATTAGGTGTAGGTGTCCCAAAACCAGGGAACAACCCTCGCGCAACTGATCTTTGGGGCTCACCCAAAGATTGTAACGGACGTAGTCGCGCCTATTTCCGGCGGTCAAACTAATGTGCCATCACTTTCGCCGTCTATGGGCAGTTTCAAAATGGCCGCGAGGGCTGGAAAATGTGAAAAAACGCATTTGCGCATGCGTCATTCGGAAGTGGCCCCATTCATTTGAGGAGCGCCTTCCACAGCGGCTAAACTAGACTGGTCCAAAACACACTCTCCCCTCAACATTGACACACATCGGTTGGGCCAAGAGCGACTTTTGGACCATCCTGTGAAGATGTATCTTGATACGTGCGTGATATGGGGCAGTGCTGTACCTAGCATTGAATCATTCTTATTTCAGGTCCACCGCCGTCGGCCTGGGGTGGTTTTGAAAGCACGTCAGAGCATTTCATTTTGGATCTTTTTGAGCCTGGACCTGCCCCCACTGGGCTCACCTGCAGGATAGGGTAATCCCATGATGCATTGCAATGAGTAACTGACATAGTTTTGACTGAAGCAAGTTTTTACTGAACGTGTGGAGGCTTCGGAGCGTGTGCGAGTGACTTAGAGGGATTTTTTAAAGTGTGTGTTGGTGCCGAATGTGGTTCGCTCATGAAGAGGCTGCAGCCTCTGACGTGGTGCATGTTATTGATACAGATCCATGCATGGATTTAGCTGTTAGTTCCAGCGTGTGTGTGTCTGTGTGTGTCTGTGTGTGTCTGTGTGTGTCTGTGTGTGTCTGTGTGCGTGATCTGGGGCAGTCCTGTACCTTATTATAGCTAATCTTCTTCATATGAAATACAATTTTAAAAATTATCACTTTAATAAATACTTTGTTTCATAAAATCTATCTTAACTGTAGTAATTTTGTAATGTCTGTGACGTGGAACACGTTTGCTGCGTCGATTTGCAAACATTCTCTCTCCCTCCCCTCCCTCAGTGACTCACTCACTCACTGCTCAGGTTTGGTCAACGCCTGAGGACAATAGACTCTAAATGGCTCCAGTTGATGTCACTGAAAACTAGCTCCCGAGAGAGATCAGAGAGAGAGATTAGAGAGAGAGACCAAAGAGAGAGATCAGAGAGAGAGAGACCAAAGAGAGAGACCAAAGAGAGAGACCAGAGAGAGATTAGAGAGAGGGACCAGAGAGAGACCAAAGAGAGATACCAAAGAGAGAGACCAGAGAGAGAGATCAGAGAGAGAGAGACCAAAGAGAGAGACCAAAGAGAGAGATCAGAGAGAGAGATTAGAGAGAGAGACCAGAGAGAGAGATCAGAGAGAGAGAGACCAAAGAGAGAGACCAGAGAGACCAAAGAGAGAGACCAAAGAGAGAGACCAGAGAGAGAGACCAGAGAGAGATTAGAGAGAGGGACCAGAGAGAGACCAAAGAGAGATACCAAAGAGAGAGACCAGAGAGAGAGATCAGAGAGAGAGAGACCAAAGAGAGAGACCAGAGAGACCAAAGAGAGAGACCAAAGAGAGAGACCAGAGAGAGACCAGAGAGAGAGACCAGAGAGAGATTAGAGAGAGACCAAAGAGAGATACCAAAGAGAGAGACCAGAGAGAGAGAGACCAAAGAGAGAGACCAGAGAGACCAAAGAGAGAGACCAAAGAGAGAGACCAGAGAGAGACCAGAGAGAGAGACCAGAGAGAGAGAGACCAAAGAGAGAGACCAGAGAGAGATTAGAGAGAGGGACCAGAGAGAGACCAAAGAGAGAGACCAGAGAGAGAGATCAGAGAGAGAGAGACCAAAGAGAGAGACCAGAGAGACCAAAGAGAGAGACCAAAGAGAGAGACCAGAGAGAGACCAGAGAGAGAGATAGTCTAAAGAGAGAGACCCATTATTTAGAGTTTGTTGGAGACAAAGATGTGGAACAAAACAGTTAAGTGTATGTTAAAACCAAAACCTCTATCAGCCTAACGCTAGCATCATAAGCTACATTTAGTTTGTATTTATATATTTATATATATATAGCATCATAAGCATATATCTGGAGAAAGTAACTTCAAAGTAATGCAGTAGTGTAATGCTTTAACACATTACTTTGAAAGAACAGTTATTAACATGATTATGTTTCTGAAGTCACTGTCCAACACTGTGAGAATATATGAGACTACCTTTTCAGAGTTATGTACTAACTGTCATCTACTTCCACTTAAACACTAAAGACCAATAATAATAACAATAATAATAGTTTCACCTGCTCCAGCTCCACATTGTCCTCAGGGCGTCCATGTTGTTGATGTGAAGTGATTTACACCTGATGAGATTCACTTGTCTGAGCCCCGCCCCCCTCTGACATTGGGCCGGGCAGTCAGAGGTGCTCATCCCGAATATCTGAGCCCTGCCCCCACCTCTGTGTGAGCCTCTGTGTGAGCATGTTCTACGCCCTGTTAATGTCTACTCTACAACACTACACACACACATACACACACACACACACACACACACATACACACACACACACACCTACACACACACACATACACACAAAAGACAAGGCAACTCAAAGTGCTGAACAAATCAAAAGCATAAGCACAGCAAAACAGAACTGTCTTTAACCTGGATTTAAACGTTATCAGAGAAGATGCCTGTCTCACATTTTCAGGAAGACTGTTCTAGATTTTAGCAGCATGAATCTGAAACGCCGCCTCTCCAAGTTTTAGTTCTGACTCTGGGCACCAGCAGGAGTCCTGTCCCTGTGCTCCTCAGAGTCCCAGCAGAAGGCCAGTCCCTGTGCTCCTCAGAGTCCCAGCAGGAGGCCAGTCCCTGTGCTCCTCAGAGTCCCAGCAGCAGTCCAGTCCCTGTGCTCCTCAGAGTCCCAGCAGGAGGCCAGTCCCTGTGCTCCTCAGAGTCCCAGCAGGAGGCCAGTCCCTGTGCTCCTCAGAGTCCCAGCAGGAGGCCAGTCCCTGTGCTCCTCAGAGTCCCAGCAGGAGGCCAGTCCCTGTGCTCCTCAGAGTCCCAGCAGCAGTCCTGTCCCTGTGCTCCTCAGAGTCCCAGCAGGAGGCCAGTCCCTGTGCTCCTCAGAGTCCCAGCAGGAGGCCAGTCCCTGTGCTCCTCAGAGTCCCAGCAGCAGTCCAGTCCCTGTGCTCCTCAGAGTCCCAGCAGGAGGCCAGTCCCTGTGCTCCTCAGAGTCCCAGCAGGAGGCCAGTCCCTGTGCTCCTCAGAGTCCCAGCAGGAGGCCAGTCCCTGTGCTCCTCAGAGTCCCAGCAGGAGTCCTGTCCCTGTGCTCCTCAGAGTCCCAGCAGCAGTCCTGTCCCTGTGCTCCTCAGAGTCCCAGTTGGTTCATATGGAACTAACATGTGAGACGGGATCTTTACGCATCAGAGCCACCTGGAAGTTCATTCTCAGTTTCTTTCAGTTTTTTTACAGACAGAACAAAGTCAGAACAAGCTCTATATAGTCAACGTTACGTCACACATGGAAAGGCAAACGTGTCACATCAAGAGACAATCAGAACATGTTAGAGTCATAACACGGATACCCAATCGGAGTCCTTGTGACTGTGAGAGCCAGATATTACTTTTATATTTTGTCTTGCGTTTGTCCACCTGCATAGGCCGATCTATTCACCATAATGTCACCAATGTACTTTGGTGCGAGGCCAAACTTGTAATAAACAGAGCAGTTTTAAAGTCTATTCTCTGAGTCACAGGAAGCCAGTGTAGAGACCTGAGGACTGGACTAATTTGGTCGTACTTCCTGGTTCTAGTCAGGACTAATATGGTCGTACTTCCTGGTTCTAGTCAGGACTCGAGCTGCTGCATTTTGAATGTACTGCAGCTGTTTTACAGCCTGTTTGGACAGACATAGATCTGAGTGCCGTCTGCATAATTGTGATGTAAAGTTCCAGAATGAAGGCACACACACACACACACAAAGACACACACACAGGGACACACACACTCACAAACACACAAAGATGCATCCCAAATACTAAACCAGGATCTTTACTCGTCACCTCCACCTGAAGCAAATAGACTCAGTGACTTAGACCAGACTCAGTCCAGGTCTCGCTCATGTTCATACTTCCAGCTCTTCCTCAGGCGACATGGAGCTCCTTTCCTGGTAAGATCGAGGCTCTAGACCCAGGACTGAGGCTGTAGACCCAGGACTGAGGCTGTAGATCAAGGACTGAGGCTGTAGATCAAGGACTGAGGCTGTAGACCCAGGACTGAGGCTGTAGACCAAGGACTGAGGCTGTAGACCCAGGACTGAGGCTGTAGATCAAGGACTGAGGCTGTAGACCCAGGATTGAGGCTGTAGATCAAGGACTGAGGCTGTAGACCCAGGACTGAGGCTGTAGATCAAGGACTGAGGCTGTAGACCCAGGACTGAGGCTGTAGATCCAGGACTGAGGCTGTAGACGTAGACCCAGGACTGAGGCTGTAGATCAAGGACTGAGGCTGTAGACCCAGGACTGAGGCTGTAGATCCAGGACTGAGGCTGTAGACGTAGACCCAGGACTGAGGCTGTAGATCAAGGACTGAGGCTGTAGACACAGGACTGAGGCTGTAGATCCAGGACTGAGGCTGTAGACCCAGGACTCTAGTACAGTAGAGTAGAGTACAGTATAGTAGAGTACAGTAGAGCAGAGTGCAGTAGAGTAGAGTACAGTAGTATAGAGTAGAGTACAGTAGAGTAGAGTACAGTAGAGTAGAGTATAGTAGTATAGAGTAGAGTACAGTAGAGTAGAGTAGTATGGAGTAGAGTAGAGTACAGTAGTATAGAGTAGAGTACAGTAGAGTAGAGTAGAGTACAGTAGTATAGAGTAGAGTAGAGCACAGTAGAGTAGAGTACAGTAGTATAGAGTAGAGTACAGTAGAGTAGAGTAAAGTACAGTAGTATAGAGTAGTATAGAGTAGAGTACAGTACAATACAGTAGAGTAGAGTACAGTACAGTACAGTAGAGTACAGTAGAGTAGAGTACAGTACAGTAGAGTAGAGTAGTATAGAGTAGAGTACAGTAGTATAGAGTACAGTACAGTAGTATAGAGTAGAGTACAGTACAGTAGTATAGAGTAGAGTACAGTAGAGTACAGTAGAGTAGAGTACAGTAGAGTAGTATAGAGTAGAGTACAGTAGAGTAGAGTACAGTACAGTAGAGTACAGTAGAGTAGAGTACAGTAGTATAGAGTAGAGTACAGTACAGTAGTATAGAGTAGAGTACAGTAGAGTACAGTAGAATAGAGTACAGTAGAGTAGTATAGAGTAGAGTACAGTAGAGTACAGTACAGTAGAGTAGAGTACAGTAGTATAGAGTAGAGTATAGTAGAGTACAGTAGAGTACAGTAGAGTAGAGTACAGTACAGTAGAGAACCGTAGTATAGAGTAGAGTACAGTAGAGTAGAGTAGAGTACAGTAGTGTAGAGTAGAGTACAGTACAGTAGAGTACAGTAGAGTAGAGTACAGTACAATAGAGTAGAGTACAGTAGAGTAGAGTATAGTACAGTAGAGTAGAGTACAGTAGAGTACAGTAGTATAGAATAGAGTACAGTAGAGTAGAGTACAGTAGTATAGAGTAGAGTAGAGTACAGTAGAGTAGAGTAGAGTACAGTACAGTAGAGTAGAGTACAGTAGAGTAGAGTAGAGTAGAGTAGAATAGAGTACAGTAGAGTAGAGTACAGTACAGTAGAGTAGAATAGAGTAGAGTAGAGTAGGGTAGAGTATGGTAGAGTACACTAGAGTAGAGTAGAGTACAGTAGAGTAGAGTACAGTACAGTAGAGTAGAGTAGAGTAGAGTACAGTATAGTAGAGTACAGTAGAGCAGAGTGCAGTAGAGTAGAGTAGAGTAGTATAGAGTAGAGTACAGTAGAGCAGAGTGCAGTAGAGTAGAGTACAGTAGAGTAGAGTAGTATAGAGTAGAGTAGAGTACAGTACAGTAGTATAGAGTAGAGTACAGTAGTATAGAGTAGAGTACAGTAGAGTAGAGTAGAGTACAGTAGTATAGAGTAGAGTAGTATAGAGTACAGTACAGTAGTATAGAGTAGAGTACAGTAGTATAGAGTAGAGTACAGTAGAGTAGAGTAGAGTAGAGTAGAGTACAGTAGAGTAGAGTATAGTACAGTAGAGTAGAGTACAGTAGAGTACAGTAGTATAGAATAGAGTACAGTAGAGTAGAGTACAGTAGTATAGAGTAGAGTAGAGTACAGTAGAGTAGAGTAGAGTACAGTAGAGTAGCGTAGAGTAGAGTAGTATAGAGTACAGTTGAGTAGAGTACAGTACAGTAGAGTAGAATAGAGTAGAGTAGAGTAGAGTAGAGTAGGGTAGAGTATGGTAGAGTACACTAGAGTAGAGTAGAGTACAGTAGAGTAGAGTACAGTACAGTAGAGTAGAGTACAGTATAGTAGAGTACAGTAGAGTAGAGTACAGTAGAGTAGTATAGAGTAGAGTAGAGTACAGTACAGTAGTATAGAGTACAGTACAGTAGTATAGAGTAGAGTACAGTAGTATAGAGTAGAGTACAGTAGAGTAGAGTACAGTACAGTAGTATAGAGTAGAGTACAGTAGAGTAAAGTAGAGTACAGTAGTATAGAGTAGAGTAGTATAGAGTACAGTACAGTAGTATAGAGTAGAGTACAGTAGTATAGAGTAGAGTACAGTAGAGTAGAGTAGAGTAGAGTACAGTAGAGTAGAGTACAGTACAGTAGAGTAGAGTAGAGTAGAGTACAGTAGAGTACAGTAGAGTAGAGTACAGTACAGTACAGTACAGTACAGTAGAGTAGAGTAGAGTAGAGTAGAGTACAGTAGAGTAGAGTAGAGTAGAGTAGAGTACAGTAGAGTACAGTAGAGTACAGTAGAGTAGAGTACAGTAGAGTAGAGTACAGTAGAGTAGAGTCTGAATCCTGTACTCGTTGCAGTCTCTGAGTCAGATCTTTACGTGATGCTGATGTTACCGACGTCGACCGCGACCTCCAGACGAACCAAGACCATCAACACAACCAACAACCCAGAGTGGAACGAGAGCTTCAGCTTCAGGGTCCCCAAGAAGACCAAGGTCAGACCTGCTTTAGACCTGCTTTAGACCTGCTTTAGACCTGCTTTAGACCTGCTTTAGTCCTGCTTTAGACCTGCTTTAGACCTGCTTTAGTCCTGCTTTAGTCCTGCTTCAGACCTGCTTCAGACCTGGTCCAGACCTGGTTCAGACCTGGTTCTTCTACTGTAGAACATCTTGGAGATCCGAGTCCTGGATGAGGACCTGTTGTCCAGAGATGACCTGGTGTCCATGGTGCTGTTGGACCTGGACACTCTGGAGATGGACTCAAACATCAGAAGAACCTTCAGCCTGAGCCCTGAGGTACTGTCACCACAACAACACAGAATCTCTCTGCTCTCTTTCTGGTGTCTCTTTCTGGTCTCTCTCTGGTCTCTTTCTGGTCTCTCTTTTGTCTCTTTCTGGTCTCTCTCTTGTCTCTTTCTGGTCTCTCTCTGGTCTCTTTCTGGTCTATCTCTCTGGTCTCTCTCTGGTCCCTCTTACTGGTTACTCTCTGGTCTCTCTCTCTTTGCTCTCTCTCTCTGGTCTCTCTCGTCTCTTTGGTCTCTCTCTGGTCCCTCTAACTGGTTTCTCTCTGGTCTCTCTCTGGTCTCTTTCTGGTCTCTCTTTTGTCTCTTTTTGGTCTCTCTTGTCTCTTTCTGGTCTCTCAATGGTCTTTTTCTGGTCTATCTCTCTGGTTTCTCTCTGGTCTCTCTCTCTTTGCTCTCTCTCTCTGGTCTCTCTGGTCTCTCTTTGTGGTCTCTCTCTTGTCTCTGTCTGGTCTCCCTCTCTGGTCTCTCTTAAGAGAAAGCTCCTGTCTATCTCTGGTCCCTCTCACTGGTCTCTCTGTGGCCTCTCTCTCTGTGGTCTCTCTCTCTAGTCTCTCTGGTCTCTCTCTGGTCTCTCTCTGGTCTCTCTGTGGTCTCTCTCTCTAGTCTCTCTGGTCTCTCTCTGGTCTCTCTGTGGTCTCTCTCTCTAGTCACTTTGGTCTCTCTCAGGTCTCTCTCTGGTCTCTCTGTGGCCTCTCTCTCTGTGGTCTCTCTCTCTAGTCTCACTGGTCTCTCTGTGGCCTCTCTCTCTAGTCTCACTGGTCTCTCTGTGGCCTCTCGCTCTGTGGTCTCTCTCTCTAGTCTCTCTGGTCTCTCTCTGGTCTCTCTCTGGTCTCTCTGTGGTCTCTCTCTCTAGTCTCTCTGGTCTCTCTCTGGTCTCTCTCTCTAGTCTCTCTGGTCTCTCTCTGGTCTCTCTCTGGTCTCTCTGTGGCCTCTCTGTGGCCTCTCTCTCTCTGTGGTCTTTCTCTCTGGTCTCTCTCTTGTTTATCTGTTTCTCTCATATCCCTCTCACTGGTCTCCTTCTTGTCTTGCATGTTATTGTTTTAGAGTGGATAGGTTGAAACCTGGTGACCAGCGTTTCCTCATTTGTTAAACTCGCTCCTGGTTCTGAGGCTTTGGTCTGACGTGTAAAGTTTAATATGTTGAGCAGAAAAAGGTTTCACTTTTTAAGTCAACATCAACGTTAGTGAATTGTGTTTGTAAAATTGTAATTGAATAAATAGCCGGTGAAAAAAGCCCAAGTGAATAAAAGGTCTCAAGACAGGATCAGTTTAAGGATTTAATATGGCATCAGACATGGTTTTTATACACTGCAACAAAGCAGAAACAAATTGCATATTAACAAAAATTAACAATGAAACTAAAATGGGAATCAACTGAAACTCACATGACGCATGCTGATCCATAGCCTGGATTGAAATGAAAGGGGAAACAATGGGCTTCCAGGACTTAAAATGGCTGCCTAATTGCACCCAGGTGTCTAGGTGTGGGGGGGGGGCGGAGCCAGCAGAGGGGTGTGGTTGAGGGATTTCTCACAGCCGCCCCCAAAACGGCAGTTTTGTTCCAGAATCCCTCAAACCTCGTCCTTGACTTCTGGGAGGGGTATAAGGCGGGAAACGGGTCGCAGGTAGGTCTGCTGCTTGACCTGGACTTTGGCGGACCGTACACGGCCATCAGCGCTTGGGAACGTTTCTATCACCTTTCCTACAGGCCAGGAAGATCGAGGTAGTTGAGGGTCGACTACCAGGACCACTTGATCGCATTGGAGATTCTCCTTGTCCACCTTCCACTTTGGTCTGGGCTGTAGATCGGGAAGGTGATAGCGAACGAATCCAGTCCAGAAGTGGTCTGCAAGAATCTGGCTGTGACGCCATCGCCGCTTATCAACAACTTGACTGCTGGCGTACACCGCTTGTGGTAAGGAGGAATCCCGCCGCCCCATCAACAACAAGTTTGGAGTCACAGGGTCTGGATCGGCGACATCAGTGGACACATAACCTAGGGGCTTGGAGTTGACTATTCCCTCTACCTCGATCAGAACGGTTCGCAGAACGGGCTGTGGTACTGATTGGTTGGCCAAGACAACTCGTAGAGCATCCTTAATTGATTTTATCTCCCTTTCCCATAGGCCGCCAAAGTGTGGTGCACTTGGAGGGTTGAAATGAAACATAATTTGCTGTTTCTCCAGTTTCTCTTGGAGCTCTGGGACCATGTCTTTGAATGCCCTCTTCAACTCTGCATACCCTCCACGGAAGTTGGTGCCACAGTCCGCAAAGACCTCATAAGGTTTTCCCCTTCTCGCCACAAAGCGACGTAGGGCCATAAGAAAGGCATCAGCATCCAGGCTTTCGAGGACATCCAAGTGGACACATCGGGTTGTCATACACTTGAAAACAATACCCCAACATTTCTCCGTTCTCCTTCCAACTTTGGTTAGAAAAGGGCCGAAGCAATCTATACCGGTAGACCAGAAGGCCGGTTGGAAAAGCCTGAGTCTGGCAGGAGGTAGGTCCGCCATTTTCGGCATTTCGGGAGAGGCACGCCACTTCTGACATTGCTGACACAGTCGTTGATGTCGACGGACTGCCGAGCGACCCTTGATTATCCAGTATTTACGCCGCAGTTCGGCAAAGAGACGCTCAGATCCTGGATGTAAGAGCTCCTCATCGTATTTCTGGATCAGAAGTTTTGTGAGGTGGTGGTTTGAGTCCAAAACCACAGGATGTATGACATCTGGGTCCAGGTCAGTAGCCCTTCTCAGCCGCCCTCCAACACGGATGAGTTTCAAAACTGGATCGAATTCGGGGGAAAAGGAACACAGCCTACTTGACGGTAACACAGATTTGCCAGATTGCAGAGCCGTGAATTCGGCTGGAAAGCTTTCCTGCTGTGCTCGTTTCAGGAGAAGGATTTCTGCTTCGATGGCTGGATTGGAGACTGAAGTGCTGTCCAACACCTGGACCGCAGCTGCAATGGCCTCAGTCCACGTAGTGCAGGTGGAAATGTCTATGGCATGGGGCATAGTTTGAGTTGACAGGAGGAGCAGCCGGTTGGTCTTGACTTCGTTGAGGTCCTCTTCCTTCCCCTTGACTGGGCATTGTGGCCAGTGGGTCTGGTCCTGGAATAAGAAGGGTGGCCCCAGACCCCACCGCTGTGGCTGAATAATCTCCAAAAGAGTTTACCTCGTGTCAAATCATCCGCGGGGTTCAGTGCACTCCCCACATATCTCCATTCCTCAGTGCAGGTCAGCTCCTGTATCTCAGCAATACGTGTACCGACAAAGACTTTGTATCTACAGGAATCAGATTGTATCCATTGCAGCACAGTGGTTGAGTCACTCCAAAGCTGAACTCTCTGAATGGGAAGGTGTATTTCCTTCTGCAACAAGGTAGCGAGTTGAGCACCACTCACTGCTGCACAGAGCTCCAGGCGGGGCATGGAGAGTTGCTTCCGAGGGGCAATCCTGGACCGGGCCATGACAAAGGAGACAGACACCTGGCCAAGATGATCTTCAGATCGAAGGTAAGCTACCGACCCATAAGCCCGCTCAGAAGAGTCACAAAAGACATGAAGCTCTCTTTTAATGCTTGACAGCTCTAGACTAGTCGACTCAAAGTAAGTAAGTAAATAAGTAAGTTATTATTTATATACCGCCTTTTCACTGCAGATCTGAGTCTCAAAGCGGTTTACAATTGTTAATTTTGGGCATTTGTCTCTCACTCCACACAGAGATGGGAGCAGGGTCGCCAGTACAGGAAGCGCATGCCAGAACTATTGGACATATTTTTAGTGGTAGGGGAAACCGGAGTACCCGGAGGAAACCTACGCAGACACGGGGAGAACATGCAAACTCCACTCAGAAAGGCCCTGGTCCGGCCGGGATTCGAACCCAGGACCTTCTTGCTGAGAGGCGAGAGTGCTATCCACTCAGCCACCGTGCCGCCAAAAAAGCACCGAGGAAAGACAACTTGAGGGAGCAATGCAAGTTCATCATACCAAGTGTTCCATCTATCGGCCAAAGCAGGGTCTACAATAGGATCGTCCCATCCTCTTGGGGAGCTCCACAAGTCTTGTACAAACACCTTGGCCCGGGTGAGAAAGGGAAGAATGTACCCCAAAGGGTCATACTGACTGGCAAGTATGCGATAAACATCTCTCAGAGTTGGACTTGGATTGGCAAAAGAGAGAGCTTTGCATTTGTAACTGAAGACATCAGTACGGCAGTTCCATCGCAGACCAAGCGTTGGTTCTTGTGGGTCAGTGGTTGTGTGGGAAAGCCACAGGTCACAGGAACTGGAACGAGCGGATTTCGGAAGATTTTCTACTACAGAAGGGTCATTGCTTGCCCATTGTCGGATTTCAAAGCCGCCAGTAAGAAGGAAAGAGCGCAGATCCTCAACAAATCTTTGTGTTGAATCTGCCGAAGGGGAGCTGTGTAGACAGTTATCAACGTAAAATGACTGTTCGACTGCTTTCCGAAGCATGTTCTCTGGATCAAGGTGATCTTTGGCATGCCGTTGGAGAGCATAGATTGCACAACAAGGGCTACAAGTAGTACCGAACGGTAAGACCTGCCACTCATAGACTGTCGGTTCATCCGGCTTCAGGTCTCTCCACAAAAACCGGAGTAGGGGGGTGTCTTCCGGGAGCAAACGCACCTGGTGAAACATTGCCTTGATGTCTGCTATAACGGCCACTTGATGCTGTCTGAAACGAAGAAGCACACCAGTAATGATGGTCCGAGGACTGGACCAGGTAAAAGGCAATGATTCAGGTTTTGGCCCTGGTGACTATAAGAGCAGTTAAACACCAGTCTGTGTTTGCCATTGTGCTGGGACACCACATGATGTGGGAGAAACCAGGATTCTGTGCCAAGAGCCGATTTAGTATCTACTTGGGTTACATAGCCTGCTTCAAGCAACATCTCGATTTCTCTTGAGTGTACTTTGGACAACAGAGGTTCTTTCCTAAGCCTATGTTCTGCCCTCAGAAGAACCGGAAGGAAGGAAGCCGGGTCTGAGCAAAGAGAGGGAAACTGAGGGTGGCGTAGCAAAGGAGTGACATACCGCAGCTGGCCATCTACCTCCAGTCTTTGTGTCCTAGAGTCCAAAAGTGCAAGAGCATACTGATCTTGTTTTGATCGGGTCACTTCCTTCTCGTTGTGCCGGGGGAACGTATCCAGCTGCCATAACTTCACCACGTTTCTCATCACATCATTTGAGAAAGGGGTAGCAGTGAAAAGGCATTGCATGTCTGGGACTGAAGCAGGGTTGACTGAGGAAGGACCTTGAAGAGCCCATCCAAGTGCAGTATGGACACCAGATGGACTGCCTGAAGGCCCAAAATTAATAGGTTCAATAGGGACAATGAGATGATGGTGATCAGACCCAAGAAGGACCGTAGGCTGAACCCCATCAAGAATTGGCAATGGCAAGTCTCTCAAATGTTCATAGCGCTTCTGCAATGCTGCAGTAGGGCAAGAATGCTTCATCAAATTCAAAACATCAGCGGTGAAAGCATTCTTCACTTTATACGTGGTGGACTTGTCATCAATTGGTGAAATGGAAAAGCTTACTCTTGTGCCCTGCACCTGAAGAACATCATGACGCACAGTCTGAAGGTTTAGGGCAGTGGTCGGCAACGTCCGGCCCGGGGGACAATTTTGGCACGTTGCCAATATTTTTGAAAAAAAAGAAGAAGCCTCACAGAGACTTAATTGCTCTTTATCCGCAAATGTTTTGCCCCTAATCTTTGCTTGTGTTTGGCACAACACCATTCCACATTTGCATTTTCATTCTAAGTAGCCTAACTTCTAGGTTAAATTGTGGTTTGTCCCGATCCGTATACTTAACCTCATACAGGCGCTACAGCGCTGCTCACGCTGTGCGTAAACTGCAGGTCAAAAAGTCGCGTGCCGGCCCGTGCGACATTCACGCACTCAGAAAGGGTTGAAAAACAGTGATAGGCACATGGAGACAGCGTGGGAAACTCGTCTTGGTTACAGAGATCTTTGACAATTTGCAGCAGTCATGCAGCATCTTGTTTGAAGTTACAATATTCTTCGAAAGAGATCTTTTCAATCCGCACAATTTTATCACAAAAATATTAATGTTAAAGTAGTCACAATGGAGAAATAAGTTGGGAAAAAGTGAAATTAAAATGAAGATGCTTTTCATAGTAGGCTACCCAACACCTAATTGTGCTTAGTGTTGAATTAAACTGCAATAAAATCCTCGCCAAATACGCTGATAATAAACATAAAAGAGCAAAGCTTTTGTCAAAGGATTAAATTCTTTTATTTTTTCATTCTAGCATATTCACATGCATGGCCTTTGGAATTAACTGAACCAAATAACTTTTTTTCTTGAAAGTAGAATTAAACGAAAGCTGAACAATATTAAAGCACTCGCTGAAAATCACGAGGACGTGTTGGCGATATAGATGAAAAATAACAAACGCAATAGTTGCTCTGCAGGATGAACTGGGACCCTAAAAACATACAATAATTACAATTAGTAATGGATTATAAATTACAATTATTTGCGTTGTATGGCTATTAAACTTACTCAATGGGAATACTGAAATTTTCCCTCTTCCACGATCTTTTTGAAGTCGGGCGTTAACGACGTGACTTTCAGGCGCAGGGCATTTTCCAGGTTATTGTGTGTCAGTCTGTTTCTTTCATGGGTTTTTATTGCATTCATTGAAGAAAATGTTGATTCACACGTGTAGGTTGACGGGAACATTGTCAGCACATAAAAAGCGAGCTTCTTAACCTCACTATAATCTTCAGGGCAGGAGAGCCAGAACGTACACAGGGACTGCGCATTTTGGAGAGCTGTGCGCACTTGGAACGATGTATGAAACTCTGTCAGCTGCAGTTCAAATGTTGCCTCGTTTAGTGATGGTAGTGCTTTCTTCACGATTGTAGAGAACTCAGGGTTTGCTTGGACACTTAATGGATCACGCACGAACGCAAATATTTCTTTTGGGCAAGAGTATTCCGCAAATCTCGAAAGGAATTCTTCCCGCACATGTCTGACAAAATTCACCATCGCTTCTGTCACTTGTTTTGGCGCGTGCCTTTTTAATGTCGGAAAATGCAGGAGTCGTTTGGATGTCATGTCTGTCTCAAACAGTTCTAGCTTCTTGATAAACGACTCCAACTTCTCTACCATGTCCACAATTATTTTCCCTCGCCCTTGTAGTTGCAGATTGAGCTGGTTGAGGTGGCCAAATATATCGGTCAAAAAAGCAACATTGGCCATGAATGTTTTGTCCTCAAGCTGTGCAAGATGCTCCGCAGCAGTTGCATTATTTTTCATTTGAAGAAAGGTTTTAATCTCAGTGAGAAGTGCACACATGCGTTCTAACGCTCTCCCCTTGCTTAACCAGCGCACATCGTTGTGCAGCAGCAAATCACCATGGCTTGCTTCTTCTGACTCGGTCACTAGTTGCCTGAAAATACGGTGTTGGGTGCTTGATGTTCCTCGGATATAATTAATGATGCGCATGACTTTGTCTATGACTGTCTTAAGCTCTCCACTCAGCTTTGCGCACAGCACACTTTGGTGGATAAGGCAATGGAGTGCCTGAATGTTAGGAGCAACTTCCTTGAGTCTGCTCACCAAACCTCTTCGCTTTCCAACCATAGATGGAGCGCCGTCTGTCACAATAAAATTAACCTTCTCAAGGGGTAACGAATTCTCCCTAAACTGCTCCTCGAGTTTGGCAAACAGTATGTCCCCAGTAGTTTGACCTTCCAATGGGATGAGAAAAAGAAGTTCCTCTTGGAATGAGACTGACTTGTCATCAAAATATCGAACATAAACACACATTTGTGCCACGTCCGTCGTGTCTGTGCTTTCGTCAATAGCCAGGGAATAATGATCAGCCTTATGGAGAGCGCGCGTTATTTTCCCATGTATGTCTGAGGACAGTGCTTCGATACGCCGTACAGCAGTGCGCGCGGAGAGTGGCATCTGTTTTACAGAAGCGATCAGTGCATCAGCAGTTTTATCCGTGGACAGCTCCTGCAACACGGACACCATCACATCCTTCATAACCTCCGCGTCAGTGAAAGGCTTCCCATGACGGGCCAAAATCCAGGACGCTTTAAGCGAGGCACTGGATACCTTTTCCTGTGTGGTCAGGCCTCGAACTAGGACCCTGCTGCTCCGGATATAACCGTCATAAAGAGCATCGATTTTGAGACGCCTTGACTCAGACTGAAATGGGAAGGACGCACTGAATGACCCATGTTTCGTTTCATGATGTCGCCGAATATTGTACTCTTTGCACACGGAGATTACCTCGTTGCAGATGAGGCAGAGAGGTTTGGCATTCACATATCCAGGTAGGATGAAACCATATGTTTGTCTCCATTCCTCCCTGAAACTCCTGTTTTCACTGTCCACTTTTCTTTTTTGTCCTTTGGAAAGCGACATGTTTGTGATGCTAACTTTATTTTTTTGCTAGTGCTGTGTAACCCGCGAAAATCAGACAGACTCGGGGATAGTATTGTTTCAAACAATATTTTATTTTTAAATGAAAAAAAATATGTATAGTTTGGGGTTATCTAGTATTGAATATCCATGCATGAATACATTTTATTTTTTTATCAATTGACCGGTTGGCCCGCCACCTATCGGCGTAAAAAAATATTGGCCCGAAGCCAAGCCAACTTTCCGACCCCTGGTTTAGGGTTTCTGACTGGCCTGAAAGACAGAGTGCTTCTACAGCTGAAGGCAGAATAATGGAACGTTCTGACCCGTCATCCAAGATGGCATAAGACTCAAAATGGAAGTCACCATTATGAAGAACAACAGGAACCACTTTGAGAATGACACGTGCAGAACGATTTGGACGGTCAAGATTGGGCATGCTCACCATGAGACACGACTGGCCGGCGGGAGTCAAAGTGTCGTGCAGAATTGTCAAGTGAAGCTGGCTGCACACTCCGCATGGCCTCTTCAGTGTACAAGCCTCCGGAGGGTGAGTTCTACAGCACTTCCAACAGCGTCTGTTTTCACGGATCCAAGAGCGCCTCTCCTCCACAGTCAGCTTGGCAAACTTCTGGCAACCATTGAGAAAGTGTTCATGAGTGTTACAGAAAGGACAATAGGGTTGGAATTTTGCCTTCTTTGGATGCTTCTCCACAGGGTTGAGGGAAACATTCTGCCTGGGAGCCGCCTTTGTCTCGGTTGACAAATACATGGTAGCTGGCCTAGCAAACTCCCGTGGTGGAGGTTTGGGATTGTTTCGTACCTCCCTCCTGTCCCACTCAGCAGCAAAAGTTGTGTTGTGAGACAAGCGGCGAGCACGAGCTTTAACCTGCAACCACACAGACAAATCATTCAACGTACAAGTCTGAAAAACACCATCCTGCAAGATACCCCTCTGAATACAATGTTCAACAAAGGAATCACGATAATTAGATGGTAATTTGCTCAGAAGCCTGTCCATATGCGATCCACAGCTTACTTCTGTACCATCCCTTCCTTCTATCGAGATAAGTAGTCCGACCAGAGACTGTACAGCCAGAGCAAACTCTTCGAACGCAGCCACATCATTTGCTTTAACAGACGCAGAGTTGAGAATGCGCGCTATCTCACTCTGTATCAAGTGACGTGGCTGCCCGTATTGTGAAGTCAATGCATGCATGGCTGAGGTGTATGGCTGAGGATGATGAATGTGAGCTCTGGCCAGTTGGTAAGCAGGCGGATGCTTGAGTCTCTCAAGTAGGATCTGGTACTTATACTGCTCGGATAAATGAGGGTGGTTCCCGAGTAAGCTGTCAAAGGCCATCTTTAATAACAAAAAGTCACTTTCCTTGCCGGTGTCAAATCGAGGGAGCTGCGGCTTTGGGATGCCGTAGGTCGTTGCTATCAACAGTTCAGTCATATTTGGGGAATAACCAGCATTTACAGGGACTTGTATCGGAGGAGCTGATGGGACAGAATGGGACAGAGATGAAGCTGAGGGAGTGGGGGCCATGTCTGCTTCTGGACTAGGCTGGAGCGGAGCCGGCGGCTGGAGCGGAGCCGGCGGCTGGAGCGGAGCCGGCGGCTGGAGCGGAGCCGCAGGCTGAGGCGCAGGCTGAGGCGCAGGCTGAGGCGCAGGCTGAGGCGCAGGCTGAGGCGCAGGCTGAGGCGCAGGCTGAGGCGCAGGAGGCTGGAGACGGACAGGCTGAGGCGCTTCATGCAGACTGAGTCCCGACGCTAACATGGCGCTCTCTGGTCGTAGATTGGTGCTGGACCGAAGCATAGGACTAGGATATTTCAGAAGCTGGGACACCATCCTTGCCTCCTCATAATCTCTCTCTGCCTGGCGTATGCGTCTGGCTCGAGTCAAACTGTTAGATAAATTCTCACGGGCCATGGAAGCTTCTCTGGCCTGTGTATCCATGCGGCGTAGACACTCCTCAGCCTTTTCTTCCTCTTGCTGCTGACGATGGAGTTCATCCAACTCCATGTGTCTGAGCCTCTCCTCCACCTGGGCCAGCTCTGATTGGTCAAGGGATTCTTTTAACGCATCCATTGGTCTCCGACTGCGTTTAGAAAATGTGCTTCCATCAGACAGTGACTCCGCAATATCAGACTGGGAATGTGCGTCATATTGTTTTGGCAACAGACTGACCTCATAGTCTTTGAAATGTGCCGGAATCCTCCTTTCCCTTCCACTGCTCCTCAGGCTTGGGTTCGGAATCCTGGATTTCTGTTTAGGACGAGCTCCTAGTTCATGTAGAGCCGTAGTTGCGCCTCCGGTGTCCACTGTGTGAATCCCATGCTGTGACTGGACGTCATATGAGACTGGCTTCACGGTGGTGCCTTGTGCTGCAGTTGCTCCATGCAGTGAACGGAAGCTGCCTGTGTACTCCATTCCTCCCCCATCTTGGCTATCATGAGTGGGCAGCAGAAGAGAAGGTGCACTTCTTGAGACCTGTATGGCTTTATCCATCTTGGGCATATCCGGCTCGAAGGACCACGTAAAATTGTAATTGAATAAATAGCCGGTGAAAAAAGCCCAAGTGAATAAAAGGTCTCAAGACAGGATCAGTTTAAGGATTTAATATGGCATCAGACATGGTTTTTATACACTGCAACAAAGCAGAAACAAATTGCATATTAACAAAAATTAACAATGAAACTAAATTGGGAATCAACTGAAACTCACATGACGCATGCTGATCCATAGCCTGGATTGAAATGAAAGGGGAAACAATGGGCTTCCAGGACTTAAAATGGCTGCCTAATTGCACCCAGGTGTCTAGGTGTGGGGGGGGCGGAGCCAGCAGAGGGGTGTGGTTGAGGGATTTCTCACAGTGTTTGTGCGACAGACCGGAGATGAGCTGGAGATGGAGTTTGAGCTGAGGGACCGGTGAGTGATGTCACATGGTCCACTCTGCAAAAGAAATACAACAAACTCTCTTTCTGGTCTCTCTTTGGTCTATTTCTGGTCCACCTCTCTGTTCTCTCTGGTCTCATTCAGGTAACTCTCTATTTCTGGTTTCTGGTCTATCTCTCTGGTCTCTCTCTGGTCTATCTTTCTGGTCTTTTTTTGGTCTCTATTATCTCTCTGGTCTCTTTTTGGTCTCTTTCTCTGGTCTCAATCTGACAACCTGTAGTCTGTCTTGTCTCTCTCTGGTCTTTCTCTTGTCTCTACTCTGGTATCTCTCTGTGGTCTCTCTGGTCACGCTCTGGTCTTTCTCATGGTCTCTCTCATGGTCTCTCTCTGGTCTCTCTGATCTCTCTCTGGTGTTTGGTTGGAGGCTTTGATGCACCAGTGTGTTTTTGTAAAGTGCTTTGTCTGACCTTGGTCTGTAAAATGCATAAGTAGACTTTACTTACTCTCTCTCTCTGGTCTCTCTCTGGGTGTTGTAGGAAGGAGAAGCCAAAAGACTATCGCACAAACGGGATCTTGATGGTGAGTCTGCTGGTTCTCTTTGGTTCTCAGAACATAAGAACCATGTGTCTGGTTCTTGTGTTGTCGTCTCAGGCTCCTCCTTTGTCCCAGATGAACGTCAAAGTGAAGAACCTCTCTCAGAACTCTGGTTAGAGCTCCTGCTCCCAGGCTCATCATCACTATTGGCCCAGATAGCCACAGTCTGTAACCAGTTGGATCCATGGATCTATAATAATAAATGGATAGAGTATTACTAGCTTAAAGCTGTCCCACCTTTGGCCACAGGGGGCGCTGTGGTACTGTAGACTAAATTCACGAGGGCTACCCAGATAAAAGTCCCATAGAACTCACTGTAAACTAAAACAGCTCGACCTCAGCTGACACAGAACCTGACACAGAACCTGACAGAGAACCTACAACTTTCATAAAGGTCGGATTTTGTGGAGATTTTAGTTTTCCTTGTCATCCTGAACTTTTTTTTTGTCTTAAATCCTTCTGTTTTCTTTAAATCCACACTTTACTGCCACAAACTCTGCTCCTGTCCTTCCCGCTCTGGCTCCGCTCTGCTGCTGCTCTAATCAGCAGCTCTGATTGGTCAGAGCGCGGCCGAGCCCCTCTGTGCTGCATGAGAGCCACACACGCGTATTTAGCACAAAGCATTGAAGAAGATGACATAGTCTGGGATCGCGTCTTAAATTCAGACAGAAGACATGTTTTATTGTCGATGGTAGAGACAGCACGATCAAAGCACACGAACACAGATACAAGAGAATGCAAGTGTATTATACAGAGCGGAGGCATGGAGACCTCCAATCAGCAGCTTCCACGGTGTGCTTGTAGCTTGGCCTTCAGATAGACAAAACAAGGGAAAAGTACTGGCTTCTGCACATTGATAGAATGATGAGTTTAACTTTAACAAAAGTTGCTTCAAAGTGTTATGAAATCTCACATTCCCCCCTCTGGTCATACATTCACGTGTGACCATCAGGATCGATAAACAGCAACATAACATCATAACTCAATACTTCAAAAACTCAAACTCGGTACTTCAAAAAACTCAGAACTCGGAATACTTCAAAAACTCATAAAACTCATAAAACATGTTCAGATCTTTCATAAAACTTGTCAACAATCTTCAGTAAAATACCAAACTTCATCAGTCGATGGTTCCAGATATTGCTTTGAAAACAGTCTCTCCCACTTCTCCGTGTTGATTCTTTCAGGCTGCATTTGTGTCGAGCCATGAATTCTTCTGTGACGTGTCTTTCAATCACACGTTTCAGCTTCAGTGTCCAGATTCAGCAATTCAATTCAGTCCAAATTATGTCCAAATTCAGAAATCCAGATTGTTCCAAATTATGTCCAAATTGTGTAATCCAATTGTTCCAAATGGTGTCCATGCAAAAGAGGACGCTGGTGTTGTCCATGTCTCAGCAGCTCACAGCCTGAGTGGAGTCAGGGGCTGTGCAGATTGTCCATGTGCTGGTCCAGATGCATTCTCTTGAGGTTTCTCAGTTTTGGCTTTAAAAAAAACACTTTTTGTGTAAAAAAAAAGGTCTTCTGTTCTGTAGATGTTACAGACAATGCCCGCATCCTTCCACCACCTGAAGAAGATGACATGGTCTGGGATCGCGTCTTTCATTCAGACAGAAGACATGTTTTATTGTCGATGGTAGAGACAGCACGAACACGAACAGACGATCACAGATACAAGAGAATGCAAGTGTATTATACAGAGCGGAGGCATGGAGACCTCCAATCAGCAGCTTCCACGGTGCCATGTAGCTTGGCCTTCAGATAGACAAAACAAGGGAAAAGTACTGGCTTCTGCACATTGATAGAATGATGAGTTTAACTTTAACAAAAGTTGCTTCAAAGTGTTATGAAATCTCACAGCATCATGGGAGCTCGTCCACTGCAGAACCGGGAGAACCAGACGATGCCCAAATATAGACGAGTTCTGCTAATCTCCTGGTCTCCGTGAAGTCCCATGATCTACTGAGCACAAGCCATTCATTTGAATAGGGCGCCATCTTGGATCACCGGGGCTTGGTTGGATCATGCTAACCCGCTAGTTCAATGCTAACCCGCTAGTTCAATGTTAACACGCAAGCTCAATGTTAACACGCAAGCTCAATGCTAACCCGATAGCTCAATGAAGCCCAATAAGGAAGTGCTCATGGTGAAAGTTGGCTCCTCCCTCTCTCTTATTAACTATCAACCATGAAGAAGTAAACTCCTCTAGCTCAGTAATGTTTGGTTTAGTGCTCTCTGTGATACTGGTCTCTCCTCCTCCTCTTCTCTCCTCCAGGCCTCCTTAGCAGAACTCCTCGTTTGGTGTTGCCTGGACCGTATGAGAAAGACCATGTGGTGAAGGACCAGGAGTGGCTGAAGTTTCACGTGAATAGTGACCTGCACTGCGACCTGGGTCTTGAGGTGAGACCAAAGCTCTGAGTGCAGACGCTGCTCCGTCTTCTCTGCATCTGGTCTCTCTCTGGTCTCTCCCTGGTTTCTCTCTGGTCTCTCTCTGGTCTCTCCCTGGTTTCTCTCTGGTCTCTCTCTGGTCTCTCCCTGGTTTCTCTCTGGTCTCAATCAATCAATCAATCAAAGTTTATTTATAAAGCGCTTTTTCATACAACAGATGCAACACAAAGTGCTTTACAGTTTGGCTAAAAAACAATCCTGCCCATGCCCTCCCCCCGACCGCCCAACAGACCCTCCCCAGACCACAAGCAAACACCCCCCCCCCCCCCCCCCCCCCACACACACACACACACACGCGCACACACACACACGCACCGATAAAACAATAAAACGATGATAAGAGACTTGGCAGGGTTCAGATGCAACCGGCTGAAGAAACGCCATCCAAGGAGCCGTCAGCGCCAGGAGCAGAGAGCCGCCCATAGCCAAAGGGGACGACACAGGACCCAGAGGGGACCCAAAACCGAGGCCCCGGGCCCCCACCAGGTCCAAGAGTCCGACCCCCACAGCCACAGCCAACCACCGCTCCCAGCGCAGAGGGCTCCTCCAGAGGAAACACTGGGGATACTTAAAAACAATACAATAAGTAAAACACTAAAATGTGAGCCTGAGAGGAACTATCACACAAAACATGAATAAAAGCAATAGCAATATAATAAATAATAAAGGATAAATAGAATATATAAAAATTGACTAATAAATACTAATCAAAAGCTAATCTAAAAAGGTGTGTCTTGAGCCTGGCTTTAAAAATATGAACGTTCTCTGCGACCCTGAGCTCCTCCGGCAGACTGTTCCAGAGACGGGGGCCGTAGTGCTGGAAAGATGCCTCGCCGTGAGCGTGTGTCCTGACTTTTGGAATGGTTAGGAGTCTGCTGCCGGAGGAGCGCAGGGGCCGGGAAGGTTCATAGGATAAAAGCAGTTCTGAAAGATAAGAAGGCCCAAGACCATTAAGACATTTGAAAACCATTAGGAGAACCTTAAAATCAATCCTGAAACACACGGGGAGCCAATGCAGCGATTTTAAAACCGGTGTAATGTGGTCCCGCCCCCTGGTCTTAGTCAGGACACGTGCGGCCGAGTTTTGGAGTCAGCTCAGAGTCAAAAATTACGCCCAGGTTTTTCACATGTGGTGATGGATTAAAAGAGTGTGATTGGAGTTTTGGTAAAAGTTTCTCTCTCTGGGCCTCAGGACCGATGACTAAAACCTCAGTTTTGTCCTGGTTAAGCTGGAGAAAGTTTTCTGCCATCCAGGATTTCAGGTCTAAAATGCAGTTAAAAAGAGCATCCATTGGCCTGGTGTCATCAGGAGACATGGAGATGTACAGCTGTGTATCATCTGCATAACTGTGGAAGTTAATTCCATGTCTCCTGATGACACTGCCAAGAGGGAGCATGTACAGGTTAAAAAGGACTGGACCTAAAATGGAACCCTGGGGCACACCACATGTGATTTTATGGACCTGAGAGGAGCAGGTATCCAAACTTACCATGAAGGATCTGTCTGTTAAATAAGAAGTGATTGGTCTCTGGTCTCTCTCTGGTCTCTCCCTGGTTTCTCTCTGGTCTCTCTCTGGTCTCTCCCTGGTTTCTCTCTGGTCTCTCTCTGGTCTCTCTCTGGTCTCTCTCTGGTCTCTCTCTGGTCTCTCTCTGGTCTCTCTCTGGTCTCTCTCTGCTGTCGTGTGATTGTCTGTCTTTTCAGGAAGTAGAACTCAAACCTGATCAGGACAATCAGGAAGTGCTGCAGTCGTCTGTCCACCTGAAGCCCCTCCCCCCTCGCCACTCTGCACAAGTGTCCCTCATCTCGAGCAAGGTACACACACACAGTCGCACACCACACACACACACACATACACACACACCACACACACACATACACACACATTCTCACACACACACAGACTCACACACACATACACTACACACACACACATAATACACACACACAGAGACACACACACACACACACACATAATACACACACACAGAGACACACACACACTACTGGTGTTTACTTAGAGAAACAACAACATAATAATTACATTGTTGGGTTTTGAAAGTTACGGACCCCATCTTTAATAGAGTTCTGTTGTTCTCTCTGCTCAGTACCATGTGTTCGGTACCATGTGCTCAGTACCATATGTGTTTGACTTTAGGCCAAACTGGATCTGTCCCTGAATGCCCACGAGAGGTGATGTACCATTAGTTTTTAGTTTTTGGAAGGAAATGTATTCATATATGTACTGTAGCACTTCAAACCAGCACTGATG